GATCAAACTTTTTAACAATGGATGCTTATTGATAAAATCGAATGATAAACTTGGATATGCTTCAATATAACTATTTTCCATTAGTTTCTTTTGTTGCTGTTGTTTTAAAAGATCAAGTAAAGAATTTAGATTATTCATTAACCCAATTTTTATAATAAATTAACCATCGTCAAGTTGCAAACATGATTTTTCTCTAATTAATAAGAAACTAGGCTCCGAACATTTCATATTAAATATTTCAAAAATATTCAGATTTCGGATTAAGGATTGTGTAGATGTTATTGATTGAAACTTTAAAATGTACACTATTTGTTGTCCAACTAATCCGTAAATAAAACCATAAAAGTCATCGTTTTTTAAAGAAAACGCATTATCTGTCATTGTATCATCCATAAGAAGAAAAATAACGAGTGTTTTTTGCTTATCTAGATAAAATAGAAAAAGTAAGTTGGATAATAGTATAGTGTAGAATATCTTTGAAGACTAAGATTTACGACATTTAAAAAAAGTCTACCTCATAAGCAGCTGTGATGAATCATATATCGATAATCTAAAGAAAAAAACATTATTGTAAAAGGTGGAATGTCGCTAAAAATTGAGAAATGCTTAAAACAATATATAGAGATATATCTTCAGAAACTTGGCTGATGATGTTCCTGAACCGTGACTCATGATTTAAAGATGGTATCTAGTATATTTTCTTTTTATAAACATATATCAAGTAGGAGTGAAATGTTTGCTTACAGATAATTAAACGTTTTTCTTTCAGATAATTAATATCCAAACATATGTTTCAACTCGATATTCTTATTGATATTTCGATATTACCATCAAATATAATGACATTGCGTGATGATGATTTTATTGATTTTGTCAAGGAAGAAGCCGGTCATTCAGCTGCTACTCTACTTGAAATACAAGGTATTAATTGTGTAAAATCATTGCTGATGGCAAATAGTGTTTATGCTATTATGGACGTTAAAAGTAAAAGTCTAGATGGTTTGAAGATTAAATATGGTTATATGCAAGATGATGGTACAGTTGTTATACAACCTGGAGTAAAAGGAAATATCGAACATCTTACTGATTTGCTAAAAACGAAATGTATTGAGGATGTCAAATTAGCTAAATCTTCAAAACATAATCAATCATCATCATCAACAATACTAAAATCAACGTCGACTGTTACATCAAATAATACAACAGAAAAATACATATCCGTATCTTTCAATTCATCAGTTGCTGGAAATTAAAAAAAATATATTATTGATACATTGAATAACTGGTGCGAAAACAACAAATCAAAATTAAATGTTCAACAATTTTCTTTAGTTGAAGGTGAACATTATTTTATTTTACTACAAAATGATTCAAATGGTGCATTAAAATGCGATATAAGATGCTATTGTCAAAAATGGTCATCATTATCATTAAGACGTGGAAAATTTCAATTGTCGAATTTCTATCGTCATCTTCAAGGTTTAAATAATATATGTCCTGCATTGAAAAAAATGATAAGCAATCCTCAATCAGCATTACCATCGCCAACAAATAATCCACCACCATTGATAACATCACATAATGTGCCTCAACAAGTCGCATCACCAAATCAGATACCATTCAATCAAATTCATCTTTATCCACAGCATCTTCTACTTCAATATCAACAGATAATGATGAAAGCCTTATGCAACAATCATCATCAGTAAAACCTAAAAGGCCAGCGAAAAGAAAAATTCAAATAGTAGAATCTTCACGTGACTCAAGAGAATCAACAAAAAGAACGAGAAGAAGGTAATTTTTACATGCCGAACATTGACTTGTTTGTACTTATTCGATCACTTTCTTAGTATTCTCATTTATAGTAAGGTTTGATATTAAATTGATATTTTTAACTTCGTAATTCACTTATTGTTTTCTTGTATAGTAAATCTTTTCTGTCAAGCATTGAATTTTTATATTTTTATGTTCGTTTGTTTTTACATCTTTTACTTTTAGCACTTGCTTTTTGAGCACATAAATAAGATATTGATAGTAACAAAAAAAAACTTCATCTGAAAAATCTGTTATTGAATGATTTCTGTAGCGTCTGCGAAAATTCAGCCGACTTTTTTTACTGGCATTATTTTTTCTTTATTTTCAATAGTGAATCAAAGAAATGGAAAGTATCATATTTTTAGAACACTAAGGATCTCATATTAGAGTGGAGTCATGCGGAGTCAAGCGGAGTCAAACGGAGTCAAGCGGAGTCATGCGGAGTCAAGCGGAGTCATGCGGAGTCAAGCGGAGTCATGCGGAGTCAAGCGGAGTCAAACGGAGTCAAGCGGAGTCATGCGGAGTCAAGCGGAGTCAAGCGAAGTCATGGAGTCATGAAGTCTGCTGTTTCCTCCTTGCATTACAGGCATTAATGAGTTTAAAATTGTGCTAATTAAGAGCTTGACTAATTAGGCTGCTATTTCTTCCCTTTTTAATTACAGGCTACACGAAAAAAGCAATGCTTGCCCATTAATGACCATAGTAACTACCTTAGGCTACCATTACAGACCATAGTAACTACCTTAGGCTACCATTACAGACCATAGTAACTACCTTAGGCTACCATTACAGACCATAGAAATTAGTCTCTATACCATTGTTAAATATACGAGCTGACAATTAATACTCCATTACAGTCATAAGCAAATAGGAAAAGACCTAATTATAGTTTTTGAAAATCAAAGTAGATTTTTCAGATGAACTATTTTGAATTATTTTAGTAAGCCGAAGGAATATATGTGAGTTCCACATTTTAGCCCCAAAGGGAGTACGCTAACAAGCGTTTAAAGATACTATAAAATCTAACACTTTCGAAAATATATTTGTTTGTTTCTTATACAATCCATGACAATATTATTATAATGAAAATACGTATTAGATTTAACAAGGGTGTATATGTGGGCATAGCCGTTCAGAGCATCCGCATCCACATTGACACCCTCGCATCCTAGACTCATACAAAACTATCTAGATATGGTTCTTAAAAGTTTTATTTTCAAAGAATACCAAAAAAGTTATTCGCATTTGAATAATCTAAACCATCTTATTTTAAACTTTTTGGCCTTTTTTGTTTTCGATCAAACTATCATTAGACGTTTTCAGCATTTGATTTTTTTGTTTCGACCTTTTTTTATTCATACTGCATAAACGATAGTCGCTAGGATATCTATAACAAAAAACACAAGCGTTCGTCACCTTCCAGTTTTATATGTCTGCGTTCTTTTCTTTCTTCCGATATAAGCTTTTGCTACTAGTTTTGCGTCTTTAAAAGTTGAAGAACTGTTTTTTTTAATTTTCGAGCGCAACGCAGTAAAAACAACAACATGTGAGTAAGAACGATTAACTCAGCTGACTCTTTGTTTTTAATAAGATTATTTAAAATGCGCTATGCACCGTGCATGAAAACCTTTACAACGATTCTTATTTTACAGATATCTTTAAGAAATATATTTCAGGTTTGACTTTCTTTTGAAAGTTTAACCCGTTGAATCGTCTATTCGTATCATAAGACAAAGTATTTACAACGGTTCTCTACATTTAGCTACACTAGTGTCAACACGCAATATATAGTCAAATGTGTTCTATTTCGCCAGGAAATCTGAGAAGGAAGCAATATTGTCTGTTATTTAGCATTCATAATCGTAGTTAATCAATTGTGATAATAATGTTCGAATCAATCAGTGCTTAGTTTACTCTACAAAACACGAAAGTTGCCACTGATTCTCGTCTGAAATACAATCAAAGTATAATAACAAATGTCATTCAATCTATTAGTTTCTCAGAAACAGAACAAGATTTTTTGTATCATTCCCAAAGAAGTCGCCTGAAATCAATGGTCTCATAATACCAATCGCCCTAGCCCATAGTAAGAGACTAACTGTGCTATATAAGGTCATTTGTTGGCAGGTTACAAATTTTCTGAGAAAAAGCAAAAGAAAGTTCAAGATAAAACTACGTTCTATTAGAACCTTGAAAGATTCAGAATATTTTGCTCACTTTTTGTCTTTTCATAATTGAGTATGAGAATCTTTTTAAGATAGTACTGATTATAGCATATATCAAAGTAGTAACTGGGATATGATTATATATTATAGAAGATTAGTCTTTCGATATTTACTGATTGATTAAATCGTACTCGATAATTCTAGGAAATTTCAAAGTTGTTCAGAGGATATCGTTATTTTTCAAGTTCAGCAGCATATATATCAGTTTATGAAAAAAGAAAATATAGGAACATTAAGTTTCCAATATGGATATCTTCATTGAAAGTATGAGGTGCAAGTTTAAATATGATGATTGAGTAGGATATATTCAGTGAACATTTGTTTGAATTTGAACCTGACCCATGGTCCTATTCATACACATCATATGCTCAATAAAATGGTACTTTTTGTTTCTGGTGATCATTACTTCAGAGAAACGACATACTTATTTGATGTAGCTACTGGTAAGCCTGCCTATTCTTTAGTCTATCCCATATACGAAAACAGTAGAAAAAAAATCGCCTAATGATGATCAAATCTGATGACTAAAGTTATAATGATTGAGCATGTTTAGCTATACTTTCACCATCACTAGTTACTTCATGAATGTTAATTTTGACTTTTTAATACTTGAACGATGGAAAATATTAGTGCGCTAGCATTTCGCATCTGCCCAATCAGCTATGTTATACTTTTGTAAGTATAAAAATGATTTTTCAGGCTTGTGGATTGATTTATGATGATATAATGATACTTGACAAGGTTGATTTATCGTTACTTCAATCGCTTTTAGCAGCCTGCTCTTTTAAAATGAATAGTTACTTTTTGTTCATTATTTTATGCACGAGATGTAGGCTATAATTTCGTAAGAATGCGGCTATAATGGAGTATTACCTTCAGAGTCACAATGATAGAATGAGATACTCTCTTCTCTAAATACAATTCGAGTTCACAGTATTTGATTTCATTTACGAATGATTACAATGTGTTAAGTGAACATAGATTAATTTTTGAGAATGTCAATCGTTTCATGCACACCCAAAAGTTACCTGGAGATTCTTAAATGACATTATCAGATCCAGTCACAGAATTTTAATGTCTATCATTTCATAAGATGAAAATTTGAGAAACTAAAATTTATATTTTTTGTTCAATAGCCCATCAATGTTTTGTTTTCTAGACTCTCATTAGTCTGAATGCATATGAGGAATGATTAAATACATCAGAATTATATTGTAGCTTATCTCGGCGAGAAGCGTATGCCGACAGAATATTTTCTAGAGCGTTTTATAACATTTTATAATTTCAGCATTATAATTTTTGATATGCCATAATCAACTATGTGTTCCCTATATGTGTAGCTTATCTTATTGAAATCCTTGACATATTCTATTGGTATCCTCTCATACTCATAGTATATGTCAGGTATCTCGGTCGTCGATGTATGCCGTTCTTCTGTTATAGTATATTCCTATTCAAGAACACTGTTTATGCAAATCTTCATATAGATTTTTAGAAATAATCTCATGCTTCAATCAATTTTTCTCGCCTATCCAATCGACGAACATTGTTACATCAATGTAATGACTATCGCTGGTTCGGATCCATCCGGTGGTGCTGGTCTTCAAGCTGATTTGAAGACTTTTGCATCATTGTATTGTTATGGCATGACGACTATTACTGCTCTAACTGCTCAAAATACATGCGGAGTTGATGGCATTTATTCACTTCCTGCCAGTTTTGTTCGACAACAGCTAGAATCTGTATTTAGTGACATTAACATCGATGCCATTAAAATTGGTATGCTTGAACGAGAAGAAATTATAGTCGAAGTTGCACAATTTTTGGAAGAGAAAAGAGCAGCAGCAGCGCTGCCACCACTCGTTGTTGACCCTGTTATTTATGCTAAAAGTGGGGATCAAATCATTGATAACAACGCGATAAACATATTAAAGGAAAAAATCATACCGTTTGCTACGCTCCTGACGCCAAATCGACAAGAAGCTTGCCGTCTACTAGGACGTGACAACATTGGATTAGAAGATTTAGAGGAAGCAGCTAAAGAATTGTTAAAGTTAGGTACAAAAGCTGTGTTAATCAAGGGTATAGACGGACGAGACTGTCTGCTAGTGCGGGAACAAGAAAACGCCGTGTGGATTGGAGAGACAACTGATTGGATCGATTCAAAAAATGTACATGGAACAGGATGTACTTATTCAGCAGCTATTGCTGCATTTCTTGGTCGTGGTGATCCATTAGTACGAGCTGTTCAAAAGGCAAAAATCTACATAACTGAAGCCATTCGCGCCGGTGCAACATACAAACAAGGTCATGGAGCTGGACCCGTCTGTCACCATTGGTTTTCTTTCGACCAGAATTTCATTCAAAGTGCATGGCTTTCGGTTTCTGAACTCTACAAGCAAATCAAAGCACTCCCTTTCCTCTGTGAAATAGCTGATGGCACACTTTCCTGGACTAGGTTCGCGTTCTTCATTCAACAAGATTACTTTTTTCTACGAGATCGGAAAGCCGTATGCGACTTACATTTGCCTCCAACTATCAATGTTAACGACGAGTTGAAATTGATGTTAAAACAAATCTCTGACAATTCTGAAATCAGAGCTGCAAATATTTTCAACACATTCAACGTGACGGGAAAATCGACGGACATTGAAAACAAGTCGGCTGTTTGTATAGCATATACGAACTATCTAAAGAGCGTAGCTACGAACGAAGAATCCATTTTCTTTACTCTTGTCGCATTAATACCCTGTACGTTGATTTATCAAAAGGTTGGAGAATACCTAAAGCGTAAGCAGCAAGCAGAATCTTTACTACCAACAAATCAATACTACCAGGCCTGGATAAATACCTACAGTAGCGAACAGCGACGACAAAGTGTTGAGAAATTGTTGGCATCGATGAATCGACTTTATTCATCAACAGTATCATCCAGTAGACATCTAGAACTACTGAAGGTATTCCAGAAATCAACTGAATACGAGCTGGCTTTCTGGGACGATGCGTACAAGTCTGCCGGATGCAACTAGATCGTATTCGAGGGGTCTGAGTATGTGGGGTGAGCATTTCCATTCAGAACACCCACACCCACTCTGCATTGGCGAACTCGAAGCCTATGACAACTAAATAGTGTTCTACTTGCCAAAACCTATCTGTTTGTAAATTAAAATTTTTTTCTGAAGAGTGCTCCACCTAAAGTATGACACGTGGAGAGATGTAGGAGTGACCTTAAACAAATATTTGATTTAATTGAATTCATCAATGATTGGAAATCGTATTTCATTTTCTTTTTCTTCGTTAAATTATCGGAAAAGAATAGAGAAAGGAAGAAATATATAAATTTTTTGCAGCAGATTTTCTTCATTTTCTAATTAAGTACGAGATCTATCGCTATCGTATTACTTGAGGTGACTTTTTTTTATCTAGTAGTATGTAACTGATGAGGCACATAGTTTGCGAAGTAACCAGCTTGAATACTCATACAACCTATTGATTGTTCATGCTGTTCTAAAGCACCTGTTTAGATACTGTGTAATGGTCCCGATTGTTTGTCAATTTTTTGTTTACTATTGAATTATTTGGATGAAGCTCAATTTAATATGAATATTATATAGATTCATGTTATTTTTCAAGAGAAATATTGCCCTTTTTAAAACTTATGTTCTCAGTCAGCATAATTCCTCAAAGTTGTATAAAGCCACGATTGACCATAGCTTTCATACTCCAAGCATTCATTGAACCATCATCGTTATAAAATTTCCATGTCCAATATGTCCAACCACCGGTCGCTCCCTTAAATGCATTAATTTGTGCTTGAGCATAGAGACGCAAATCATAATCATTAAAGCTAGCTGATGATGCAATGGACCACTCGCCAATAAATAGCCAATTACCTTTCCATTCTGATATATCGTTTCTAAGTTCATTTTGAGCATAGCTTATCAAACGATCTGTACTCCAACCCTATGATTTCAAGGATGTATCAAGCAATGAGAAAATTAATATTTATTCATTTTACTTCGTATCCCCAAATTTGATAACGATGCCATTCGTGACGGACCCCATGAAATTGAGGTGGTGGCATAAAACTAGCCCAATCACTGGAGTAAGGTCCTTGCTGATATAATAATGGTGATACAGTCAATAAACAATCTGAAAAAAGACGAATACGACCATAGGCATCATAATAGTACTGTTTTAAAACTCCTTCATTCGTCGTTCCTACGAAAGAGAGAAAAAAAATCAGGGTGTCTATACATATACATAAATCTCAATCTTTACCTGATGGTTCATTGAGTAAACCAATACCTAGAAATGCGACATCATTAGTAGAATATCGTTTTGCTAACCATTCGACAGCATCTAATGTATTTTGCACATTTTCTGGATACGAGGACCAATGTGATTTGCCTGGATCAGCAGGTGAACTATGATCATTTCCATTTTGACTACCTTTAGCTGCATGAAGAGAAATCAATACAAGTAAATTGTACTTTGGAGCCCATTCCCGAATAGCTCGATCTAAATAGTTAATTGCACCGGGTGCATAAACTTTCCATCCATTTGGATCACCACCTGGATGATTATCAAAGCCAGTTATCCAATAGCCAACAGGAATACGGACTGTATTCATTTTAGCTGCAGAAATATCACGAAAATCTTGTTCAGTTATGTATGTATCACGATGCTGCTTGAATTGCATATCACCCTTAGCATGACCTACGTAATTATATGTACGTATGTTGTATAAAATTAGTAACAACAGGAAATTAGCTAACCCCACCTATATATTGCATTGTTTTGTATTCTCCTAGATTTGCAATAGTATCCGGAACTCCATTCCAAGCAGGTGAAGCAGATGTCATCCAACGTTCAGCAACCAGCCATCCACCAATATTAACCCCACGCATTGGTACACGTCCATCTTTGATATCCTTCTTTAATGTCGTCAGTACACTTTAAAAATTAGAATTGCATACAGCTTCTTTTTTTCTCTTTAAAATTATTAACCTTTGTCCTCTAACCAACAATATATTGATGACCAGTAAGATAAAACATGAGTAATGATTCCTTACACAAACCATTTCGATTGCCTTTTTTTTTAATGATTTTGATCTATAGATATCTGTGTAGTATTTATATCGTCAAATCGACGCTGTGCCTGTATGAATAGGACAGATTGGATTTTATAATTGAAAGTATTATATTACGAAACAAGGATTTACGAACAAGAACTACTCATTGCATGCAAACACTCACGTATTTTCTCATTTTCCAATTATTCCATCATTTGAGTACAATATTATATCAAAAACAAATCTCAAATTATTGATAGGTAGAATAAAGTTTCATTTTTTATCTCTATGATTCCCACACATGCGGGTACCACTTAAGGGAATCCAAAGAGTTTTAAGAACATATACAGACACCTATGTAACAGCACATAAAATCGGGTGGCGGATACATGGATTAGCATGAAAAACTAGCTGCAAATCGAGAATACGTGCTATCGAAATAAAATTCTCTCTTATTATTTATGTTTCTATTGAAATGTTCTTAAATTTGGAGTCTGTCGGGTATTCCATTTCAAACTGAATTCAAAATAAAAAAAGCACCTCAACCTTTCAGAACAGCAGGGGTTTAGGGGCCCAAAGAAAACACATAACACTCCCATAGTTGAGTAAAACTGAATCTACCTGTCTCCCACGACAATATATCTATGTTAACTGTTATTTCGATTTCAAAAATGAAATACTCTGCTATTGGCAACAAGACGACTGTTTACTAGACAAACACTATTTCAACGGAATCCTGAATTAATATAGGTGTATATTTTTTTTTGATAGGTGGTCTTATGGGTCTTCAATGCATTCAATTGAATCCTGTATTCTAAATTTATATATGTACATCTACGCAGCTCGTAATTTTTCGGACCTGCACCGAAGAAAAGAACAAAACTTTTACTTTTTACATTAGTAATCTATTTTTCTTATATTAGTTTTTACTTGATAATATGACTATAATGACTATAAGATAAGAGATATATATGATTTGTTATGATCGTTGATATATGAGTAGGTCTCGCCGAAGAAGTACCTTGCTGTTAGCTCTGAATGCAAGTAATTCTATTAGTATGACAAGGTAAAATAAACAAATTCGATGACCTATTCAAAATGTGTTTGCCAATTCCTAATTTATATTTTGAAACAAATATTCTGCACATCAATCTTGTATAAAGTGGCGCCCTCTTCGTATTGCGTTGTGTCGTCTTTTTGTGGAGCCCCCAAACATCACGAAGCAAAATAAGATTGGTGTCATGTTTTTACAATAATTTTTTATGGACTTGGTCAAAGTTCTTATTTGTCAGATGAGCAATGTAAAAAGAACAAAGCTATGAGAAATTTTATTTTATATTTTCTAGATTCTAGATTTTCACATGGCATGGATGACTTTCAAAAATCATATACAGTAAAGAATCGTGATCAAAGTATTACATTTAATGATATTTCATCGGGAAAAATTGATGAAAATTACAGTGGACATTCAGCAGAAGAATTTGTGAAATACTTTTCAATTGATGATGATGATATTGTTCGATTAGATCAATCGCAAATAATTCGATATGAGGTGAAATCTGTTATGAATCATGTTATAGATAATATTCTCAATCAAGAAAAATGTCAAAGTCAGATTAAGAATCCGTCAAATAAACGTTCATTGGAATTAAATAATGAGGAATATCGGTTGAATAAAAAAGTTAGATTTAATATTCCAAATGAAGAACAACCAACATTAACGAATATATTTGTCTCTGAAACAATTGATTCAAACAATCGACTGAAACCTTATACAAAGTTTTTGTATAATCTTGGTTTTGATCTTTGTTTACAAGAAAATCCAAATGAAAACACTAATCTATCAGAAACTCAAAAACAAATATTAATCAAGCATAATGAAGTCTTCTATAGAAATCAAGTTTATTCATGTAAATATTGCTCATTTAAAACTAATACAGTTCATGTTATGGATCACCATTATCGTACACCACATACTTTATCGAATTCTAATGATCATAATAAGAAATATCGTTGTATATATTGTTCATTTAAAACATTTCGTTTGCCTGAACTTCGTCGTCACGTGGAAAGAAAACATGGTCATGTTTTAGTAGCTGAACTTTCTTTACGTCGCTATCTATGCAGTTATTGTTCATATGAGACAGATGATAAAAATCATTTTACAAAGCACAACAGTCGTTGTCAAATTGAACAAGAACGAGTTCGTATTGCAAATAATTTACTTCAACCATTAGATTTTTCGAAAACAAACAATCATAGACAACTGTAAGTTATCGTATGCGAGTAGTGAAGTCATTGTTTCTTCATTTTATTTAGAAACACAATGACAACAAAATCTACCGAAAAAAACAAAAAGAAACAAACAACAGTAAGAAAAAATAAATTCTTTTTTTTTCATGATAGATTATTAAAACAAATTATTTTAGAAATCACATTCATCAACATCGTTTTCAAATGATACAAAAACTTTATATAATCAAGAAATCAATGACCTAATTATTATTGAATCTGATCATGATACATCACCATTCTCGCGATCATCATCATCTGATGAAGATTTTATTGTCTCATCTGATGAAGTAGGCTCATCCGATGATCATAATGACGATGTTCATGATCATGAGTTTCAAACTTCTACATTTCGTTCTAAAAAAGTAAACAAATCAACATTAAACTCTACGACATCGTCGATGTCCCAATCGTTTTCAATGAATTCAACGGCGGCAACAAATTTCTCATCGTTATCAAAGTTATTACTATTAAATGGAACACCTATGTCTTCACTTGCGTCATCATCAATAAATCCAACTAAAACTTTGCTTATGCCTATACAACCAAAACAAACAACTGGCAATGATATGTACCAAGTAGAAATCACAGAAAACAAAAACTTAAACAATTTTACTTGCTGTTTTTATTTATAGATGTGCAATATTTGTCGATGCTATATCTGTAAACGAGATTATATGACACACATGAAAGAAAAACATAGTAATCAGACTACTCAACCAGAAACACTAAATTCAGCTCTTTTAACTAATCTAAATAATACAGCAAATAATTTAAATACATCAACTACTTGTCCATCGCCAGCTTTGGTGGTAACAAAAGTTATTCCACAGACGCCATCAAAAATTTTTCTCCTATCAACATCAACAATAAATCTTCAATCGATCAGACTAGATATGATTAAATGTCCGTGGTGTGATACTAATTTTGAACATATTGACATTATGACTGGACATTTAATGAGGTAATATATGATTGATATTCATCTCTTCTCTATTGAGATTAGTTTTATTTATGAGAAGTAAAATGAATAGGATGACGCAATGAGAAATACATCTGTGTGTCTAACCCATATCAGTTAAAAATTCGTGTATGTCTATTCTTCGTACAATGAATGGTGAAAAAGATTTACCCATGAGACATAATTATTAATTAAAAAAGAATAGTAGAAACCTTGTCTTCCAGAAAATTTCATACGTTCTGCCAAATAATTTTCTAATATCATGGAAAATTGTAATAGAAAGGTGAATTGAAACTTTTCTTTATTTCCAAACCGAGATCTAAAAAGAGACTGTTTGCATATAATGACTTACATAGACATTTCAGTCGTTTGTCTATTACAATATCTGCTGCTTTCATTCAAAGATAAAACAAGACAAGGCCATCAAGTATTTGGAGCGTTTTCAAACATAAAAAATATCTCTTTGCTTATTGCAACACGCGGTGAGATCCTATTTAGTCAGTTCTGTTTTTTTCCGTGTATTATTTCGGTCACAATTACCTTTTCACCCGTTTGAGTTTGTCAAAAAGCTTTCAGATGTTTAATTGCATTGTGTCCCCTAATAGAAAAAAAAGTAGGTTACCTATGGTACTCAGCTTTTTGACAGTACAGTGATGCTGATAAGACTGTCTTATCATATTTTCACTGTTTATCTCAACACTTGACTCATCAATATGGTCATTGGTTGTAAGAATATGATAAATGACATTATTTGTCCTTCTAAACTAGAAAGGCGTTAAATAAAATACAAGTCGAATATTGATTTAAAAGAAGAAGAAAAGACAATAAATAAATTATGTCAAATAAGAATAATAGAAAGATAATATTGATTTTGTTTTTCATGAATTCAATAAAAATTAATTCAAATAGTAAAACTATAGACAAAAGAAGAAGAAGAAGAAAAAACGATTCGATACAATTAATTAAAATTTAGGTATCATCGTATGACATTAGCTGTTGCTCAAGTAGTCGTAGCTGAACAAATGAAAATTCAAAGTACATCGTCTAGCCAATTATCACAAATGTTTAAACAAGAAATAGAGCAAATCCAAAGACAATTTACTGATAAAATTTATTGGAAAATTTCTCAACCAAAAGTATATCTACATCAATTAGACAATTGTAAGTTTTAAAAGTCGAAAAGAATATCAAGAAAACAAATCGTTTCTTTTTTTTTCTGAAGTATCATGCTTTGCTTGCAAGAAAAATGTCGATGATATTGAAAATCATTTTATTTCATGTCATCAAATACAATTAGTAACCATGAATACAATGAAACAATGTTGTCTATGCGGATTGCATTGTAATAAAAAAACTTTTAGTCTATTTGAACATCAATTACGCATTCACTCAGGTGTTTGTTATTCATCCATACTTAAGCAATTTATCCGTTTCGATCCACCACCTCCACCAACACCAAGAACAATACTATCTAAAAGTAACAGTCAATCCATATCGCCATCATCGAATAGACTAACATTAACAACCTGTACAGAAAAAGTAAGAAATTTAGGATTTATTAATAGACAAAGGGAAATTCTATTCTCTCCAAAAATAGAAATTTGGGTGTCGAAAATGTGATACAAGTAGTCATTTATTTACTTTCGAAGAACTTGTTGAACATTTACGTTCAAATCATAAACTTATTGTTAAATTACATCGTCGTTGTATTATATGTCAACAAACATATCTTAAAGGAAAAGAATACAATCAACATTGTTTAGAACATTTGAATGATGAAAATCCATCAATAGAAATAAAAAGACAATATGTTAAAAAATAAGTGAAAAAAACAAATAATGTCATTTCATTTCCTTTAACTCTCAATATGTGTAATTATTAATTGTTGTATTTTCGAAAGTATGTGATCTATTCTAGTTACAACTTTTTTTCTATGTTTTCTTAAGATTGTTATGGTCAATTAGTAAGTGATTGGTTTCGTTGTTGAAAGAAGAGAGAAAAAGACAATATGAAATCCATTTAATAATCATTATTATTCTTCTTTTTTCATTTCTTGTTAAATAAAAACAAATTATTAACGTTTATTTTTCTGTTTAAATTTAATTTTTTTTTGAGACATTATCAAACTTCTGTTCTCTAATAGATTAACATATTGTTGAGTTTAAGCGAATTTTCTGATTCAAAAAAAAAACAGAATATTTCCAACGTAGACTTAGATTTCAGAGTCTTTCTTTCAAATATTCATTCACCAAACGACAACTAGTTAGATTTAGAATCATAATTTTGGTCGGCTAAGATTAAATAATTTTCAGTAGATATCATACTAATCGAAATTTCATCTAATCGCGCCCGATATTTTCATAGAACACTGTATTTTTTTTAAAACAAAACAAGTTGATAACTCTCTCTCTCTCTCGATCTTTTTATATCAAAAATAGATTTTTAAGAAAAATAAAAGATCTTTTATTGATTTTCTTATTAGTTCAGTTCTGTTCTTTCTCTTTCGGTTTACATCTAAATCAATTAGTTTAATGAATTAATAAGAACACGAATCCATAGAAAGTCAGTTGAGATTCAGAATTTGTTTTTCCACTTAGAAGGTTTTTAATGTCATGCTTTCAAGTAGTAATATTTCTTCTCTAGCTCATGCGCTATGCATGAATGCTTAGATTCTGATCAGACTTTATCAGTTTCTCTTTTACAGATTGCTTAAGAGTCATTGAAAAAATTCTTCTATATTCGGATAAATTTTCGTCCAAAATGTCAAGGTTCAGCTCTATCTATTGTAGTATTCAATTGACTTGTTTCTTGTTTTTTTAATCTAAAAATACAAATAATAGTACATTGATGACGATAAATATTCGTCGTAATCACGAGATTTTATGTCAATGAGTAATAATGAGAATGAATAACCATTAGATTATTGAAATAATCTTGCAACGAGCAGTTCCAGATGAAATGAGTGTTGACATTAATAGTTTGGAGTATAATAAATATAGTTAAATAAGTTTTCCCATAAAATACTGCATGCAAAGAGGTAAACGACAAAGTAATGTCAATTGAAAAAATACGCTAACAATGCAAATTATATCAATCCTATTAACCACCGTTTCTATAGAGTACTTTAAGTTTCTGTTCGATCATAGAGAAATCTGCATTTTAAATGAAAAAAGAAACATTTTCAGTACTTGTTTTACTATGGTTACCAACGTCATCGACGCCATGAATGTAAATACTAGAAAAGTTTAATGAGTCAATATTCCAAATGCGTTTATTCTTGTTTTATTTGCTTATTCATTGTTACACGTCATATTGAGTATTACTCAGATCATACTTATTCTTCATCACGTGTGTTATATTTATATTTTTCAGATAATTTATCAATGTCGTTCTACGATCAACAAATGGTAAACTATCATCTAATATTTTTCAATAGTAAGATTTAATCAGTAACTATTAAGGAAGAAAAACAAGTATTAATCATTTTCGTGTCTTGATATACTGTCATTATACTTTCTTCGGAGAAATGAATTGTAATTTATCTCACTATATATACATCGATTATCCCTTGAGAATTTGCTTATGCAAAAATATTAGTTATATTAAGTGTAAGCTTTTCTTGCCTTTTTCTTTATAGAAAAACAAAGAGATAATAATGAATAGAAAATCACGAAGAAAAAATAAGCAAAAAACGTTTTTTTTTGGCTTATAGCCGAAATACAAAATGCATCACAAATGATGCTCAATAGCCAAATAGAAAGATTTAAAAAAGCATTTGATCAATCGAATTACGTATCTTCCGATATTTTCTTTCGATTTTTATTAGTTTTCAAAAACTTTTTTAAACGTGATCTTCTCGATATTTGTCAGTTACTCTACTAGCTAGTGTTTTTAAAGTGTCAAGGGACCCAATCAGTCCGAAAAAATGATGCTTAAGATCGTCTTTAATCGTATCAAATGATGCTATAGATGATGTGGTGCTGTGTTCAAGTTCATCCGACGAAGCAGTTGATGATGCTGATGAATTTTGTGTTGTATCATGACTAGCAATTAATATTCCTTCGTCATCGCTTGGGTCTTTGATTTGTTGTTTAGCTGCAATATTATCACTATCGACAAATGGATTTGATCGTGTTAATTGATTTCTAACATCACGAACAAATGAATATAATTCATGCCAACTATTTGGTTGAACTGAATTGCCAAGAATAACTTCTAATAATAAAAAGAAAATATAGTTTCTAGTATAAAAGATATCTTATGCTACCGTCAACTGGCATGTCTTTAAGGCGAGATGGTAACATAACTTCATCTTCCATAATTTTTGTTACGTGAAAAAATTCATCCATCGCACCATTAAGTAATGGCACGACGAATGTTGATGATGACGAGTGATTAAGTAGATCACTGCTTGTTGCTGGAATATTTTGGCGACGTGGATAAGCTACATTTTGATTTCGTCGCTGTATCATCCTACCCGATGAATATTGGCTAGTTAATTTATTATTTATTTGTTGCTGTGAAAATAAATTCGACGAACTATCCTTGGATGTCATTGTTGATCTTGTAGAATTTTCTAACTTCATTGTTGTTCAAATAGCATCGAACCAATTGCAACTGTCTACTTATAAACAGAAATAGAGTGTAACAAATGAAGGGCTTTTTTCTTTTTCTTGCGCGCACAGTAGCGAAACAGCACCGTTACTTCACCACTAACACTGTCGGAGGAAGAAAGAAAAGAAAAGAAGGAAAAAAGTACATGAAAATGGAGAGAAGGGCAAGAAAAAGAAAAAATATACTTGTTTTGCCGTGTAGATGTAGGCTATTATGTATACCATACAGCGAGCGAATGTCTTCTGTATGATTTTCATGTTTGTTCCTAGGTTTATTTACATATGATACAGAATAACTATTGTTATTTCCCTCGACAGATTTGCACTGGAATTGTAAGAAAATGATAACGTGAAAGACTTTTCAAGGTTACCAACAGAGATTGGATGATTATTGAAGCGTTTGCTTTTTTTTTAAATCGGGCGCATGCCAAACTGCAATGCGTCTTGTCAAAACTAATTCGTTTATTCATGTTATTTATATTGGTGCTTGAATAATTACTGTGACACAATGCATTCTTTCTCCTACATCAAGTTTTAGGTGGACACGTTACTTGTATCGATACACTTTTATTTACATATATATATATATATATATTTTTAATATTGTTACCATACTAGTAAAAGAATATTATTAAAAAATTTCTGTTTATTTTGCGTTGACCTATGTTATGACACTGGAATTTGATATCAACCAGCTGTTTCATACCACACCTTTCTTAACTATGAAGAAGCATGGTATATGCCGAGCGGCACAGCGTATGCTATCTTTGCTCTTCTATCATCCTGTCATCAGATGTTTGTGGTGTGATCCTTAGTACATGAAGTTACTGCGTGTGATATTAACTAATGTTTACTTTTTGCGCTTCTCATTCTATTCCTTATGTCAACGCACATACTATCGCTAGGACGATAATGCATTCTACTTTTTTACCTAAGCGTAGTTATCATTGGTTTCTTTCATTGATCCATATGTATTTGAATGGCTAATGCACATTATAAACGCGCTGTTAAGATATATTTTTATTTACAATCAGTATTGTAAATGATTCGGAATTCGACTCCCCCCTCACACTCCGACCGCTTTCGGCATGAGAAAGTGAAGTAGGAAGAAAATAAAGTGAAACAGAAAAAATTTATGAGATCATAATTATTTCTATATATATATATATATATGCATATTTATACACATATTTTTTTTTATTTCAAGTATGATGTAGGCGAGAAAAAACCTTAAAAATTAAAGTAACCAAAATATGAAAAAAAAGCAACGAAGTTGTCAAAGGAAACATGCTTCTACGTCAATTTGTCTATCATGAAGGAATACATGTGCCAATCGTAAGGCAATCACAATTGTTCATTAAAAAAATTCTAAGACTTCAGTTCTTTTTTTACAATTCTCTTTATTAAAAATTTAAAAAGAAGTTCTTGTATCTATTGCAGATATTTACATATTGAAAGGGATAAGAAAAAGATCAGAAACATTTTGATGGGCTCATCGATGACAAGAGGTGATATAGAAAGTTTAGCAACAGATTTCTATGATCTATTAGAATCATTTAAACATGCACCAGTTTATCATTTATCATTTGAAATCTTTCTTGTTTTGGCTGTTAGTTGGCTCGTATTTTTTCGTAAACCTCGTCCAATTGAAAAAAAATTAACAGAAAAAGAAAAACAAGAATTAATTGACGAATGGCAACCAGAACCATTGGTACCATCAGTTGATCCTAATCATCCAGCATTGAATGTTCGAGTATTAGATGGTATTGTTGGTAAAACAGTTGAAATTGACGGAAGAAAAAGTCTCAATTTTGCAACATTTAATTTTCTTAATTTTGTTGGTAAACAACGTATTGCTGATAAAGCTATACAAGCAGTACAAAAATATGGTGTTGGCTCCTGTGGACCACGAGGGTAAGTTCATTTTCGAAAAATTTATTCGGGCGTAGTTATTTTAGAATATTCTATTCCATATCTATCGCCTACTATCGATTTCATACATACAATATAAAAATCGAACAATTATATGCCTGTTACGTAGTTAAGACGCGTGGGATAGAAAAATATATAATTTGACGAAGGAGTTGGTGTAGTTGTTTTGGTTTTTTTCTATTGTTAAAAGTTTTGCTATGCTTTCATCCTATTTTGAACAGGTAAACATATTTTGCATGGCAACTCAAATATATTTGACATTGACATGATAAACTAGTAATTTAAACCTCTTTGTACGGTAAACGTATGTTTGTTTTGTCCATGAAAGGTAAAATTTGCGCTATGAAGACAATGAAGAAAAGCAAAATCATCTTGTGTGCACATTACCAGAGAATATCACCAATAATTAGTTTAGAACCAATCATCCATAGACGAATTATGATGTGTTTTTTTAAGATTTTATGGTACAATCGATATTCACCTTGAGCTTGAAGAGCGTCTAGCAAGATTTTTTAATTGTGAAGAAGGTATTATTTATTCTTATGGATTTTCGACTATTGCCAGCATTATTCCAGGTTAGATTTAAATAGAATTCTCTATCAAAAAAGAAAAAATGTTTTGATCTATAAAATTTTTAGCTTATTCGAAACGCAACGACATTTTATTTGTTGATGAAGGTGTTCATTATGCTATACAAAAAGGTGTTGAAGCATCACGCAGCCATGTAAAATGGTTTCGTCACAATGATATAGCTGATCTTGAACGTTTACTAGCCGAACAAGAAATACTCGATAAAAAAAATCCTAAGAAAGCTCGATCAATAAGACGATTTCTTATTATTGAAGGTTTATATGTTAATTATGGTGATATATGTCCAATACAACGAATGGTAGAGTTAAAATATAAATATAAATATCGTATATTCCTTGATGAAAGCGTATCGTTTGGTACCATTGGACAAACAGGCCGTGGTGTAACAGAATATTATAATATTGATCGACAAAAAATTGATTTAATATCATCAACATTAGAATATGCTGCAGGTTCAATTGGTGGTTTTGCCGTTGGTAGCTCTTTCGTTGTTGATCATCAACGTTTATCGGCTCAAGGTTATTGTTTTTCAGCCTCATTACCACCTTTACTTGCTGCAGCAGCTATCGAAGCGTTAAATATAATGGAAGAAGAAAATACAACATTATTTGAAACAATTATGGATAAAAGTAAACGTTTACACAAGAAAATCTTATCCATCAAAGGTTATATTGTAAATGGCGATGAAATATCACCATTGAAACATCTACGTTTAACAAATACATTGAATACAATTGGACGTTTAGAAGAAATTGTTCAATTCGCTCAATCACGTGATATAACAATAACGGTTGCAAGATATTTAAGTGATGAACATCGTTTACCTGAACCATCTATTCGTCTCATATTAAATGTTGAAATGAATGATGAAGAACTAGAATTTCTATGCACGGTTTTACAGGAAGCACTTGTTAAAGTAACAACTTAACTATTCTGTTGCAGATAATATGATCAAATTTGAACTTTCCTACATTTGATAGTTGTTTTCTCGCTTGTTTTTTATGGCATTGTTTTTTAAAAATATGAATAAATAAAGAACAATAGCAGACATTCCTTCATCAATGATGACAAATATTTATTTTCATTATTCTTCTATTTAGAGCAAAATATTTATCTAAATGGCAAAGACAGCTTTTCATGGGGTATTTTGTTTGGCAGTGAGAGAGAGAGAGAGAGAGAACGAGAAAAAAATTGATTGTGCATGGATTTGATACGTTGCTATGTTTAAAACATTTTTGCATTTTTGTTTGTCTTTTTTTAAATTAAAAAGCAGAATATTTATTTGGTACTATTCGATTTAATACTGATACATTCAATGGCAGATAAAGCAATGACAAAAATTCTTATATTTGGTGGAAATGGATTTTTGGGTGGCGAAACAGTCGTGGAGCTTTTAGCGTTGAATACATTTGATATTACAGTTGTTAATAGAGGAAATTGGAAAAATTATGATTCAAACATTCGTATTCGACCATTTGTTAAAGCATTCAACATTGACAGGTGTGAATAAATGAGTGATTTATTTTTTGTTTGGCAGCACTTTTTGGATTTAGGAATGTTTTAAAAGAACCATAGAATAGGGATGTGCGCAATAGTAACTTTAGAATCTGGAGATTAGAATTAAAAACTCTCTATGATTCTAAATGAATTATGTTGTAAATTCTATTGATTAATTGTCTAGCATACCAATATTTTATTAAAAAAAGTTTTATCATAAACGATACTAACTCTTACAACTTGGTATTAGAACTTCGTTATAAGGAATCGATTGATTTTCAAAAATTTGTCATCAAACATCAGTTAATGTATTGATATTCACGTGAGAATTTCTTAAGATGGTCTCTTCCATTTTCGACGATTTCTTTTGCTTATAAATGTTACATAGTGTTCTATTGAATATTCAATGTCTCTTGTAGTTCGGAGCCATGAAATATTTTGAAGGCTAAAAAACAATAATCGGTCATAAATATTTTAACAAGTTCGATATATATCTAAGCTAATGTAACTATGAGAAACTTTGAAATGACGATAGTACAAAGAGGAAAATCATTAGCTGAATATAGTCTGATACGATTTCTACTAGAATGTTATCTAATGTCTATAGGCAAAGAAATCGTGTGAATGAGTAGTAATTATTCATGAAGATTTTCATGCTACATATTTATATTGGTCTTTACAAAAAGATTCGTTGTTGAGTTGTAAAATTTTGTGTATTTACAATACGGTTTTTGTTTTAGAGAATCATCCACTGCTGTTGAACAACTTCATTCAGCGATTGGCAACGAACATTTCGATGCAGTTATAGATTTCAGTGCCTATGATACTGATGTTGTTAAAGATGCGTTAAAAGTTCTTGAAGATAAAATCAAACTTTACATCTATATTAGTACAGATTCTGTATATGAAGTAAGACAGAGTTTTGTAATCAACAAAATGAATTTTAATATTCAACATAGGTATGTCTACCATCGAACAATGATCTTGCCAGTGAAACAGATAGTATTCGTCCATTAGACAATGATGAATATGAACGATTTCGAAGAAAAGATTCATATGGTCATAAAAAACTGAAGTATTTCATAATTTATTTTTGTAATCTTCTTTCTAAAAACAAATATATTCTACAATTAGAATTGAAGAAGTTTTATTTCGTCGACAATCGAAATCGAACAATAATTGGTCATATGTAATTCTTCGTCTTCCTGATGTACTCGGTCCACGTGATTCAACAGATCGTTGGTGGTTTTATCAAATGTGGATACAATTCTATTCCTCTATACAAAAACCACTTGAAACTTCAACACAACTTCGTTCATCCTATGTTTATGTGAATGATGTTGCGCGCTACATAACTTATATACTTTCAAAAACATTTCTTGATTCATCAACAATCTTTCATAATCAGATCTTCAACATAGGTTGCACAGAAATCATATCAATCCAAGATCTGCTCACTTTAATAATTGATGAATTAAATTTAAATTCTCTACATATACCAATACAATATAATCCTAATACGGAAGTCGATTTTTTTCCAAGTGTAACACGTGGTGGAATAAATATATCGAAAGCATTATCAAATGAATTCAATTGGAAGCCAACACCAATAAAACAAGTAGTTCGCGAAACCATTCAATGGTATAATGATGCATATGGACTTTATCCAAACGATCGTTCTGATATAGTCAAACGTATTCGACGAACTCTATTGAAGAATAACGAAAGTGCGTATGGAAAATTTCTGTATGAAGTTAATCAATATGCAACACAAAGTACAATTAAACGTAAACGAGTGGAAGAAGAAAAAAAGATTGTTGCTGTTGATTCATTAACGGTCAATTCTGATCATGGGGATTATCGACAAGAAAAACTCTTTAAACATAGTGACATGTAAAATACTGTTGATTTGATAGTCTTTTTTGTTCGTTTTATTTCGTTTACAAAATGAATGATCATAGAACAATAACAGATGAACGACGAAAAAAACAACAGAATGTATAGTATAAAAAACAACAACAACATATAAGCACGTCCTGAAATTACATTCCTTGTGGACCTAAAAGTAAATGAAAACATATTTTAACGTAGAAATAATCTAGTAATGAAACGTACGCATTCCCATCGGAGGTGGAACAGGTGGCATTCTCATTCCTGCTGGCATACCCCGACCAGGAGGTGCCATTTGATTAAAAGCAGGTCCGCCGATACCACGTATGGGTCCTTGAAGGCCAGGAGGAGCAAAAGTTGGTGCACCAGGTACTGGTGGCATAACACCTATTGTGAATAAATTTCATCGTATAGATCTATTTAAAAACTTGAAACAGAAAAATAAACTTACCACGTCCAGCTGCACGACCAGCACCTTGTGCTGCTGCTGCAGCTGCACTTGTTGGCACTCGAGCAATACCGACTTCCTTAAAATAGAAATCGATTGTTGTATAATCAATCCAAGTTAATTACAAAATTTGAATCAAAAGTTAACTAATATTTTCTATTCAATAATAAATATAATACAAACCTCTTTTGGTGGTGGTCCTTCCACTGTCATTGAAACAAGATGTTCACCACGTAATAAAATTAAACCTAATGGTCTTTGTTCTTCACGTTCAGTTTTATCAGTTTTACCTCGTACTTTACGAAATTCTTCACAATCAGCTAGAATAAGATTCATATGTTTATCAAATGCTTTGAAGGTTCCAACAAGTTGACGGCCATCTTGTAATGTACATCTCATACCTATGAATAAAAATCAAATTATGAAAAGTTAGATTTTTCGAAAAGAAAAAAATACATACGATAATTGATATGTTGCAGCATTTTGCTGCTTTTTCCTTGTGTTGGCTAAGAAAAATTAAAAAAAGACGAAAACGAAAACAATTCTATTTTAAAGATCAATAAAAATGTTATTACCATTCTCGTCGGATTTCAATAAACTATTATCTAAAATATTAGAATAAACCTATTTTAGTTATTTCCAAATATTGATGTATATATATATATATATTTATATCTATATAATTTTTTAAACAATCTTGCTCAAACTAAACTTTTCTTTCTTTTGTTATTTTTCTCCATATTAAACATTTGAACCAATCATGAATAAAGACTGTAAGGACATCTTTCGTTAGATTTTCTTGTAATTTACGATTCATTTTAGGAGGTGATTTGTCATACTGTAATATGGAGAATATGGAAGATGAAAACGACAAACAAAATTTAATAATAATAAACATTCTTGTTTTGTTTTACTACAAATCTGACGAAATCGTTTCGTTTTTTAGATCCATCTCAAATTTTTGATTAATATCATCGTCAAATTATGGGTCATTCATCAATCTTTCGATCGCATCCACACAAATACGGTCCTGGCAGCCGTATGTGCCGTGTCTGCTCAAACGGTCATGGTATCATCCGTAAAGTAATTGACTATTAAGAGAAAAAAAAAAGTAGTATTTTATATTTATGTATCTATTTCTAATTTCAGTACGGTTTGATGATCTGTCGTCAATGCTTCCGACAATATTCAAATGATATTGGCTTCAAGAAGCTCGATTAGATGATCAATAATATATAAGAATAAAAAAAGAAGTCCATCAACACAAATTTTTTTCTAATAATTATTTGTGGTTTCATTTTCGCTGTGTTATTTTAAGTTTTCGTTTTTTGTTTGCTGTGCGAAAAGATGGAATAAAAATAAGACACACAACCATAGGAAAAAAGATCAAAATCTTAAAAATTACTTCGCCTTTTTATTTAATTATTAGAGTAATGAATATTATTGCAGACAATCATTAAAACTAATGCTTTTTTGCGGTTATTCTCATGATGTTAAGAATACTAGAATTGCGTCCTATATTACTTGATAATATTGAAGTCACCATCTATTTTGCTTTTGAAGTTAAAAGAGCAAATAATTACTTATATACGTTGAAGCAATACTAATTTACAATTTTGTTGATATTTTATGATCCATCTGCTGTATAGAACGAGCTATAGAAATGATGATAATAAATTCTTTTGTAGTATTTGAAGTTTCTTCAAGATCTATGAAAAAATATTTGTAGAATATTTTGTATAATCAAGATGTGGATGAAGATTCATGCCTAGACCCTATCAACTTATATTATCAGGATAATCATTTAATATCGTAGCTATCCTTTTATTATTTTTACTAGAATATATTTCGTATAGATATGAGAAATAGCCAAGCGCATAATATAAAGGAAGCAGATGAAATCTACAACGAATCAATAATGTTTCTATCACAAAACAAAAATGCTAATGATATAGAATTTGAAGTTCTATGAAGCTTTCGGTTCAGTTATAGATAGGAAGCGCTTAATGAGGTTCAGCTAACGTTAGATGAAGACAAACGCCATCAAACGAATGAAGTACGATTCATGGCGACAACATTATAAGATAGTTATGGTCGAAGAATAACATTCATGTAATTAAAAAAATAATAAAAGAATGATAAAGCGTGGACATCTAAGATTCTCATGGCCAGCAATTAGTTTTAGCAAAGGTCTGATGACAAATACTCAGCATATTCAATCAATAGTTATATTTTAAGTAGTTTCTACCTCTAAAATAGTCCTATTACAATAGTATTCAGCGAAATGATCTTCACAAAGTTTCTATTTCAATGTAAATAATAATAATAGAAGACTCGCGGTTTAAATCTGGGAAGGTAGCATGGTAGTCAATTTATGAAATTCTGATCGAATTTTTCAATTATGTAGATACAAAAAATGCTCCTTTGTGTAAAGAATTTGAATAAATGCCAGTTTTCCGTTGAACTACTATATCGCTGTCTAATCTTTTCTTTTTTCAAATGGTTGTAATTGCTTTTACACTGATATAGACACAAGAAGACAACAATAGTTAATAATCTGTCGGATCTTGCATAGTATCGAAGTAAAATATAAACTGACCAACTAAGACAATATCTGGAATCGATTGATCTGGTAAAATAATCGTCGTTGACAACAAAGTATAATAAGTTTATTTTCGTCCAACATCATTCATTTTATTTCTTTTTGTTTATAAGATGAAGTGCAGGCGGAAAAGCGTTTGGTTGCCAGTTATTTCGATGCTGATCATACGACACAATTGGTCATAACTAGTAATAATTAAATAATTAATTTTTCTTTTTATTAGAACTATGAGAGGTATTGGCCGCTTCTTTGGAAGAAGAAAGCTATAGAGAATAAATTAGATAACAATTCAAAGCGATTTGAGTAACTTGCAAGTTTTAGGAATGTGAACTCTAACGTTGCCTCCGGTACTTTACTTATTTCGGAATAAGAAAATCATAATATTTCTGTTAATAACTGATAGTTTTTTTCTGTCAGGAATAAAATAATAATATTTTTTGCTCTATAATCCCACACTCATAAACCAGAATATACTAGAAATACTATCATCACTTCTGATAAAGTTATATTTAAGTTCCCTGAATTTCCACGAAAAACCACAGTAGCCCTACCTAGTAAAATTAGACATTGCTTTAGTAAGAATGAAAGGTCTCACGTCGTCCATTCGCTACCAATTTTTCATAGGATATACAAAACTAGCAGAGTTGGTGATAGATAGTCGACTCTTCACTCATTTTGCTGTCATTGAATGATGAAAATCGTGCAGACTGGAGATATAACTTGAAATGTCTACAATAAGCTCAACTGATACCATTTTGCGACGAAACGTTCGTCGGCAAGTAAAATCGATTGCGAAATAGACATTTGTTTTCGCAATTTTCATAAGAAACAATTGAAGAAATCGGAGAACGTTTTGATTGAGAGCTAATGTGAAACAAAAACTCTTGTCTCTATTGTCTTAATTTTCCGAAGTAGACTTTACAAGCATGTCAACAGTCATTTTTATAAATACCTCTCTTGATATAAAATAGTTTTTAATAGTTCATATCTAAACTATTTTCATTTCATCCAGTCCTATTATTGCTTCTCCTTGAAGCACCTAGATGATTTGTTTTTGAATTCTATAAATACTTGTTTGTTTTAATAGCAAAAAAAAGAAAAGAATTGTTTTATTCCCATAAAATATTTCACGTATAAAAGAAATTTATAAAATAGAACCAACATTTAAATAAAGCAAAAAAAAACCGAACGAAATCACATTCAAATGAATTATTCTTCTTCTTCCTCATTTCTTGCATTTTCATGATATGAAGCCATTTGTTTTAGCTTCTCTTGTTCACGGGTCTCACGTCGTTGAGCACCTTGACATATTAGATCAATCATAGATTCTTTTTCAAGGTTAATAAAATCCTCATTTTTACAAATATCATTCAAAAATTCTGAACATAATTCATAAACATAATCTAATAATAAGTCAAATGCTGGTGACATTTTCTTTACAAGACTATATATATTTATAATATAATCATGATTTAAACGTAAGTAACGACATATATTTTCTATAGCTGCGTTTTTTGCTGTTAAAAAATTAATTTTATTCGAATATATCATTGCCTTTATTGCAATATCAAATGATATCGATTGATGATATGCACCAGTGTAGACAAAATGTAAAACTGCTAGGAATGTTTCATAATCAATATCAGTTAATGCAATTGGCTGTCTTTGAGATTTTTCAAGAAAATCACTTAATAGTAATGAACGAAAATATGAACTACGACAACATAATATATTTCGATGAGCATTTACTGTTTTATCACCAAAAATAAATTGTGCATCAGTATTTGTATTAGAGAGAGCTTGTTCATATAATTTTGCCATTGATTGGAATAAGGATTTATGATTTAGATTTACATCAAATATATTTGAACCAACAATTTCTATGAGAATAAAAGAAACAATTATTTCCAAGAAAATGACTGTAAAAATCGATTCTACTTATTGCTTGAATGCCTATTCGATCTGTGTATGTTGGATTGAGAGTTACACGAATAGTATTCGACTGCATATGATATCGTCGTAAGATTGGTTTGAAAATATTATGCGTTACTGGTTGTTTTTCTGGAGGAGTTTTTCTTTGCCACATAGTCCACCATTTGTCTTTAAAATACGAAACAAACTAAGTATTCAATATTTCAACTACGCATAACTAGAAAGGTAACTCGATTCGAAGACCGAGTAATTTTTTCTCTATATTGAAATAATAATGAGATTGCAATAGAAAATTGTTTATAGATTCAAGTCAAACTACAATATAAAAATAATGCTATCATTGATTTGAAATCGGTTTCTATATTCTATTTTGTCTGCCGCGCGATTCGAGATGCATATCGAAAGAGCCCAAATAAACTTGTACAATCGATAGATTGATGAAAAATGCATGTACACTGAAGAACCAGTTTAGTCATACGATAGTGATACTAAACTTCGAGATTCTCAATCTCAATAGATTCCAAATTGAAATATGTCATTTAGGTTGAAAGGAATCATCGATAAACTCTATGGCATTGTTAAAAATACAAAGTATTCTAGAACGAAATGACATGAAACAATGTAGGATAGAATTTCAATGGCGCAATAACGGAGATAAACATTTGAAACACTGAATCTCATATGATTTCTTTAAATTTTCAACGTTCGATCTATCTAATTTTGTCTCAGTAATTATTGTGATAAATTTTTTCATTAACTTTTAAGCAAACATGCCGAATATGAAGTAAAATTATGGCCAACTTGTGATGTAAGATTCATTGTTTAACGATCTACATCACTTATTTAGCATAATATTAATCATACTTTAGTTATATTCAAAACAATTAGTTTCATTGTCTTACGTTGTTGAGTTTCCAGCATTTCTAATTGAACAATACTTCCTGGGTTGAGACTTTCATAAATATATATTTCGTTAATAAAGATTCGTGTTTGAAATGAAACACTAAAACTTTCTCCTTGATTATTATTAGTTACAATCCACCCGTTTTCCACTTTTTCTTGATCACCAAAACCAGCATCAGTTGCTCCGCATAATTTTTCAATGCCAACACCTTTGCTCACAGATTCATCAGGCTTAGATTTTAATGAACAAAACTCAATTAATTTAACCCATTGTTCCTGAGCAACCAAAACAGTCGGATTCTACCAGTAAGACAAATTCATAAAAGTTTAACAAAAACAGAGATATTATTTACATACATTTTCCTCATCGGAAGAATCATCTGGATCGTCAAAATTTGAAGATGAATCTGAATCATCTGAAGCTGACATATTGATAGTTTAATTTTAATTTTAACTCTAAATACTTTTTTACTGACGATGTTTTTTAAACACAACGATGAGTCATTTAGTTGAAAAAAACTTACAGCCAATCTTAAAGTACGGTTTCGATAGCTGTCACTAGTAAAATCCTTGAGAGTTCTTTCGTTCCGTTCAGAATAACAGAACTGTGTGTTTGCTTTTCTTATCTTTGAAACATTTCGTTACCAATCTATTTGATACATCATCAGCATAAAAAGAATGAAAATAAACAAGGTTGCGATGGTGACCTGTGAATAAACCTATTGAAGAAAAAAAGAAGAAAACGATGCACTCGTCAAGCGAACTCGGCTCCATTTTTTTTATACGTCAAAAATCTCGTTTTCATTATTGACTCAATGCGATCTGCTGTTCTCATAGGATAATTTTCCACACATTTGTTTAACTAAGTCAGCAATACCATGAAAAAAACTACTATGATTAAAATTATAGTTTCTTAAAGGTAAATTTTATTTCATGTGAAGTTTTAGGTTTGAAAATTGTAAATGTTCTTTTTTTCTTTTATTACATGGATGCATAATTTTTCCTGTAGCATTTAATATTCATACTTTGAAACCACATGAATAATAATCTTAATAGCGATGTATAGATTCACGACGATATACACGTATATTTAATCATGTTTGTTTCATAAACTTTTGTTAATACATGATCAATTCTTAATTGATGGATAATAATTTCAAATTTATTCTATAAAGAGCAAGAAAAAAACAATGACTTGAGTAAAAGTTTATTTTTTTTTGTTCTTTATTTTGAAATAAATGCATTGTTGGGCATTAGCTCTGTTTTTCTCTATGCTAAATTTTCATCTGCATTGAAGTAAATTTAACATACTTTTTTTAGTTTTTAGAAATGGAAGATCGTGATGGTAAAAAACCGTTTGTTATACCAAAAACTCATACGTCAAATAACGGTAAAAAATCAAGTTTTTATAAAATAAACATATTTATTTTTCTTTTGTAGAAATTGTCATCACTGAAAAACCTGATAGTCGCAATGTTATTGAATTATTTAATGATATTAAATCATGTGCATTAGAAGCTCATTTTGATTTTCGACAAGCATTTTGTAAATCTTGTGATACAATACGCAATCAAAAATTACAAAAATTATATAAGTAAAAAGTGAAAAATAGAATTTTTCTTCTAAAAAAAAAAGAATTCGTTTTCTATAGTGAAAAACGAATGAAAATGAAAAAAGATCAAGATCCTATAGAACGTTTTGGCTTTCATTTAATTACTTATCGTGATGTAGCATTAAATGTTGCCAATAATGGTGTCCAATGTGAACAGTTATTTTTCCCGATCGAAAAATATCTTGGTAAATTTGATACTTATTTTTCTATGTCGACTGGAGTTCTTCCCTATTATGTTATAGGTAATCCCAAAGACGGCATTCATTTATCGAGACGTCCTGATGTTCTTTTAACATCGTCCGGTGCTCAAGGACTTTATAGATTTGGTTTACTTGTTTGTAAAGTAAAAACAATTTTGATAATAAATGAATTTAATTGGTCTAATGAAATATTTTTTGTTAGATTCTCTTGGGAAAAGGTTACGCGACGGTGCCATCCATCGATAATAAACAATTATCAGCACAACTACATTATGATCATCATTTTTGTAAAATTCAAGCAATAAATAAAGAACAACGTCATATTGATGATCTATTAGCAAATTCTTTAGTAAATTTTCGTATATTTCTAACAGTGGAACTAACAAAAAATTTCTTTTTTTTTCCTAAAGATTTTCTGTTATGAACATGATAATTTTGAGCCTAAACCTCAGCCTTCACAAATTTTACCGATTGCTATTCTATGGTATGATCTAAATGAAAAATTTTCACCTGAATTCATATCTACAAATGTTACCAAAACTGCATCAAAAAAAGAATCAGTACACCACAATGGAAACAATAACAGTAAAAAACCACCATTGAAAAAGAAACCATCGAACCAATCGACAAAATCTATTCCTTCACATTCAAATAAGTCAATAATACCACTGTCAACATTAAATTCTATTAACCGACAAGATTCTAGTCAAGATAAATACACAACCGAAATAATTTCAAATTCTAATCCCCACGAATTCGTAGCATTATCACAAACAAAATATCCTCATCATCTACTGGTTCCGTATAATCGATTACATTCAAAACCATCTCTATCAATATCACCAAATGCTGACCAACAACAACAGCACACAACTACGATTCAACAAACAACAAATATTCGAGATCCTCGTCTATTACGAACGAAACACGAATCATCATTAACATCTTTAGAAACAATTCCATTATCTCAACAAAATTTCACCTACGAACGATCGTCATCATCTGGCTCATTATCAATAAATTCAACTAAAAGTTCCTTAGATAATCCATTATTAATAACAAAAAGTTCGTCTCTAATTAAAATTCCATTAAACTCTTCTACATCATTAAGCGATCCACGCTTAAAAACTGTAAAAAACACTCGGAACATTTTTTATCTTGAATTACAAGCTGTGAAACATGCTTTACAACAACAAAAACGTCTTAATACTTACTATGATTCTAAAACGGATTTAACATCTAAAACAAATTATACAGTTATACCATATCTTACACGTCAAGTATCAAACGATGAATATGTACGTTTATTAAATGATGATAGTAATACACATAAATTTCATAGACATTCAAATGGAATCGATTATTCATTGTTGAATGTATCGGTTATTGATTGTTTAAATTTTGGTTTAGTAACATCAACAATAAATAATCATATATGTATAGATTTGGATAAAATAGAGAACAAATTAGCGTCGGAACAAATTGAGATGTCAAATGACTTAATACAACGTGAAAAACAAATAAATTCTCAATATATACGTTTACGTTTACGTGAAAAACGACAAAGAAAAATACAGCAACAAATTAATGAGAGGAAAAATCAAGATAAAGCATCCAGAACGAGCCCACTACCATTACCAAATTCAAAATTATATTTAACTACTGGTAGACAACTATTAAAGGAACATAAACCAACAACTAAATCAGCAAATACACATGTACCATCTGATTTAATAGATTTTTTCTCTCGAGAATATAAGAATGAAACTCGACCTCATGTTAAACATATTCTTGCTGAAATCGTTGGAATTTTTATTGAAAAGTATCATAATGAACTTAATCAAAAAGAACAAACAAAGGAGCAAAATGAAGAGAAAAATCATATCGCAACTAACGGTAGGTTTACTAGCTTTTAGCTAGATATTTTCTGAACGATGGTTTGAAAGTAGTGTTGACGTACAAGAGTTCTTATTTCGATTCTTACATGATAGACTTAAGGAAGAAATTACGAGAGATCGCATATGAAACAGATCTAGTTTTAATATACCGGCCAAAGATGGTCATAGCGACAGTGTTGAACATAGTTCCCTGTTGAGTTTTTCAACGAGCAAGTAAATAAGTGTCTCCATAGTAGGCGGGGCTATAAAATCTTCTTTTAATTAACAACGCTTTATTCCAAATTTTTTATTTACAACAATCAGACTAGTTGCTCTATTTTAAAGAATCTATGACTGATGATCAAACAATCAATTTTGTGATTGACATGGATATCGAATCTCCAAGTTCTCAAGGATTATATGATCATGATGAACGTTTTCGAGTTCCAACACCTCCTCCTCCACCACCACCACCACCACCACCACCACCTACAATACCATCCATACCTGAAACAATCTTTACTCAACCACTAACATCTTTTATTTTCAACCATACATTATCAAATGAATCAAGTGAAATATTTGAGAATATACATTATAATGCTTTATGCCAAAAGTCAATTGGGGAATTCAGCGAACAATATCAACCAAACGATATTGTATTGCCGGATTCAAATGCGATAAAAATGTCTGAATCTGAGCTGATTCCTTCAGAAGAAACTGTTTTCAAAACATGTTTAGGGCAATTCGAATCATCATCATCAAGCGAAAATAATTCCATGGTTGATAATCATTCGTTGCCTATAAATAAAAATATACAACAAGCAGAAAATATTCCTTTATCAATAATTGAAAATTGTTCAATAAATACGACAAACGATCCAAGTCGATCATTTGATGAGCTTGTTAGATTATTAACGCAAGAAGCTTATACATCAAAATCAACTAGTTCAATTAAAAATCAAAATAATAATAACCGTTCTTACAATCATCGTCATCAACGGGAGCAACAACAACGTCGACGACGATCATTTGAGCGTAATGACAATAAGACGAAAAAATCCTTATCAAATCGTTTTAATTCTCGCCGGCTTCATTCTCCTCCGTCAAATAATAGAACAAGGTAAGAAAAATATCAGATATTAGATTCTTTATCAAACATCCAATTTTAGACGTTCAAAGTCGCCTCATAAAAAAGTTTCCTCAACTCGCGTAGTGACACTCACTTCGAACCATTCGAAAGTCTTGCATGAAAATCAAAAGAAAAAACGAAAAGCTGGACTAGGAGAAGAAGACGATCAACAAGACGTACGCAATGAACCTACGGTTAAACGTATCAAAATCGATCAAAATTCTTCGACATCAACTACGACTATTAAAATTCAGAATTCAACTGAAACAATTGAAAAAGACGTAGGTCTAAAATCCATCGTAACTGTTCCTTCAATCAATAATGATCACAATCATCGACATGATCTTCAAGAACGGCAGCGACCTGCCAGTTCTACACCATCAACAGTAGATAACACCAAAAGAAAATCTTCACATACACGTTCAAAATCAAAAGAAAAATCACCAAGATCATCAACAAATTCACGTAGTTCGCCGATCAAAAATTCTAAAGTCATCTCAAAATCAAATACTGATGTAAAATCATCATTGAAATCCAGTCAAAGATTATCAAGTAACAATCATAATCGACGGGAACCAATAGAAACTAGAGACGTCAAGCATCCACGTGAACGGAGACGATCGCCGGATTTATCGAATCATAAACATAAACGCTATTCAAACCAATCAACTGATCGACTTGATCTATTCAATGAAATATCTCATCGAAACACGGTATCATCAACATATCGCCAACGGAATATAAATGATTTGATACCACTAAATCATGTCAATAATTTTCAACAACAACAGCCATCAAGTCATAAAAGATTTAATTATAATCATCAATCAGTTGCTGATCATCCACGTTTTACAAATCCCAATCTTCTTGTTAATTCAGTGCCACTAATGGATTTTCATTATTCAAAATCATCGACACACAATCGTAGTATTTCCCCAATAACAAATCAAGATAGAAAGTAAGAGAAATCAATTATTTTCAAAATTTTATACGGTAACAAACTAATCGAATGGGTTTGATTAAAAATTGGGTAACATACATGTTTTAATTCTACTGGTTCAATTTTGTTGCTCTTAGAGTTCAAACTACTGAAATAAGATTCTTTAAAAAAATTAAATAGTAGATATAAGAAGAACACAAATCGCAACATAAGAATCTAGTCGAAATTATCCAAAAAAAAAACTTTTTTCTAATTTTTACCAGTCAGTTTTGGAATAATACATAAGATAGACTATTGCCTATTATATATATATATTATGCGTCGACACTTTTAATATCTTCCCAGTTAATCGAGATTGATCATGCATGCATAAAACTCGAACCCTAGCTTGATGTGCAAAACTAGGCCACCAGTTCAGGTGATGTTGCGTACTCAAATTGTTATATAAGCATCTCTGAAGGTGTATAAATAGTGTGTTAGTTAGAAGCACTCGAAAATTTAGATTCAAGAATTTCAGTTTTGTAAGAGATATTTGTCTTTTGTGTCCTTTATTCTAGTATTTATTAGAAACAAAGTAATGAGAGTAAAGAAAGCATCACTTGAAATTTCTTCGGATAGGCAATAGATGAGCAAGAATAAAAAATTCTCGTTTTAATTTCTACATCGCAGAAGTTCCTATGAATACTTATAGTCAAAGTTCATCTATAATAATATTCCTTTCGATTGCTTAGTCTACTATTATATTTATTGTACGATGCTGATTTATTGAAAAAACATCAAAATGGGGAGTTTTTCTAATCATTCATTCGACATCCATTTTATTTTGATTTGATACTTTTGAAATGCATAGAACAGTTTCCAAATAAACATATACTATACATCTTTTTTTGGCGAAATCAAATGTTTATGTGCGGGAATGGTTTAACTTGAGCATTTTCTAGAATTCTTATGTTTGGTGTTTTACTGTATGCCGTTACACTCATTTTCTTATTTAGAATAGTTCATTGTACAGTATTGCGTTTTGTTCGAACACGTAAATAGATATATGGTGACAGTGTGAGCGCATATTATTGTCTTTTGCATGTCCATGTGCTAACCTATACATAGTTTATGGTGTCACTCACTTACAGATACATTTAAAAAAATCCCTTTGACCCTTGCTGGTATAAAAACTGGCAAGAATTGTGTTATTCATTTACTACACAGTGATTCTGATTTATTGCTATTTTAAAATTTTCCTCCGTTTCTATATTATACTAATAATTCTTTTCTATAATGCCTGAGCATTTGATCTTTGTCATTTATATTGCAGTTTTAATTCGTCGTATTATCAACACAATTCTTTTGATCGATTTGATTCTACAAGAACACGTCTTGTTGATTTTAAATCATCGGATACTATTGAACGCTTACAAAAAATTCTTGAAAATAATCCAAATGGATTATTCCATAACTGAAAAAATTAAATACTCAATTTCATCAATACTAAAACTGATAGTTCTCATGGGTCTTCTATATTGTGCCCTTCAAAAAACAAAATCTGATAGAATCGTGCAAAATTATAATAATATTTATAATCAAAAATTTGCTGGCGATGATACCGAAAAGTTATTGAATATGGTGCAACCGTTCCGTAGTTAAAACGATAAAAATATTATTTGCCTTTTTTCTTTCATTATCTGTTCTTATTTGCCTTTCTTTCTGTCGTTATTTTTTTGTTTGTACATTATGACGCGTTTGCTACATTAATCAATCGAATGGATTCAATGACAGTGAATATTCCTAATCGAAATTGGATGCACGTAATCTAATCGTTGATTCGAATGAAAATTTCAGAAGACCTCTGTGAAATCCAACAGTTTATTGTAGTCAATATTTTTCGTTTTTGTAGTTCTTGTATTACAGTTTGTTTTCTTGTTATAACATAGATAAGCATGTACTGCTGTTTATGTGCATATAGTGTATATATACGTGGTATAGAAGCAAAATATGTGCGTTTAAATATGTGAAGATTTTGTTTTTTGAAACGTTCAAGAAATTATAAAAATCCTTACTACATAAATATATTTTAAAAGTCGATTAACTAGATCTAAAACAATTTAATGAATCTAGTTTCATCGATGAATTGCATGAAATTTCATCTTTCAAAACTCAGATACATTTTGAATAGTGTTAAATCTTCCACAAACAATTATATCATTTCGATAATATAACAAATAACTGAATGTGTTTTAACGATAGAATCATCATAGATTTGAATAGTCATAAAAAAAAGAAGTTTCTTACGACACTTTAATCATTGTCATTGATAAAAATCATTTTAGAAATATTTTCTCAAAGTAATTAGTACAAAAAATCAACACAATCTATTGCTATGTTGGTCGCCATCATACAGCAGCAGGTAAATGTGTCAAATAATAAGATATAATAATTGATCAAAAACAGATTTAGCATTGGGTCCATTTTGAAAACAAAACATTCACGGCTCTTACTCATGAGAATTATTTGCTTGTCGAAAAATTTAGAAAAAAATGTGATTCATGAATACGAAAGATTGCCATTTAGCTTTTTCGCAATAGTAGTATTACGTTAATTCCGTGATTGTTACATCATACTATTCGTATATTTTTAATCCATCAGTCAGTATACTATCTAGAATTTTTATCAATATCTGCCGTATTTTAATGAGCTTAAGTATTGAAAAAGTACCGAAATCAATGGTCTTCAATAAGCCTAGGTGAAAGCTGATAAATCTATTAATATTATTCCAATACGAATAATGGTTGTTACGTAAGTTCTGGATTAATTTCGAAAGTTTTTTAATAATTTTTTTAACAACACGCTTGACTGATAAAGTATATTGAAGCTCGGCATACAACCAATGGCAAGACACTGATTTATTTTTATAATCGGCTTTCAAATTTTGTCACACATCAAATGTAAGTATAAGTACGAGTGACAAAGCTACGCGTACCATAGAAACAAAAAATTATTTTCTCTTTGTAGCACACAATCAAGTGTTTTCTTATCATGTCTCCAATATTGAATTCTGCTATGTCTTGGTAAAGGAATTGCTAAAATCTAATAAGACACCAAATATGGGCTTTCTCTTATTTCATTTGCTGGAAAAATCGCCCGCTTCGAAATCGTCTGACAGTTGTGCATACTTTTTAGTAACAGACGCTATTAGAAAAAAAATGATGATTTTTAATTCAACGAATAGGTTGCACACGTTATTTTTATCTGTTTATAAAACGGTACTCATATTACCATTTAAAAAAAGCAATAATAGACCTCAAATTCTTCGTGAGAAGAAGTACCTTCTAAATAACACAAGTATGAAGAGAATTTTTCTTGCTGAATAAATTTTTACCATTTTTAGCCTTCGGTAATTATACTAAGAGAAATACTTCGATAAAACTTTGTAGTAGACACGCAACCGAACCTTATTGACAATAAAACTCATGTAAAACTTGCGTACGATATATATATACTATTCGTATTTTATGCCTTGTTTCTCAAAAATGAATCAAACAAACATTCTCGTGTCATTATATTCCACCGAGAAATATTTTAAAGAAAAAGAAAACGTAGATGCACCATATGTCTTTCTAAAAATTTATAATTTAGAAGTTTTGATTTGACTAATGAGAGAATAATTGCCGATTTCTTGTAAACATAAGTTTGTCTATGGGCTCTGTGAAACTGATTTTGAATTAATTAAATTCGCATATTTTTTTAAACATATGCAATTTGCTTCAAGGACGACGTGTTTGTGCGTTCGTACATTTATTTTTCACGTGCTACGTACGAATCTCGTTCGAGTTACATATTTTCATACAAGAAAAACAAACGTGTCTTTCTCACTGTTCGAATTGGTCCCATTATCATTGGATAGATCTCAGTCTATTTGTGGTTAGTAGTAGTTATCGAAGGATGATTCTTTTTTTTCTTCGATTTTTTAACTACACCGAAAGCACAAAAGAAAAATGACGACGAATATCAGTCAATAGAACCCATGAATACATTATATATGCAAATATATGAATATATACGTATAGTTTGTAAATTACACTACGCTCAATGGGCTTCTTTTTATTCCAAGGTTATTAAAAGCCACACACATTCACGCATAAAAAATATATATATTAATCTACGTATTTATTTATCTTTATTGTCTTTTTGTAATAGTTCAATACGTTGTAACTGTTTTGTACCATTAGCAATTAATATTTGATTTGTCGCGTGTACTGTTAGAGCTCGACCAGTGCGAAACAATTTCACGTACTCTTTTTCACCATAACGATCAACGATCCATAATCTACCTTTTCCATTTGTTACAAAAAATATTCCATTGTTGTTTGCTCGAATCTCATGATCGAAGTCACATTCACCTAAATCTATAGTACACAGTTCATGTAAATCTGAACTATCACAGAATGTCACATGGAAATTTTTTTTGTATGTTGTTGTATTTTTTGTTTGTTTATATTGAAATACAGTTGCTATAATATCTGAATGTATGCAAAATGATGTACTATTATCCGAAAAACGTGGATAATCAATTAAATTAAATACTTTTATACACTCGAATGATTTAGGAGAATAAATCAGTAGTTGACTTAACTGTGGCGCATCTGCCCAAATCCATAAAAGATTTTTGTCAGCCGATAATCTTATATAAGACCAAGATTGTGCTAATTGTAATTGTATATCAATAGTTGAATCGTCATGATCGGAATCAACAGTACATGTATATACGCCTGTTTTTGTTGCGCAAACAAATTGTGACGACGCTGGCGAATAAACTAAATCTAGTATAGGAGAATGTGGCCATCGGCATGTTACTTCCGTGGTTTGTGATGTTCCATTAGCTCGTTTACCACCCAATGAAATATTTCGAACATAACAAAGTGATTTTGATACATCAGAAAAATAAAGTAAATGCTCATCATCGCTCGCAATACGATCAACTTCATTCTGTGTTAATATTATACTTTGAGAAATGTAATGTTTACTTAAGGAATGCTCTGTATTAGTTGAATTAATTAGTTCACCTATTTCGTCTTTTAAAGAAAAATATTCATCCTCATCACCAACATTATCATCAATATAATCTTTGCATTTCGTACGAGCCGGTTCACTAATAGCATCGGTTTGCATTTCTTTTGTTGAATAAAAAGTTTGCTGAAGTTCTTCAACTTCTGTATCAACATCAAATTTTTCATTCTCATATTCATTCTGTTGGCTACATAAGCATTTTGTTGATATAACTTTACCTGGATATGAGGGAAGAAATTTTTTCGTGACCGCATTTAAGTTAAATGATAATTGACAGTCTAAATCAAGTTGGTTTCGTGGATATGTAGAAACTTTTAATTGCATATTAGGTAAAGCAAATGCACCAAAACGTTGTTCAATTTCATTCATTTGTTTACGTTGATCATCGAGTTCAATAATAGCATTCTTAGTAATACCATCGTGCGTCCAATGATGTTGAGATTTATCTATGAATGATTTAATATTTGTAATCATCTCGGATATAACAATCTAGAAAATGTTCAACTTATTATTTCAAAATTGAAAAATACAAATCAAACTTACTTGGGAATCATTGAATTGTTGTTTAACATAATCAATACCTTCTTTTCGAAGAATTTGTAAATCATTAACTATTTCATCGAACGCACTATTAACACTACGTATACAATGTTCCTCAAATGTTTGAAGTAATTGTCGTTTCTGATTAAATAGTTCATCTAGTTTTGAATAACGCTTTTGTATCTGCGAATATTCGTCAACTAATTGTGTTGTATGCTTATTGAAACATTCGTAGCACATTGATAAACGACAATGATCGCAAACAAAACATGACAAACGTTTTTTGCCAGTGACTATCGATGTACATGTGCATATTTGACAATAATTATCATCATTTACTAATGTATTCGAAAGTATACTCATGACTTTTTGTTTTTGTTTTGTTGTTGTAATATATCGGCCCAAAATCTACCACCAAATATATATATCTTTAGAAGTCGGTCAGTGTTTTATGCTGCCTCTTACTTCTTTTTTTTTCTTTTACCTTTATTTCTTCTTGCTTGTTTGATTAATGTTGAGAAGAATAGCTACAGAAGTAGTAAACGTGAAAAATGAACAATAATAACATCTAACATGTAGTAACAATCAACAATCTTTACTTACTTGAAAAAGGTGTGAGAAAAGAAGAATTCTTTTTTCCTCTGTTTCTCTCGTTTTGTCTATTAGAACTACTGTTATTTTAAATAGAAATGAGAAAAATTGAATTGTTTTTCTTTTTCAAGATAATCTAATGTGAATTTAATAGAGCGAAAAAAAGACAGTCTTTATCTTTCAACAACTTTTATTTGAAGATCACTTTAGATTGCGTGTGTACCTATTAAAAACATTTTCTGTTATAGTTTGTAGATTTGTAAAATGCGTCGAGTAGTGGTAATACTAGTTGTTATTTTAACTTAATAATAAGTTGTTTCGTCAAGATTGGTCTATCATTGAAATCGAAAGTTTCTCAATGACAAATTTAATGTTTTATTTAAAATGATTGTTAGCTTTTTTTATCTTGACTAATCTTCGGGCCTAACATATGCCCAATTAATAAATAATCATCACCATGTGCAATTAAAAATAGAAAGGGACGATTGACAAAAAGTACCCATGGAGCTGTCGGTGAAATATCAATTGAATGAAAGCAATTCGATGATGTTGTTGATCGTTTTAATTTATCTGTTTTCATATCAAGAATAAAATGACCTAGGCAATGCGCAGAGGCTATAATTAAAAAAAGAATTTCTCTCATTGAAGATAAATAAGATTTTCAATTGAACTCCAAACCTAAATGAATTTCTTGATTTAATTCATGTGAATTGTCTTTACTATATAAATCATTTAAAAGTTTCAATGATTCTATTAGGTTAATATGAATATCCATGGATATGTTTGGTATACATACACCAATGTATGCTGACAAAACTGGAGCATGAAGATATTCTTTTATATTTGCATAGATATGCACAAGGTCGGATGAACAACTAAAACAAATGAAATTAAAAGCAAATGAAATTTCATTTTTTTTTCTAATGAATAACTGTGGAAGTAAAATAATCAGTTTCGTTTGAATTCCATTGAAGATTTGACCAGGTATTTCAATTTTATGAAATGAATCATGAAAAGCAACATGAAAAAAACCTTTTGTAAAATAAAATTCTGTTTCGATTGATAAATGAATATTTGAATGAAATTTCAATGACCTAATTACAACAAAAAGAATGAGAAAAAAAACACATTTATTTAATTATATTCTTTTACAGAGAAGAACACGTTCGATATTATTAGCACATACGTAAGTGATTTCCAAGGAAACTCGCCTACTTAACGATACATAGGTAGCAATAATCTGGAAATCATTTGAAGTAAGATGCCGCTAAAGCAGAATTGGAGTAAATTTTGTTTCTCGTTTATTTATATATGGTTTGATAGAGCTTGAAAAGCTGATCAAGAATTTGTACTTTTTATTTCGATTTCATCTTTTTTTTGGCTGAGAAAATCTTCAAAAACAAGAACGACTGAAAAAATGCTGTTTTTATGTTAAATTTAAATTTTTTACAAAAACTACCAAATTTCTTTTTCAGTTATTTTCTGAGTATTGCCAAAGTACTACATTCTGAATCAGCATGAAAACTGAGTAGGTAAATGTTATTTGGTCAGTTGTAGACCTAAAAAGAGGTATGTTCAGGTTTCCGAAAAAGGAAATTACAGAAATTTCCGAAGCTTCCATCAACTCGATTACTACATAGCAAAGCAAATGAAAATTTTTTGAAAATATTTGAAAGTTTAGAAATTTCGGAATCTTCTGTAATTTCGGAAATTTCGCTTTGTACAGAATTTTGGAAATTTCAGAAATTTCGGAAATTGTATAATTTTGGGAAGTACCAAACAATTTAGAACACAAGTACTTGAAATTTCCAAAACTTCCAAAATTTCCTTTTTTGGAAGTCTGAACACTGCTGAAATTTCTCAACAAAAAAATAAAAATTTGAAAAAACAAAATAATAACTTTTGTAGTCCATGATTTGCCGATTCTAATAAGATAAGATAAGTATTTCTATCACTTCTTACAAAAAACTAGATAGCTTTACAAGAACGCTCACTGACACATACTTTTCGTCTGATGGAGCTATTTATATGGGATAAGAAATTGTTTTCTTTATTATATCTAAGTCTAACCATATAACATTTTTCTATTCAGTTTTTCGTGCTGATTCAGAATATAGTACTTTGGCAATACTCAGAAAAGAGCTGAAATAAAAATTTGGCAATTTTTGTAAGAAAAACAAAGTTTAACATAAAAATATATTTTTTCTCAGGTGTTCTCATTTCTTAAGATTTTCTCAGTCAGGCAGTAACTAAATCGAAATAAAAAGTATATATTCTTGATCAGCTTTTCAAGCTCTATCAAGCCATATATAAATAAGCGAGAAACAAAATTTACTCCAATTCTGCTTTAGCGGCACCTTATAAAAAAAAGAAACTAAATGAAACATATGAAAATTTTTGTATTTTAAAAATGATAGTAAAGTAGAGTTTATATCTTCGAATTATGTAACTTCTAGGATCTATCAAATGGAATGCAGAACCAATTACAATGGTTTAAAATGTCTTTAATTTTAGTGCAGTTCTCCATAAAAAAAACAACTCTATATGTTTTGCACACGGTCGTGTATTTGCTATAAAAACTAGTCGTTGGATTGATCAAAATCTATGTTAAAAGAAGTTTCGTAATTTACTGCAAATACCAGAACTTTCGTTTAATCAGTCTGTCATTCTAAAAATATCTCTGAAATTATCGTCGTATGTGTTGGCGATTATGAAAGCTTTGAGAAAGAAATAGATCTCTTGTAAATCGGTAATTGTCAATTTTGAAATGAGTCGTTCGACCCAGAATTTCTTTCTTTTTTTCTCCCGGAAAATTTCTAATAGCAGCAAATTGAAAAAAATTGATTCTAATCAAGTTTGATTCTTAGCTTTTTTCGAGCTATTCTAAACGAGCTTTGTCAGATCAATTAGGAAACTTCATTGTGCCACCGCTTCGAAAGTCTCAAGCAGTCAATTAATAAGTGCTGTATACGTTTTTTTAATCCAATACCATTCCTCATTCACACACGGAAAATAACCTAATAGATCAACAACTTCGTTAAATAGCATAGATTTTATTAAGCACACAGCTTGAAACGAGGACATCATATTTTTCCGTTCAAGAAGTCATTCGACTTAAATCTTATGTAGTTTGCTTCCAATGATTTACATTGTTTTAACTTGTTCAACTCATGATCCTTATGATACTGAAATGTTTACTAGTACGATTTTGAATTCGATAGAACCGTCAATATGTGATCTAACGTTCAGGTCTGATAATTAAGAGATTTCCTGGAAACAACTTGTCTTATCGGTATGTATAATGTATCAAAAAAACCAAATAGCAAGCGCTATTGTTATTTCAAGTGTAATTTATTTTTACCAAAGTTGTTCCCAGTGTTCAGGTTGAAATGGCTGAAAAATGAATGAAGAGCATGATAATAAAGTTATCGGTTCAACAAGAATTTGTTCAAGAATTTTTTGTGATGGTGCAGTAGTTATTAATGATTGATCAATTAAATTTTTTATAATTTGATGTAAAAACAATTTTCTTTGCTCTAGATCATTTAAGTTACAAATTATAAGTTCTGTATTAAACGATTTGATCGTTTCGTTCTAAAAGATTTCCTTTGAGTTTCGTTTCATTGAAGAAATTTTTCATCACTCACATTATGAATTTCATGAATTTTTGTAATCGAATCTTGATTTACAATAAAATAATTATAAAAATTAAATGGAAATTTTTCATTGAAATTATTTTTCAAGTTCTTATGATTCAATGATAATGCAATTTCAATAGCTATTGGCGATATAAATGCATTATCATCGCGAATACTTAATAAACATGTTTTACTTAATTGTAAAGGAAATTCAAGTATATTCTCACTATTTTCAATCTAAACTTAGTTCTTTTGTTTTTGTATACTAATTTCATAAAGCTACTACTGACCATTATGTTATGGAATAGTCAATCTTGAATTCAAATTAATAACTAAAGATAGGAAAACTAAAAATAATGCGCCATTATTAAAAAGCAAAATTTTCAAATGCCTCATCCTACAGAATCTTCTGAATCATTGAAACGACCCAGTAATATCTCAATAACTTTAACAGACAGTTTCAATCAATCGAAAGCTACTATCATTGTTTGGATTATACGTCTTGTACTTTTCATCGTATTGTTATTATTTATTATGCCTATAGCATTAGTTTTAACACCGTGGTGGATTTTTATGCAACCTTGTAAAAAAGCATGTCCAAATATTATGAATGGCTATTATCGTATTGTTACATGGCCATTAAAACTGAGTAAAAATATTCGATTTTATAGAAAATATTATAGGTTTATTGAACAACTAAAATATTGATTTCATATGCTGTCATTTTTTTATTCCACAATAGAACGAGTCAGTTTCATTCATAAAAGAAATAAATTTGTTGAAAATGTGATTCAACTAGATCAGTGAATTCGGATGTATATTGATATATAAGATGTTTTGTCTCGTCTTCGATTGATTCGAAATGGTTCATATTTTGACGTGTTTGATTTGTCAGAAAATTTGCTGTATATTGCATTACTTTAACGGCATTGCTTGTATGAGGAATAGTTGTATTGACACGCCATTCAAATCCATTCTTTTCAGGATGCCATTGGACACCAAATACTGGATAACGACGACCTAAACACATAGATTTAAGATTATTATGTTTACTATATTCTCGTGTCGATTGATTTTAAGTAAAAATAACAGTTATGCTTATATCAATACAGATCAGTGTTAGTTCAAATACTTTTGTGACACGCGTGAATATATTGATATTAGGAATAAACTATAAATAAAACTATGTGATAAATAATATTTACTTTCAATAGTAGAGACAAATGTTTTGCCTTCTAAATCCGGGCTAATGGTTAACATCTTGTAAAATGTTGATAAAATTGGATCGGCTGAGAAGTTCTACATAAAAAATTCGGTTTTTTTTATGCATGTGGTTAAATCAAAAAAAGAAAATCTTTACTGTTGGTCGCATACAAAAATTATGGTAATTTGCTGTTGTTGAATCATTTTGTAGGGCATTTTTTATATTCAACGGTAATGAACTTCCTAACAATTGACTATCGGCAGCATCTACTCGCAAAAATAACTAAAATAGTTTAATACAAACTAATTGCTCGATTAAAAACCTGGCATGAAAGTAAGTTCTGTTGCAAAATCATATCCTTTGCATGGCTCCAAAATATCAATGGAACTTCTTGTTAACATCAATAATACTTCAAAACCAAGACATGTTCCCCATACAGGAAACAATTTAGATGTTTCATCAAACTCCTAAAAACGAAAAGAAAAAATACAATTCATTCGCTTATGAAAAAATTAACTTCGTTTTACTTTTAATGACCATGCATAAAAAAGTTTTGCAACATAAAAATATTCATTACTAAAATCTCCACCGGGAAAAAGTACTCTACATGAATAGGAATAGAAATGATTTTCTTTCCTTTTTCATTTATGTGAACATACCCATTAAGCGAATTAAACAGATGCAAATAATAATCTATTGGTTGATACATTCTTTCAGATGCAGAAGAAAAAAAAACGTTAATTGTCATTTATAGACTTGAAGGTAATTAGTTTTTACCTAATGGGAACGACTTGAGCTCCAGTTGATTCAACATATTTCACATAAGAAGCTGCTAAATATGTAGTACGATTTGATGCTTGCCATATTGATGGTGCCGGTTGAGTTAAAATCCCTTAGTTATACCAATCAATAGTTTATCATTATAATTAAAGTAATTAAAATTATTTTACCAATAATTGGTCGACTGTTTTCTATTGGTGAAAATGTTTTTTGATTTTTTCCATTGATTTGTGTGATGAATAGAATTATCAGCAACAATCTAATCGTCATCATATGGTGGGGATTTATTTTAAAAATCTAAAAAAGGCAAAAACTGACAAATAATATTGAATCTGTTCGTAGGATATCGTTTTTTTTCTAATATAATACTATTTGAATAACTCCTATCGAGGCTATATATATAATACATTTATCTTTTTCGTTACGCATGATATAACATAAAAATAAACGTAAAAAAATAGGGCTCTCTCTCTCTTTCTTTCCAATAAAACCTTATGGAAATAAAAATACTATTATTTTTTCTTCTGAAACTAGGGGTTTTATTTTCATATATGGAATATCTTTCCTTTTTGATTAATACAAAACAACAAAAACTAAACCAGACTAAAAACAACTATTGTTTTATATTTCGATATTTAACCAATTGAATAGCATGACTGGTATTAACGTTGATTAATAATAAATCTCGATCGTTAATAACGCACATCTACAACAAAATAAAATTCATTTCTTTTTAAATAAAAATCAAAAATAGTGTTCATAAGAAGTGATTTTTCTGATAATTTTACCTTTGTTTGATCTGTATATAAGGTTTTCTTTGTCAATTGTATGGTTTCATCATTGTTAATTTTAATAATCCAGAGAATTTTTTCATCGCTGAGACCAAAGAATATATTATACTTTTTAAGACATTTCATTGTATAGATAGTTGAACAATTATTTAAATCAATACTATAACTTAATTCAAATGTATCAATATCGAATAGAAGTAATGAAACTTTCTTGGGGGTTATATACGGAAAATATGATATAAGGATTTCATCCTTGTGTGTTAAACCAATTAATGTATTTGTACAACAGAATGAATTACTATTGATCTAAATATCAAAAATAATATTTGTTTTTATAATCTCAGAAATCTTATTAGTTGACATTTTTAACTTGACAAAAATATGCTTTTTCTCTTTGCATGACAGTAATGTTTAATTGTTAGATTTTTATGGTACTACTATAAAACCACTTGTCAATATGTGCTTCTATAAAAAATATATATATATTTCTTTTAACAACTTTTTCTAATTTAGATGACCCGCATAATTCGTGCAAATAATATCTATCTTTTTAAATCACGAGTCTAGGTCTTTCAGTTCTGGAAAAAAATACAGCAAAGGGCCTACTCCTTTTTTGTGTACTCAAAAAGTGAGTACACTCTAGAATCGGTCGGTGTGTCCGGCCGGCCGTAGGCACGATAACTTGCGAAAGGAGAGTCAGACCGTGATGAAATTTTCCACACAGTTCAATCTCATGAATATCTCGGTCGAGTTCGAAAGTGAGAAGAATCCCTCAAGAAATGGTTGAGTTATCGAAAAAATTGTCATTTTTGACCAGGCCATCCCTGAGGAGGAGTACAGGGAATTTTTTTCAAAAAAGAAATCTTTCTCAGAATTATTCACAACATATATAAATCGACTCAGTTTTTAACGCTGATTCCGAATCTGATATTAGTTTTGAGCTAAACCGTAGCTTTCTGATGAAACATCGCCTGAAAAACGTCTCAAAATGCACAAAAACTGCATCCAGAAATCAAATTGCCCAGTTTCTCATGATAATTTTGGTGTTCAGACATTCTAGAATGACTCATACATCCCATGCACTTTTTGCAGTACACATAACTTTCGGATGAAATCCGAAGTTTCCACATTTTTTTTATAATACTTTCGGAAAACTTTAAGCGTTCGATTAAAATAGGTCTTAGTTTAATTAATCTACCGGTAATTGTTTGTAGATTGAACTATGAAATGTTTTTTCTTTAATCAATTGTCTATCGTAGATTTGTATTGCACTTTTTTGTTGAAAAATTGTATAAAGTAAAATCTTATTTTCATTACAGGCGATTTGAGCAGAATGAAATTTTTCCAAACTCAAAACTTTATTAATAATTATTGCATCCTTTGAAAATAATTTTGATCGATCATCTTGAATACTATAGATCGAATCATGGCAGACAGCAATAAATCGATCCATAAATGAACACCTAAACAAAGAAAAAGTTTTTAGCGCAATACTTCTGAATTTTACGTGTGGTACAAGGTGTAAGCTGGTCATAGAGATATTGTTTCATTCTATTTTTTTCTGCAACATCGTTTTATTTAATCCTCCAAGGAAGTAGTTGGTACGCTATAACGTGACACTTCTAAGATGCTGATAATGATATCTGACTACCATCAGCAAAAATTTGTCGGATAACTTTTATTTTTCAAGAAGATTTTACCAATGGAGATCAACAATTGGTTCATATTTCCATTTTAGATTTTGTTGATAATGTCCATCGGTACGAAGTAAATTGAGAAAATGATTACGATTATCATAACATATAATGCTTTGCGAACTGGATGCTATTAAAGATATTTGAAAACGCGTATGAATTATATTTGCGAATTTCCAATTTTTCCCTACATCAATATTCTTGTCAATATCATCATTTGAAAAAAATGATGAAGATAATGCTATGGATGATTTATTGGATGTACAAGTTATTGTTGATAAACTTTGATTGGATTTTTTTATTAATAATTCACCGGCATTTATTGATTGTTCCACATCATTTGCCGTATTGGAATGAATTTCTTTAGTAGAATTTTCTAATGACTTGAAGCGTAAATTAATTTCAACAAAATTTGATAAATAACTTTGTAATTTACTAAATAATACTTGTTTATTTTTATCATCGGATGGATATAGAATTGATAATATATTATAAAATTCATTTTCTAATATTTTTATTTCTGACAATAGATCATTCAAATCAATCTAATATAAATATTTCTTTGTGAAGAGAACAAAAACAAATATTTATCTGTTACTTGTTGATCTTGATAGGTCTTCGATTGATGGTCAATTATTGATAAATTTTGAAATGATCGTTGTTTATTAACAATTAAATGTACGAAATCAGTACATTGATCGATCCCAAATCGAGCAAGCTTTGCTAAAAATTCTGCTAGATTATCACTTTCATTTCTATCACCACATACACATGATGAGTAAGATGTTAATATATCTGACATTGTAATTAGTATCTATAAATATGATCTAGAAAATAGCCTAAATTTACATGCACTTTTAACGGAAATTTCATATGTTGTTGTTTAAAATTTGAGTCGTTTGAGATAAAATACGAAAATATGAAATCTAGAAGACTGCCAGAGTAGTGGCCATGCATGAATGTAGAAAAGTGTTTTGAGGCTATCTTGTCGTATCTTAAAAAATGCTTTTTATCAGAGGTAAGATAAGATTTTCTTTAGTTCTTATTGCAAACAATCGACGTATAGTCATGAACTCATGAACTAAAAACGAAATAATATTTATGCTGTCGTCAGTTTTAGTGACAACAACAGCTGATCTTTTTGAATTGGAGGTCGTCGAAATAATTTATGAATATGGAATTAGTCCGAAAATTTAGATACAAAGTTATTGAGACTCTATATGAGTTAGAGTCAGGTTTCATTTTATGATTGTAACTAGATCAATCCAGTACACGTTCGTTGCTTTTGGTTGAGGAACACTAAACATCGTATTTAAGACTCAGTAGAGAGCAACAATGAACTTTATCAGTTTTAAATCTTTCTAAAAGTATGCATACTGAGATTTTTTCCTCCTCCGTTTATATCTATCGAGACATAATCCCCCACTAATCACATTCAAAAGCAACACTAAACATAGAAAAACAAGAATCTTTGCTTTCACATTTGTTTACTTATAATAACAAACTGTTCAATAAAGGCGAAAAAGCTATAACCGAAAAAAAAAGATCTTTTTCGAATATTGATCACAACAAATAACAGTAACAAACAAATAAACAATAACAAACGCTTAGTTTCTTTTTTGTATATCACAAATCTCGTTTGAGATTTCGATATTGAAGTGTCTGAATTGAACATTCAGAACGTAAAATAAACACTTGATGATCATTAGTAATACATAGATGTTTTCCTTTATCTAATAATTTCTTTGTTATTAATTCGTTTGTATCTAAATTAACAAGAATAAGTTGCACAGGTTCAGCAAGTATCATAAAAATATTTTCTTCATAACAACATTTTATATCATAAACATTTGAACAGTGGCATAATGACATTTGTTGTATACACAACATTGTTTCAAGATCAAAAAAATAGATTTGAATATTTTGTTCATTTTCAATTTGATGTGGATTATTTATTGTTGATAGGACTTCAGTCTTTTTAACGATAGCAAATGTGCATTTATTTAAACAAAAACCATGAAAGCCAAGTGGAATCAAATCATGTTGAATATGATTATCAAAATGACGTAAACGTTGGCCCGATCGACGATCATATAAATCAATAGAAACACATTGATGTTCAATCATATAAATATACCAACCATCGGAATGCGGCGAGATACGTACATGATGGAATGATAAACCACGAAAATTGATTAGCTTATTTACTTGTGGCACATGTTCGTTGGCATATGGATTTGTATCATATGGATAGCAAAGTGAATAAAGACCTAAGTTGCCCACACTAAAATAGATAATCAAGTCATAATAGCAAAGAAGAACAAGATGAAGTATTTCAAATGAAAACTCGTTATTTCGTAATAAAACTAATCGTGTAGAGGGTAGTGTAAGTTTCTATTCTTATTCTCCGAAACACTGAATTGATTCTTCATAAAAAGTTTTCGCACTGTCATTCCAGTTGTGATTCTCGAAGATAGGAACTTATCATATCATCAAGCTGCATTCAACTTTTTCTTTTTGGAATCAATGCTCACAGAAATATGACAGCTTCATATTGTTAATCTTTGTAGAATTCGAGACCGATATTTAGTATAGTATCGCTTTCTAATAATTACTTAATAATCTTAAATAGAACCATCTAAATAAATTGTTCTTGTATTGTTTACTCGAACTGTAGCTACTGATTTTATCTTCTCATTTGTTATTCGGATGTGTTGAAATTGGATTACGAATTCGAACTCTTTTAATTGTCAAGATTTCTTTCTTCAGAAGTAGTGTATCGTTCACGAAAATATCCATCCACCCAAAATTCTGATACATAATAATCGGATAGTGAATCTATGTTGGATTTTGTTTCTTTCTACAAATAACTCACATGAGATAGAATTTACTCCAAGGACACCATGTTATATCCCAAAGCCGAGCATTATTTGCTGTTACTGGTGCTAGTATACGGTAAACTTTAACACCTGATAAATTTATACCAGATACTGTTGAGTAATTAAGAAAATTCTTTTCGATAACATATGAAAGTATAGTACGTCCATTGGATGCAATCATATCACACGGATGAGCCAATAGAATACTTGGACCAAATTTGAAATTATTCAAATTATTAACATTCACTGCAGTACTAGTATTGTTACAACTGTCATCACTATTCTTGCCTGAATCCACTGTTACTGTTGACGATGAAATGGCAGGAGTCATTTTCGTGATTGGATTTGGTATAGATTCTAATGGTGTTGGTGATTTTTCTGGTGGACATTGTGAAGATATCGAAGAAAATACTTCTGTTAAATACGATAATAGATTATCAAGATCACGTACAGGTGTAAGAGTAATTTTTGATAATCGATGAGTACATTGTTCAAATTCATCAGCAAATAATTCAAATGTTTCTGATGCATTTCCATGATACATAAGACTTTTTGTTCGCATATATTGTACAGCATCAAGTATTTGCTGTAGTTCAATCTAAATTTTTCAAAAAAATTATTATGTAAAAAAGTGATTCGTTAAATCGAAACAGAATTTTACAAAGATATTTGTTTTTCGATCAGTTTTAGTTTGATTAAAGAAATTTCATGAACGCAGACTGTTTTGACTTTTGATAAATTAGTTGCAGAGAAAAACAACTTGACATAAGGAGAGTCTCTCTTCTCTGATTGTGGTACAGTATTTACATAAAACGAAGAAACCAGAATATCACATTTAGAGCTCCTAATGGATTATTCAAAGTATAATGGTATTTGACAAACTTGACTGTCTTTCAAATTCGAATAGCTCAAGAAAACAAGATCGATTGTAGATGACGCTCTAAAAAAAAGTACTCCATGACCCATGAGATTTTCCCCTGAATACTTTACTAGAATAGAGGAAAAATGTAGAGCATATTGTAATTATTGATTGCGAAACTGAATCTACAAATTAATGTCCCAATCTCATGTGATTTTTTTTTATCTTGTTTGACACAATATGGTCAAAAAAACGAAAATTTGAAGTCAACCTAAAGCATACTTGCGCATTTATTGTTTGTTTTTCAATATCATTTCGACAAAATCGTCGAATTTCAATTAATTGTTCAAATATTTTATTGAATGTTTCATTAATTGAATGATTTATATCATCTCGTTCTATTTCAAATAATTTTTGCTTTTGAATTATATCTTGTTGAGAACGATTGAACAATTCTATTAGATTATTCATATTTTCATTTGTTAATAATAAGCATAAACGATATCTTGAAAATCTCGACAAAAAAAAAACAATGAAAACTTAATGTATTCACAGGAATTTTTCGAAATGAAAAAAGCAAAAACAACAAAAATTGAAAACATTTAGAATGTTTATTAAACGTTGCACCTCTTCCATCATCAGATCAACAAAAGCTGCAAACAAATGTAAGGAAAACAAAAGCAAAAAAAGAAAGACAAACATTTTTTTGCATTTAACTTTTTGATAAAGCTTCTTTTGAGAAACCTTTTTGTTCTTTTTCAACAAAACATTTTGTTAGCAGGTCCACATCGACAACTTGTACATGTATCATTTGTACATAATTATATTTAGTTTCTCTTGGTAAATCATTGCCATTGATAGATTCCTCTTTAATATTAGGATTTTTTTCATCTTTAACCTTTTTATGTCGTATCATTAAACGTCTACTTAAATAATCACCAATTAATGATATACTTCCAACGCTTACATAAGAATTTGAACTTGGTAAAAATAATTCATAGTCCAGCCTCATTGATTCATAAGAACGTAATTTACCTGATGAAACATTATTGATACGAAACGGTATTCGAAATTTATCATATAAATTATACATTAAACGTGTTAATTCAAGAAAAAGTTCATCTAAACTCGATGTTTGTTTAAAACGATAAGGACTTTTATTTGTCAAGCTATTTTTTAAATTTAAATTATATTCATGCTCACGTTCAATGGATACATTCGACGGTTGAATTTCTAAATCTGTTATCTGTTTATCCAATAGTGGATCAGCAAAATTTTTCAAATGTGTATCACGAATAGTAGTCATTGCTAATAATTGAATTTTATACGTTTGCTCGTTTTTAACATCATATTTTGCACCGGACGTAAAAACATAATAGGGTAAATCTGTTTGTAAAAATGTCCGACGAACAAATGGTACAAGTATGGATGCTAATGAACCTAAACCGGATGATATTAAGGAACGTGATCGTGGATCGTCAGCACTTTCAAATGTTGTTAAAATATGACGACTTTCATTTATATTCGCACCCAATGCTTCATATATAAAAGGTTTTGTCATACTTATGGATGACATTTCTTGAAAACCTAATTTTGATAATTCGGTGCATATAAAATGAACAAATTCATGTTTACGTAATGGCGCTACACCAAGCCAATAAGGACCAAATATTGATACATCACTTTTTTCTACATGACATAATTCATGCCACGATTTCGAATTAAACGCATGTTTAACAATAGGTATCGACGATTCATAGATAGTTATGCCCTCGGGTGGTTTAGCTGGTACGGCAATATGTTGGGCTGCTGGCAAATGAAGACATGCAACAATAAATCGTTGATCAAATAAACGAAACTTTTGACGAAATTGTTCGAAATGAAGTTTTAAAGAATGAAATTCTTTATCAGTCATCATCGCTTCGCCACGAGCATATAGCGATTCATTTGGTAGTGCTGATGAATGAGCGATAGATTCAATCCAAGCATTATCGACACTCGTAATCATTTCGGATGCATGCTGGATTTCACTAAAAAATTTAAAAAAATGATACAGCAAAAAAGACAGATTTCGAATCGAAATCTTTATTGAAATCTAATACTCAAATTTTGCAAGGACTAAATTTAATACAACAAAATATGTTGAAAGATAATTTGTTTTTGAAGATGAAAAACTTTGGAAAATGTTAATAAATAAATGCTTACAGATTTTCAGTCGCTAGTTTTGGTTTGGTCTCATTCGATGTATTGCTATCGGGTTGATATTTTTTCTTTCGTTTTTTGCTTTTATTTGTGTCTGATTCATTAATATCTGTCATTGTTAAATCATTGGCTTGCTTTTGTTCACGTAGATTTTCTTGTGCATGATGTAAATCACGTAAACGTCTATATTCTTTCTTTTCTTTTTGCCAACGTTGATAATCTGATGCAAGTTGATTGATATCGACCATTAAATTACGTTGTTCACAGTTCTCTTTCAATAATTCAATATCACGAAAGATCTTTATCAGATGTAAATCTGGCAGCACTTGTTTTGGATAATCAGCTGAATTTAATGGATAGAGAGCTTGAAAAAAAAAGAATTAAAGTAAATTAAAAAGTCCTCTCTGACAATTACATATCGCAAGAAAAATAATCTATTCTGTTTAGTTTTTTTTTTCTTTTGTAAAGTAAAATTTTAGGTTTGTTTTAAGTGACTTAATTTTACTGGGAAGCATATCACGTTCCGATAACTAGTACATTCTTATTATTTTATTCCTAGTACATTTCGGATACAACTCCCTTAAAGAGTTTTCGTTTGCAACAAGCACCTTCGATCTATCAAACAAATGAAAAACCAACATAATGTTCATAAAAAGTAGGTCATTTTAAAATAATGAAAATTTTGTCATAAAAAATATTTCCAAACGATTGAAACTACATCTAGTTTACTTTGCTCAATCGGATATCTTACTTTTTTTGTATATTCGCAAAAGGCTTGATAAACTATTATGTAACTAGAAAACAAAGAGAAATACTGAAATTGACTATTCGTGAAAATGAGAACCTGATCAATTCAAACTTTTGTGTTAGTCGTATCACCACTAAAAGAAGGTGCTTTTTCTTTAAAAAAAGAAAACTAAGATATACTATTGAAAATTTTGAGTATCTAGTTCAATGATTTTCTTGCCGGAAAGGATCTGTAACATCTTGGAATCAGATTAATAGAAATTATGAGGGTGAGAGTAGCCTCGCATTGAAACATGACATTCATAGTTTTCTTCGAAAATCTCTGCACGGTTCACAATTTAAAAAATGTAATTAACAAACCTGATCGTATATGGTCATTAGGTGCCTTGATTGTATATAGAAGATCTTCATTAGGAAATGGATGGGTTGCTGCTAAACGATGAGACAGTTGATAAATTGATCGTTGAAGAGTTAAGAGTTTTGATGTATACATCTGAAAGAATAACAGAATATCAAGAAACGTATACATAACAATGGAAAGAATTTGAATTAGAATTCTGTTATGTCGATTTGTTTTCTTTTTCATAGATAGACATTGCATAGTTAGACGATGATTGTTTAAGTGGAAGAACAAAAATTAAACCAGATTCACCACCAAATGCATACCAACAATATGAACCAAGATTCGGATTGAAACGAATCTAATGGATTAAAATAATTCTTTACTTATTTGTATAAAATTAAATTAAAAGAAAAGAAACCATTACTTTATGTAAAGCATTCAAAGAATGATTTCCAGCTTTACTGAAATCATCTTGTTTACTAACAAATTTTTGCTACAGAATACAAAAATATTCGTTTTTTTCTAAATAAAAATCGTCAAAAGGTAGTTTACGTCACAACACAAGTTTGCATCAAGATAATATTTATCAACTAAATCCGTATATGACGATTGTTCAAAAATCGGTTCACCAACTTCTTGATTAACTAAAAACATGTATAAAGTGTATGTCAGATCTTATTTATTAAAATTATTCTTATTAACAGCGATATCACAAGATTATCAGAAAGTTTGAACAATTTGGGTGATCTATCAGAAGGTATTTAAGACAAGTAACTAGCTTATAACGGAGGTTAACGGTTTACTCAAGAAAAATGAAAGCCTATTAGTACCATCTCTACGGAATGAAACTGTAAAGTATTGTAACTCTTCTGGTACTAATGAAAGTGAGAATACTCTATCAGAAAATATGTAATGCTACTATAAATATTCACTAGTGAGTCCTTAAAACAGGATGTATCGGGCACGGATCTGAAGCAATAGTTCATTATTTCAGTTAAATCATTTGCTGTCAGTAGCGCCGTGTTCTAATGTATCAGTATGCACCAACTACACTAGATCGATGACAGTCGCTAGCTACTAAACCCATACTGCACATGCTTAAATTCATCTATTTTGATATACATGTCTTCATCATCGTTTCATTGCATCCTCTTGAAATGCACGAAGTAGTTCACATACTACAATGAGACGTCATTGGTTGGGGATGTCTGTCATGATCTTTGAAAGGCAATTTCCTAGCACTAGACTTAGGCACTTGTTTTCGATCATATCTTACAAAGTCTTTCGTGTAAAATGATGGGACTATGTGGAACTATTAATCTCACTAGAAAAAGAAATTAATGTTTCTTACGTTTAGCTACTTCTTCTTGTTTATCTGGCTTAATTATTGCATTTAAGTTAAATAATTTCTAAAAAAATAATAGATTTAAAAAAAAATAAAATCCAGAAACTTTTCAGTTTTCTATTTACTAATCGATATTTTAACGAGCATTCATTTTTTCTTGTCCATCTTACAAAGTTTGTTACTCGAAAGAAATACACTTGACCTAGAATAAAAAACGTGTTATTAGAAAAAAATAACTCTTTTTTTCTCTGTACCATTCGAATCAGAAAGTAAAACAGAATCAAGCCACGGAGAATAATCAACACTTAAAACATGATCGGGTGTAGATTGAAAATAAATATGTTTTGGAAGATTATTTGTTTCTGGTTCATATGTAAGATAAGCACTTGTTCGAGCATATGATCTTCAATTAAAAAGAAGAAACAGAATTTTGTAAATTTTTTCGTCTATTTCTTTTTATAGCCATACGGTGTAAATTCTTTTACGCATAAAAGATCACCAGTTAAAGTTCTTATTGCTGATTCTGTACCACTATTTTCAATATCGATTAAATGTTGATGATGATCATCGAAATCCCATACACTTAAAAAAATGAGCAATAACTGTAAAAATATTCGCAACATCCTAAGTTTTTTATTTATACGTGAATCGTTTTGCGATGTTTGCAATTGTTAAAACAAGATTTGATGAATCGCTTAAAAATTTGATGTCACGAATTGGTGTATACGATGTTCGAAAACATCGAATAGGAAAAATAATTTTTTCTTGATTTGGTTTCTACATAAATAAATGAAAACATATTAATATATATATATAGAGAGAGAGAGATGTATGAATGTCTTGATTGTTTGCTGTTTACAATTTCAATAAGATGTTTCGCTTCCGTATTAACATGAAACAGAGCTATAAAACCGTTACTATAACAAGCAGCAAGACGGTGTGGATCATGTTGAGACCAATCGATTGCTAAACATTGTGTAAGATTATTTGGTTCATTCAGTGATAATCGAATTGTTTTTTTTGCTTGATAAAACGATAAAATTTTATTTGTCGATTCAGTTGATGATAGATATTGTTCAGAAAATATTTTATACAGATAAATTGAACCCGAACTGGTACCAGCAGCTAAGTAAGCTGATGGTGATGAACACGAGGGAGACCATTTTAAGCCCCATATAGCACCGGAATCATTTATTGCGATCAAGCAAATCAACTGATGATTTTTTGGTGTTAAATTTGTTTTTACATTTGATAAATCAAACATCCATATTTGAATATAATTTTTATATGAATAGATTTCATCGTAAATATGTTTTGATATTAATGATGAACGTGAACAACCGACAGCTAAATATTGATGTGTTAACGGACATTTTGCAGTAGGCATCGAAAGCCAATCTAGAGATTGAATGGGACCAATACCAGTATTCAGTGTAAATACATTATTCTTATGTGCAATAGATTCAAATGGTTGGAGACTTTCACAGCCACCATCTATCTATATATATATAAGAAAATAAGATAATAAATAGTCAATTGAAAGACTCAATAATTTTATCTATACAACAGATGCTGGTTAGTTAAGAATTCGACGTAAACAGTAGCACTGTAAATTTAAGTATAATCTTAACGTGACTTTTGAGGAGCTGTGAAAACTATGATTAACATGTCGACAATGATTACTTTTAAAAGTAATTAGTTATCAATAAGACAATTGAACTTCACATCTAAATCTAAAGAAATATCCATTCAATATAGCTAATCGATTCTGATATTTTCATTATTCGAGCAATCTTCTTTTTACCATAGACATAGACATTGAAGCAATATAAGTTTAGGACATTTCATATAAAAGTCCAGTGAACAAATTAGATTGGTATCATATTTCCAATCATCCGCTGTCTCTTATAATAGATTTTTACTATGGAATTAATGTAACGATATTTTTTTTGCTATTTCTTCTTTTTTTATGTTTTGAAAAAAGTGATTCGAACAGACTGTGCCAAAGACTTCTGTATTATTTTTTATATTCGTGCCACACTGATGATCGCCCGATCTTTGTGATACTAGATCAATCATTACAGAAATCCTTCTATACTATATCTTTTACATAATGAATAATTGCCAGTTTACAAATGATTTTCTTATACACTCTCATGATAATAGAGTATGAACTAATTGATTTTGTTCTACATACATTTTGAGAAAGTTGAATATGATATGTATCAGTTAAAACTTGTTCTGTCATTTTTGAATCTTTGATAAGTTCAATTTCATTTTCATTATCAAGATAATCAATGGCTAGTTGTCGATCTTGATTGCGGCGTTGTAATTTTAGTGCAACGTCAAAGGTTGTTTCATTCAACGTCAATGGATGTTCTATATAAACGAAGCATTGAATAAAAAAAAGAGAATAATTTATAATTATATAAGAATAAATACGTGGAACAGGTCCATTGTCTATTGTATTTCTATAATTTCCCCAGCTTTCTGTTTGGTCTTTTGATTGAATTGCTAATGATTTACGTTTAGCAGCTGAAGATCGACGATTTGGACGTGCAACATTTTCATCTTCTTCTTCTTCTTCTTCATATTGATCTGATTCTTCGTCAACTTGTTCATCCACATATTCCTCTTCACTACTGGCTTCTTTGTCTACGGATAAGAAAACAAAACAGAACATATAATTTATTAGCAAATAATCTTCGATAGAAATGTTATTCTTAGAAAACACACATTTCTTTTTAACTTTAGCTGCTTTTCTTTGTTGAACAACCATGGCATTCATTGCTAGTAAATTTTCAATTTTTGGTACACTTGCTGAGAACAACAAAAAATCATAAACATATAATTATCTCAATGAAATAAATCTTACGTTCATCATTAGGTTTAGTTTTTTTAGTTTTTTCAACATTAGGTTTGATTGTTTCAGTATTAGGAAGAACGTTGCTTCTGGAAAGAGAAATATTTTCAGAAAACTATCAAACACTTTGATTTTCTCACATACTTTCTAGGACGACCTCTTCTTTTGGGCGTTGGATCCATTTACTATTTCTATACAAAAATCTAAAAAATTTGATGAACCTTTTTGTTCATAATGAGATATTATTTTATTTATTCGAATATAAAAAAATATATAATGGGACGGAATAAAAAAGAAAGAAAAAGATAAATTTTATTAAGAAATAGTTAATGGAACATGTCGTTTTAATAATTTTTCCTTAACATTCTTTGTTAATGATGAACCAAGAACATCAGCAAGTGTCGTGTCAGCAAATAATCTTGGTAAAACTTCGATGCATCCGTCTTCTAATGGATTAATTAATATAGCTGCAATAATATCTTCTTGAGCTCCACGTATATCTTCTGTTAAATATTTCACACGTGATCGAGATACGTAATATTTTGCAATGGATGGATTAACATCAATAGCTTTTGTTAGTTCTCTGGAAGACTCCTGGAAAAAATAACAACAAACGAAATATTTAACAATAGACACTCAACTATGCAAACCTGATAGCGTTTTTCTTTATAATGTTGTTCAGCATTAGTAAAAAATACATCAGAAATACGTAATCGTATATCACCATTGTGTGGTGCTATTTCAAGTGCTTGTTCATAATCTTGCAAAGCAAAAGAAACGTTTCCTTTAGCAAAAAAACAATCTAGCAACAACAAAGACGAACAGAGGTATGTTGTTTTTTTCGTTAGAAAATATAAACCCTAACCTCCTCGATTAATATATAATTCAGCTATTGTTTTATAGTAGATAAGTGCTCGATTTAATAATTCAATGGCATCATCATAGTAGCCGGTTTGCAAACATTTCAAAGCACATTCATTATAGATAAGAACGAATTGTTTGTGCACTTGTGAATAAAGTTCATGTTCTTCATTATGTCCAATTTTATCCAAAACAAGTAAACATTCATCAGTTGCTTGTTGAAATTTTTTCATTTTTCGATAAGTTATACTTCTGTATACAATAAATTGAAACTTAAATTTCATTTATAAGAAATATTGGAAGTTCGCTTTTTTTACCTTTGTAAATAAAATTCAGCATCAATTGGAAATAATTGTATAGCAAAATTAATTGCTGCTAGAGCATCATTTAAACGTTCGTGAATTGACATATTTACACAATTATCACGCGATTGTTTAGCAGTTTCTTCCAGAGCAGCCATCATACTATTGGCTAGTGAGTGATTTTCTTGAAGCCTCAAAGCATCGCGCACATCGTAATAGCAAAGTGCCAACTAAATTGATAAAATAAAAGTATGAGAAAATAAAACATCTGCTATGTATATTTAAAAACCTATAGTTTTTGCATAGGAAAAGACACATTTACGAAAAACAAAAAAGGATATGAAGTTTATTCTCGTCGTTTTGATTATTGCTCAACTACATGGTGCTTTTAGCGCTAGCGGTTCTCTTCAAGAGCAACGTGGATTCTTGGAATTTTGGGATCTCATTAGTCCGGTAGCCATTCCAATTGCTCATGGCATCGATACGGCTATTGGTACAATTTCAAATATTCATTCTTCTATTTCAAATGCAGTATCAGATGCTATTTATGGTGTAACATCGTGGATTGGCGATAAAATTCCAGCACTTGGCAAACGTGATTTAGAAAATGATGCTCGATTCAATCTTTTGAATGAACTTACAACGTTTAAAGCTTCGTTTCAACAATCAATTGTTGAAATATTTCAAAGTTTTCTTAGTGGTAATTTCGCAACTAAACTTCAACAAGCTATTTCGAAATTGGTTACTTTCCTCAACACACATTTACAAAAAATTAGTACTATCATCACTAATTTGATTCCTACAATGGATGGTACACTGGCAACTCAAGCTATGACAAGTAGTTTACATGTTATAGAAGTTATTCAAGAGGTCATTCGAAAAATTCATGCCTTTTTTTCTTCGTAAACACTGATTAATGGAAAAGAATGTTCAGTTTTTTTCTTCAAATAAAAACCTTAGTCTTGTCTTTATAAAAAAGACGAGCACGAATAATCAGTAAATCAGCATTTTCAGGATATTGTTCGATCATTTGAGTTACCAATGTACTTGCTTCATCTATTTTATTCAAAGCTGTTAGGCAAAGAATACTAGAAGCGAAACAAAATTGATATTGATTCATGTTCATATGCAATTAAATACCTGTAGATTTGAAATGGTAATGTAATGAAAATACTAGCACCATTGGCAACAATACCCAATGCATCTAAATAAAGTTTTTGATCGAATAATGTTACACCTGTAATGTATCGAAGAAATGCTATTTTTTCATTTATTAATCTATCTTCTCGAGGAGCTGGTGTTGTAGGATTCGATGCTGCTGGTTGTTCAATTTTCGATAATCGACTATTACTTGTTGTAGCTTGTGTATATGTAATACTTTTTTGTAAGCTTATAAATGAACTTTGAAAATCACATAGATTTAAATAGATTTGTGAGCGAATTTCATAGAATGGAATGTGATATGGTTTGAGAAGAAGACATTTATTTATATTCACTAATGCTTCTTCGTAGTCTGTATGTTTTGTCAGAAGTTCCATGGCTTTGTCATAACTTTGTTAACAAAAATTATCAATAGGTGTACAAAAGAAACATAGAATTGATAACTTACAATGTACTACAATGAGCATCCGTAATATTTTTCAACGAATCTCCTAATCCATGTCCTAGAAAAGAAAAAAGAGAATCAAAAAGAAAAATAGAAGATGAACTTTACCTCTTGACCATCCATCTGGTAGCAAAGCTCCTAGCGCATATCTATCATAGACTTCGGCATCAATTTCAGTAGAAAATATTTCTTCCTAAATAAGTAATAACTATTTCTATTAGTCAATGTTAACAAAAACACAAAACAAGGAAGATGTTATGTGAGACACTCGAAGACAATGTGAATTAAAAGATCTAATAGATGAATAAGTTAACTCACAGCATCCTTCTCCTGTTTTTCCTCGCTGAAAAATGTTTCAATTAATCCAAAATAAATAAATCAAAGAACATAAAATAAATTATTTTTACTTGATCGAATTTTTCCAGGAATCTGCTGTTAATTGTCGAAGAGGATTATCTTGTTGAGCATTCATATTTTCAAAGTCGAGAAAATGCTGACGAGAAGCACCTGGACGAACATTTGCAATGCCCCTTGATCTCGGTAAGTCGCTTGGATTTCGTGAAATGTCATAACTATCGGCCATTTTTTGCTCTGAGTTTTTTTAATTTGTCTACAACAAACATTTTTCATTAGTTTGGTTTTTTTTTTCAAACATCATTAACTGAACGCACTCAAGCTCTTATTAGAATAGTGAGAAAAAGTTCTAATTAATGGTCGAACATATTAACTACTAAATCAATTGCCTCTTCAGGACAAACATTTCTCAAATGCAAGACTAATCATTGAAGAAAAATAAAATAAATACACATTTATTTATTGTTTTTTTTTGCATTTAAATACAACAATAAAAACGAACGTAACAATATTGTGCAGTGTAAACTTATTCATCGGAACACAAAAATAATAATAATAAGCTGAACAATATGCATATATATATATATATATATACGTATATATATATATAGATAATAACAGAAAAACAACAATATACACATTTAAAGCAAAACATCGAGCAGAAAAAGGGAAAATGTCAACGGTATACACATAAAATAAAACAAAGGAAAATAAAAGTATGACGAAAATATACGCTGATGACTACAACTTGACTAGCCTTTTAATTAATTCTTATTTATAAGAAGATACTTATTGATCTCATTATCATTGTCTGTTTCTTTTTTTTAAATTTACAAAAAAAATAAATGTATCTCACTGTAAACATGTATTTTAAAATTCATAATCAAAAAACTAATAATCTGACACAAACATTTCTAGGTAGTTTTCTTCTATTGCGATTTGATAATATTTTGTTGTTCTAATCGTTTTAATTCTTGTAAAACTGGAATATTTATCATCATATCAGCATCAAGTTTATTCCAATAGACACGTTTTGGTCGTTGAAATAAACGTTTTGTATAAATATATCGTTTTGGTGTTACAATAATATCCACAGGTAAATCATGTTGTTCCATAATATGATTTGGTATATCGTTAATTAATTGACTTTCATGACACGTTGTCATAACAATTGTTTTATTTGATACGCAACCCATTTGTGACATAATTGCATATTCTAAATCACCATAACCTTTACCTTTACCAATACGTGCGCCCGTTATGGGATCGACAACAACAGAGGCAACAATAATTAAATCGACATGAATTTGTTTTAATGCTTGTAATTGTATAACAGTACCTAATTCAGCAGCACCAGCTTTTGTTGCTGCCCATTCTAATTGATGACGACGTAGAAATTTTGGTTCTAATTTATAAAATAATGCTGAATCTTTAAGAAAGACAGAACGAATAATCAAAATTAATGTTTCCCGGTTTCTTTTCAATTATAGACTTTTACTTACCAAGTGACGGTGTAGGTGTTAAAAGTATTTTATTATAAACTAATGCTAGATAACGAAGAGATTCTTGTGCAAGTGATGGATTAATTTTGATGACATGTGCACGTTTAAAACAGTCTAAACTTGTTACATTTTCAGCAGCTACTTCACAATAACGAAAATTTGGTATACGACCATGAACGGGAAGAGGAAAACGAACTTCAGTTCTGTAAACAAAAAAGTAAAGTTAATTCAATTTCAAATGATTTCTATTTTTGAAAAATCTTACTTCGTTGCCATTAAATCCCAAATAAGTTGTCGTGCTCGTGCTTTAAATAATTTAATATTTGTTGTTGTCATTGTTAATGATTCGGATTTATCTACTTTGGGTTCATTTCGTTGTTTAACCCAAAGAATCATTTTCGAAAAAGTTTCCATTATAATTTTATTTTTAAGCGAATGATTACACGTTATTAAACCATCAACAATATCTCGTAGGCAAATCCACTGATGAATATGTTGTCGATGTTGATGACGCATTTTATGTGCATATTTTGTTGGTGTTCGTTGAATACTATTGTTGTTGTTGTTGTTGTTGTTGTTGTCTTCATGAGTAGTTTTCTGCGTTATTAATTCATCGTATGTAAGTAAATTTGTATAACCAATAGCGTTACATATAACTGACGAATGGTAATCAACATCGAGAGCACATACTAAATAAAACAATTTTCTTTGATTTCAAAAACATTAACTTAGAATAAAGTTGTTGAGAAAAAATTGTTATAACAATTGATCAAGTAGCTAATTTCAATATACACTAGGCAGGAGTGAAGACGGCAATAAACTTTTGATATCTCAAAATCTTGATCCTCATCTAATGATGTACATTTTTAGTTTACTGGCTACTAACTCTACGTAGCTAGTGTCTAATATCAACTTTGATACAGATGACATTTTAAAATACTATACATTTCAGGATTGATTACAATAGTTCAAAAGAAAACTGTTCATCACTAAACCTCTCTCGAGTATGCATTAAATCACAGAATTACTAAGATCTCCATATATTTTCCTTAAAATACGGTAGACATAATAAATCAACTCAAAAGATATTTTCTTCGCAATCCACATGAACTGAAAGTGACGCAGCTCTATACGATTGGATTAGTCTTACCACACAAATTTGACATTGGACCAGTTGAATAAAACATACAACGATGTTTAAAATCTAAACGTTGTTGAATCATTGCCAAAAGTGGATCATTCGAATTTGTATTCATTGATGGTGATGATGATGAAGATAGTGCACGTCGTCCACTTGTTTCTTCATTATTAGGCAATGGACTGCTGTCCGCTTTTACCGCCGCCGCCGCCGTCGTCGGTGGCGGTGTTTCTGTTGCTGTTGTTGAATCTGTTGATGTTATGTTAGATGAATTTTGTTTCATTATTGCTGGTCGGTCGATATCAAGTAAAGCGCAAAGAAAATCCGACGAAGATATAACTTCACAAACAGCTCTCTGTGAACCATGCTTTGATATTTCCACTTCATATGGTGATAGAAAATAGCGATCTTTTTTGAGTGAAAAATTATAATGAAGTAGAACATGTGGAAATTCTTCAACCATTGTCACCGGAAATAGCATCAGCTTCATCTTGCAAATTTTCGATAGTCGAATATTAATATAATTCTAAATTAGTCTAACTTTTCACATCTAAAAACAACGAAAATAAGAATAAGAAAATGTTATTTTACTTCACTCATATAGAGTTTTCCGAATGCTTCTTTTTCTATGATAAAATTATAAACAGTAAAACAAAAATACACAGTGAACAAGAATAAAACGAACGCTGGAAACATCAAGAAACAATCTTATATCATGCAATACATAAATCAGAGTATAGTTATCGAGCAATAAAAGAAAAACGATTATTTTACTTTTGTTGAACATAGATTTAAAACTTGCGCAACATAATAGATGTACATGTTAGAAAATACGATCAAATAAGAGAACGAAAAAAAAAAATAGAAATACACATTATAGTCTATCCCTAGGAACTAATTATTTGTGAAAAAGTAAATGAGTCTCTTAATTTCTAATTGAAGTGATGGACTCAACCCGTATTTATATAAACTAAGTAGATTAAAATTTTTGATATGTAAAATCAATTCGAGCAAACAACGTTCTTTAAGTGTTAAAACCCATCGAGGTTGTTTTAAATTTAATTTTATACACAAACGTATTAGATCATCGATTTCAATCGATGATGTATTCAGCGGTAATATTGATGTTAAAGAATCCATTCGCGTTTTATAATTTTTCATGGAGGAATTCATTGAATAAAATGGATGTTCACTTAATGAATGTAATGCAATACGTTTTTCCGGTTGAAATTGAAACATTGCTTTTAATAAATCGAATAAATTTTCTTTCGTATAAAAATGATGTTCGTTCAAGTTGAGTGTTTCTTGATTTATTATTTGTTTTAATAAATTATGTAAACGTTGTTGATGACTGTCAAGTTTTATTTTTGAAAATAATATTTTTACATTTGATGGAAAACGTTCATATAACGATAATGTTAACCCGCCAACATATTGAACAATGCAAAAAAGTTGTAATGATGGATCATCATTTTGCGGACGAAATAACATTGTATTTATCATCATTTCGATTATTATGCAGCCTATTGACCAAACATCTTCTTTCGTATGATCAATAATTGTTTTATCACTAAATGAATATTAGATTAAATGAAATTAAAACACAAAACTTTCTCTTTTAATACAAACGAAGAATAGTCATTATCCTGTAGAATATACTATAATAGTTTCGTTCAGTAGAAACATAACTGGATTTTAAGAAAAATAAGATGTATTTCCTATGACAAAGCTACGCGAGACAAAATATTGAAAGGCATTCAGTTGTAGAGAAAATATGTTTTAGATAAAACAAAATAAAAACCGTAAAATTTAGGAAGATACTTTTCTTTTTGTCGTCAATGTCTCTAATATATGGTCTCATCTACTCAACAGTAATTTAATATTACATTCTTCAAATGCATGAATGAAAATATGCTAATAACGTACCAAGTTAAATCATCTTGCTCGATGATCATTCGAATCAAACTTTCAGGTGCATGTCGCCATAAATGATGATGCGGTACAATTCCGCCATTAAGTTTTGTTTTTGATATTGTCGGTGAACATAGACGAATACGATCATCACGAGTTAACTCAATATTTGTCGTATACCTAAGGAAGTTTGATTGAAACAAATGTATAAAATGATAACAAAAAAAGCTAAATACCATGGGGCCAATGGACCAAGTCCTTTTGATTGTAGATAAATTGTTCCCTGAATAATTTGTAACGATAAACAAGAAATACGCTCTAATGAAAATGATTCCGATTGTATTGCATGGCGTAGTGTTCTATGTACAACACCTGTTACTGCATATAAACATGCATCCGCAATATACCAAGATAATATTCGACGAACATTTGGATGAGACAAATTACTTGTTATAACTATTCGTTCATAGAGATGATCTATATATTGCTGAGTACTTGTCTTAGATTTTAGACACAGATATTTTGTTATATGTATAGGCTGTTTTAATATTGGATCGATTGCATTTACAGATGGACTATCAATACCACCTAAGACAAAATAAAACACGCTATGGTCAAGTTAATTTAAACTATTTTATTTAGAGAAATCTTACCATGAAATAAAGAAGCAGATGTTAGATCTCCTGGAGTAATGTATTCACGAGGAATTGTAAATGCCAAGTTAATATCTGCATCCTGATTATCTTGATTTTGTTGTTGCTGTTGAGCAGCTGAATATTGTTTAAAACGAGATGTCCTACAACATATTTCAAATGAAAAATCATCTATTATAATTTAAAGTAAATATTGCGTAGATAACATTTTGGCGTGCTATATTCTCAATCAAATATTTTCCTTGGCAAATGTGTAAATAGTCAGATTACTTCCTAGTTATTATTTTTATTCTTATTACCCAGAAAAACATAAGAAACATGGTACTGGCAGCTTACGAAAATGAATAAAATATTCATAACACTAGAAAAAAGCGTAATAATGATTTATAAATCAGCAGAAAAAAACAATATACTTAAATCATTTCTCGTTTTTTTTTAACATTCTGATATAAATAATTCAGTATATGATATTTATCACTCACCACATGATTTTTACAGCATGAATGATTACATGTCAGTAGTCGATTACAAAATCTAAAATAAGTAAATATGAAAGAAAAGGCTAAAGAATCATGAATATTTAATATATTTGGAGCATTTTTCTAGAATATAGAAGAGCATGATGCCCTTATCTAACAATTGACTATTCATAACTTTGACTTCGTCCTTGACCCGCTTTCTTTTAACATAGAAAAACTCTTCTTTTTTAAATTATACAACTAAAATTTCAATATCCTGATGAAATTCATCAAGAGAAAAACGTCTTTCGTCTTAACAGAAAAAGACTTAAAATCAAATACGATTACGCATATATTTATTAAATATATAATCATCGAATAATAATTATGAGCATGAAAACCAAAAAGGGTCAATAGAGTGATCATGGATACAATTTCAACATGATATAAAAAAGAAAGAGGGTCAAAGATCAATCTAAACACGTTACATTACGAATGGTGATCAAGGAAAATAAATAATATCTGTATTTAAAATGGAATAAGAAAGTAAAGAATTTAGTCATTCCGGTTATTCATAATAAATAACATCAGTGAAATATAACACAGACGTTAAACACATTCAATGTCCATATAGAAATTCAGATAAAGAGTTCTAAAACAACAACATCAACTATTTCAAATAAGACAGAAAAAGAAAAAGAAAAAGAAATGCAAGGAACTTTTTTTTTATATGCATATACATTGACTGTTCAAGAAGAAAAAGATTGCACATGAAAATCTACAACATTTTCTGCGTAAATATCTGGAATAAATAAAATGTCGGGGGGTTGAATTCTACTCGGTTTCTTTCTTTGGCTCAAACTAATGGCATAGATTTCTTTTTTTTTTCATTACTGGCGTACAAGTCTACAGTCAATAGATATCAAGGAGTAAGTTGTGATAGAGTCCATAAAGAATAAAAGGTATGAATGATAATAAAGAATCACATTAAGATAAATGAATAAACACCACAAAGAAAATAGATGTGCTTTCTTTTATACACAAGAACAACAAGCAGAAGAAATGATTATATTAATGATGCGTTGATCAAATTTAATTCCGTTGTGGGACCGGTGGTCGTTCTGCTGGCCGTGGCGGAATAATTGGTGTTGGGCGTCTAGAATAAATAATTTATTAGTGTATACATATATGAATACGATGAAAACATGTTTTGATCAATGTGACAATAATCAATAAAGCAAATGTCAATAGGTGCAAACAAATTTAGAAAATCAATCATGATAACAAACATTATTTTTGTTATAGAAAAACTTACATTGGTGTTAAAGGCGATGTAAAGTTTGCTAGTTGAGGACTCGCTCTACCTTGTGGATTCATCATTGGTCTGCAAAAATAAGATAAACACTGAACAACTTGTACAATGTTATTACGAAAGAGAAGTAAAGCATTGATCTCTAGATAAAGTATGAGTCGTGTTATTAAAGAAATTGTTAGTACAATTCCTACACAATTTAAATGTGAAACACGATTAGCCTAAACATCATCATTCTTTTACTCTATTCTTTAAAAATTCAATTAGTAAATAGTTTATTCATTATCAAAAGACGTTATGCATATAACATCTGTAATCATGCATCAATGTCTGTCATGATTTGTAATGTGGGAGATGGGAATATTGGTAAAATATCTGCCGAGTGTCTATGACTCATATTAGACTTTGAACTCCTCGGGGTTTGAACAGTTTTATTTTTAGATTGTGCTTCACATAATAAAAATGATTATTTAGATAGCGAGGTTAATTTTGAATAATTATTTGTTTTAATTGTTGATTAATCTAAACTTACGACGACTTTGTAGGCATAGTAAAACCATTCTGATGGGAAATTGCAGATAATACAGGCATAGCAAAAGGATCTAATTCAGCAATTAGATTAGACGGTGGTGAATATGATGTTTTTGTGTACTGAGCTGGTCTGCAAGTGTATAAATTCAAGCATATAGAAGAAGTATTGTTATGTGAGATCAAGCGTATGAAAAGCTTAGAATTTTTCTTGTTAGATGTATTTTGTCTACGTAATTATCCTTCCCTTTATACTATTATTTACTTGTCAACATTTCATTTAATCCTGTAAACGTATTCAACCCAGATTTCTATGTGAATAATATATTTGTGCAAACGTTTGAATAGATAAATATTTTACAGAAACCAAAGCCCCAAAAGAAATGTAATGATTACGTACTGATTGATCATTTGTGCAGGAAAGTTCGGGAAGTTTCCACCAGTTTGAATAGCCACTGGATTCGGTCGTAATGGTGGTGGTGGCGGGTCTCGTGACCCAATTACATTAGGATTTGGAAACATGGGTGCTGGTGGTTTCCGCAGCGTATTTGGGCTTGAGGGACGACTAATAGTAATCAAAATAGTTGATTAAATATAGATAGGAAATAAAAAAAAGTTGTTGCTGTTATCCGTACCCTCCAAGCGTTTGTTGTTGATAATAGGACGTTGTATCAAGTGAATTCGATGGATAGTTCGATGTTGGTGCAAAACTAATACTGTTCATCGAATGATTGGGTGATGCATTAGACATACCAGCAGCTAAGACCGATACTGGCATAACAGATCCATCAATTTTTCGAGCGTTTATATGAAAATTTTCGATGATGCTTAAAGCCTACAAGTAATTTTTTTTTTTTTTATTAATCTAGTCAAATAGAAATAGCTTGTTTATAATACAAACATTTTTAATAGCTTCATATTCCGCTATTTTAGCTTCTCGACGTAGTCGTTCTTCTTCAGATTCTTGTAATAATGATTTCTAAAATGAAATCATTATCATCCATCATATTCGGTAACGCATGAAAAGTCTTACTGGATCCGGAAGTGCATACAGATGCGCTAATAATTCTTTTGCTACGAATTTTTGCACCTATATCAAGATAGAAATGAATGATTAATAGAAAAGTGAAGGAGATGTTCCGGCCGATGAGTCAAAACTATATACATTATGTAGATCACAATGAATAACCGGAAACGACTATGTAAGATTAGCTTATTTTACTGTAACTCTTTAATAGTTCTGTGACACACGCCAAGTCTAAAATCTTCTTGTTGGAAATCTAATATTATTATTCCACGGAAGACATAGATCATACCGTTTCAAACGTTCTAAAAAAAACTAAACTCTCATTCGAGTTTATATCTGTGATGAAAAATCAGCAATTTCTTAGTACTCCTGATTCACCTGAACTTACATAATGCATATAATCTGAATTGTTATATGAAAGAATTCTTGTTTTTTTGTACATAGAACTTACATTTTGAACAATATTATACATAATTGCCTTGGGAATATAATCACGTGTCATTTTAGCGACTATTTGCATATATGATGAAACTAATTTGTTGATAGTTTCAACTTGTCGTTCCATATGAGGATCGACAGGGCCAACTTCAGCCGCTGACTACGAATGAGATGTCATAAAGAAATAATTAGGAATATATGGCAAGTATCATATTTACTGTTGAATCCTCTTGTCGTTGTTCACGTTCAGGATAAACGCCAGCACGTAAGAATGATGCCTTCCATGTATCAAGTTCTTCCGCATTATCAACTGATAATTCGAGTACTTTATGTTCTTTATAAACATTTCTACTTTCAATTTTAAATTAAAGTTAAGACAACAAAACAATGAATGAATGCTTACTTTCCTTCAGTATTAAATATTGCAAATTGTGGTCGTTTCGCCATAAAGCCACCTTCGACATCACGAATTTTAAGATTTTCTAATGGTAACATATATTTTTTATCTTTTTCCTAGAGAAAAGAAAACATAAATCAAATATTAAAGATAAATCCAAGATCTCTACGACATACATCTGCATCAGTAAACCATGATAAATTGTCAGTTGATAAAACAAAGAAAAAATCTTTTGCTTGAAATAACTTGACGCCAGTATGAACACGAAGATAACCTTTACGAATAATCTAAATTCATAAAAACTTTTATAGAAACAAAAGAAAAAAATGAGCACAACGATTGAATATATATATATATATATTGTGTATGATATAACGATGATAGTAGTGATAAAAACAAATAGTTTACGTTTCTAAAATTCTTTTAAAATAATATGAGTTTAAGATTGGTAAGACAACAATTATACAGAAATCTCTACTATAGCTATATAAATTTATGCTGATATAAACATACTTGTCCCTAGGGAGAAGAAAGTGTGGATAAACTTTTCTGTTGTGATAATGATCGCAGTACGTGTGAACATTGTGAGCAAAAATTTATAGATGATTTCGAAAGAAAGAAAAATAATTAAGTTTATTCACCTGATTTGTGACATGTCGTTTGGTTTCACCGGAATTGACAGATTTTTCCGCACTGAAACAATGAAAAATAATTGATATTAATTAAATTATTAAATTGAATAAAAACCATTTCGACTTCAGCGACAAATCGAGTTTGTTTCTGCGTAGTAAACAAACTACAGCTGTAATTCTAACAGTCTAGTGAATTTAAAAAGGGGGCATATTGTGTAGAACTTCATATCGGTGTCATTCATTTTCTTTTTACGTGCATTAATTAGTATTCTAATTGACATCATATTCTCACTAAACCTTCAAGAAAAGTTAATAAAGCCTCACTCTAAAAACAAAAATAACGGCATTGCCCTCGTCTTTTACATCTAACTTTTATAGAATTTCTTTCACAAGAAACATGGATTTTAAAAGGAGGCGTCACGTGCTATTGGCCTTCGCTTCAAGTCACATTTTATGACTATAATTTCCTTTTCCCGTAATCTTACATTTATTCTTAATTCAGTGCATTTATTTTGCATTGTTCAATAATATAAAATCGAAAGATACCGCTAAAAATAATTAAGCCAATATCTATCCACTTCAGTAAGCGCCGATTCATGTCAGCAAATACCATACTGTCGGACCATCTTCTGCATGAAACTCTATTAAAAACAAATGGCTACAAAACTAAAGTACGCAAAGTAATATGCAGTTGCCAATGACCATGAAGTGGTTTTATACAATCTATCTCGTATGAGAATTCTTCATCATTTTTTACCTAGTTCTTTAAAAATGTAATTAGGAAGTACTTCATTTTCTATAGCGAGACATCGTTCATGTACGTTCTGTGATGTTTCTATGGTTACATTTATCACGCATCATTAAAGTTTACGTTTATTTATAAAACATTGTTTAAAACTCATATTTCTTTGGCGTGATAAAAAAAAAAGCTGAAATTTACCTTGCGAACCCAATAAAATCTTCATTATTTGTATTAATATACGCTAATTGAGTCTGTATATAAGCGGAACATGCTTGTTTTGCTGCGATTTCTCTTTCTTTAAGATATTGTATAAGCAATTCTTCTGCTGCTTGTCGTAATAAAGGATAACGTTTCATCTAAAATCATTTATTAATAAACTTTTTTTAATTCAGAACCCCTAAATCAAACTTACTTTACTAGTTGCTTCATGCACAATACCGCCTAGCTCTGATGCAACCATATCGACACATTTCATAATCGGATCCTCAAATTTCGATATTTGCATTTGAACAATATATTCAAATGCTTCATCTGGTGTAAAAAGACCAGATCTAAAGTGAAAAAAAATTAAAACTTTCTTTCACTGTATAAAAATCCTACCGAAAACCACGAATGTTTTTTATTGCAACTACTGTTTGATTACGCATATCTTTATCTTGTAATTCAACCTATAATAAAAATTGATATGATTTTATCTGTTGATAAATATTCTCTTTTAGTTTTCTTTACTTTAACTAATTCAAATGGAAAACGTTCGCGAAATATATTTGCAATACGTGCACCACCTGTGAGTGTTTTTAGATCGGCTTCTTTTAAATTGTTACCTTGTAATGCCGTATCAAAGTCTTCACGTAATTCATGTGTTAATCTAAACGAACAAGTTTTTTGTTTCATTGAAAATATACTATGAATTCTTTCGTTTTTTTTACCCAACAAGTGCTTTCGTATCGGATGTTGTTGAACTTTCATACATAGCTGATGCACGATACTCAGCAACTTCTTTTGACAAATCACGAAATCGACCTTGCAAATCTCGTTTTAACTCGGGTAAACATTTAAGAATATGTTCAGTTAATTGTAAACTAAGTGAACGTTGCAAATATGGAACACCCATTCGATCAGCAATGTCACTAAAAGCAAATATCAGAATAATCTTTTGTATAAAACAAAGTTTTATTTTTCTCTTACCGATAAGCAGATTCATTCTGGAAGAATTGACGTTCAAATTCAAGTGCACCGGCAATATCTAATTCTTTCGATGCTCGACCATGTTCATCGAGACGTTGACCACGAAGTACGACACCGATAAATCCTAAATTAACAAAAGCATGCCATGGTTTTTATATGAAATTACTTTTTGTTTAGTTTATTTACCCCGTTCAAGTACGACAAGTTTATTTAAAAGTACTTCGCGAGCATTATGACCTTTACCCATCATGTCAAGTTTTGTTAATACACCAATTGTACGTTTACCCATGGGATCTTGACTACGTGCCATAACTAGAGCATCTGATGTAACAATATCAATATTAGCTGGTGTAACAGCTAGAATAAGACAATTTTCATTGCTTATATAATTAATGATAATATCATCGATTTTTTTGACAATATCAGGTGGTTGTCCTTGAGATGGTACTTTAACCATGCCAGGTAAATCAACCAGAGTAAGATTGACGACTAAATAGACAACATAAAATATTTCCTTGCTAAAAATCAATTTTTCTGATATGAAAATAAGCCAAACGTGCTGCTTTATTTGCACTTAGTTCAGAAAGCAAATAACAGATATCTTCGAATGCTTTCTTTTTCTTCACACTGATAGGAAATTGAATTATTATAAATCTTGATTTCTTACCGTGTGGTGAATAAATCGTTAAATTAATGGGTATATTAGAGACACCCATATCGTCGCGTACAACTGATTTTGTATCATTTTCTATTTCAGCACGAACATCAACGTAGTTCACAAATCTTTGTTGTGGTTTATGTCCAAATACAGCATATTCTAATTTAATAGAAAACAAATAATTATCAATTAAATCTACTGTATTTTGTTTTTGAAACATACCTTGACCTTGTAAATTAATCAATTGAAGAACAAGAGGTCGTTTAGTAACCATATTTCCACCACGAGGAAGAAAATCTCTATAAATTACAGCAAAAAATTTACTTAAACAAATAAAATAATATATAATCATTTATGTACCGGCCGACAATATTTTCCAGTACTGAACTTTTTCCAGCTGATTGCGAACCGACTACTGCTATCTGTGGCAATGTTAATGTTAATTTTGCATTAGCTGCCGTAAATATGTGTTGAAGTTGATTGATCATAGGAATTAATAATTCCATGTCTAACACAAGAAAAAAAAATATATTTAAGTAAATTCATAAGTATTTTCACTAATGAAAATAAAAATCTCTTACTAGGATTGCCTGCTTGAGTCGACATGGCTAAATCTAGAAAAAAAAAGATATTTTGAATAAAATAAATGCGCACATATATTTCTTGTCAATAGAATAGAGATGACATTTTTATTTTTATTTTTATTTTTTTGTTTTCTTTCTCCCTTTTTATTTATACACTTCTATCTATCTTTTCTTGTTCATCAGGCTGATAGCTGCCTACATAAACCCAATGATTTAAACATATCACATAATTCCATTTGAAAACAGAACTTCCGTGTCATAGTAACACAACACTAAATTAAATGCTATCTTTTTTTCTCTGTTTATTTATTTAGTTATTGATTTTTCTTGAAGCCAATAGAACAACAACTAAATAATCTAGATGGCGCCTGTTATGAAAATGTGACTAAGCCATAATCAGATAAGGAAATGCTGCTTCATTTATATGTAAATGCAAAACGCGTGATATCTAAAAAAAGAAAGAAAAACAATTGAATCACTACAGTCGTTATGTCATTAATAAAAGAAATATTTTTTCTTGTCTTTATCTACTTCTGTTTCAGTTATCTAATAATTATAAGAAGCCATAAAAGAAAAGAAGAAGATTTGCATTGATTAAGAATTATTCATAGTTTGTTTTACCCATGACCAAGAACACGATGAGGTTGATATAATTCTTCTAAAGTTTTGATTTCCTCGTCCGAAAGTTTTATATTAACTGCTGCAACAGCTTCTTCAAGTTGATACATTTTCGAAGCACCTATAATCGGTGCACATACACCAGGTTTTGATAGAATCCATGCAAGTGCAAGTTGAGCTGGCTTAACTTGTTTTTTCTCAGCAACTATTTTCAACCGTTCAACAATTTCAAAATCGCTATCAGCATAATATAATTGGTGGCCAAATGCATCGGTTTGAGCACGTTTTGTAGCCGAACTCGTTTCATCATTTTCTTTACTAAGATCTGTTTTAGTACGATTTCCTGTTAGAAAGCCACGAGCAAGAGGCGACCATGGAATAAGACCAACACCTTGATCCAAACATAACGGATTCATTTCACGTTCTTCTTCACGATACACAAGCTGAAAATGCATTAGAAATAAAAGAGTATTCAGATTCGATAGTGTATATATTCTAGATTACATTGTAATGATTTTGCATGGTAACAAACTTTGTCCATCCATTTTTTTCTGCTATATGTTGAGCTTTAGCAAATTGCCAGGCATACATGGAAGAAGCGCCAATATAACGGACCTAATATTTAAAATGAAAAGAACCAACAAGCGATGTTTTATTTAAACACAATTTCGAAAATGATAAAATACTTTGCCTGATCTAACAAGATCATTTAAAGCTTCCATAGTTTCTTCTATAAATTGAAAAGATTTAAATAGATGAATATGAAAACTAATTTAAAAATAAAGTTACCAATGGGCGTTTCTTTATCGAAACGGTGAATTTGATAAAGATCAATGTAATCCATATTTAATCGTTTTAAACTAGCGTCACAAGCTTCAAAAATATGCTTACGACTTAGACCTTTACGATTCGGACCTTCAGCCATCTGATGAAATACTTTAGTAGCTACAACGATTTCTTCTCGAATAGCCATATCATTCAAAGCTCGGCCAGTAATTTCTTCACTTACGCCAAGTGAATACTAAATAAAAATAAAAATAAAACTTCTCTAGTTTTCAATAATGAATTTTCTACCATGTCAGCTGTATCAAAAAAATTAATTCCAAGTTCTAATGCTCGTTTAACGAATGGGCGACCTTCTTGTTCTTCAAGAACCCATTCACGCCATTTCGTTGATCCGTATGTCATCATTCCCAAACAAATGCGTGACACTTGTACACCAGTATTACCTAATCGTACATATGGCATGCCACTTTTCTTCATGCCTTCGACAACTGAAATCTTTTGATTATCCGTAGAAATCATGTTAGCACCGAATTTCGATTATACTAAGAATATACTAGTCTAGAAAACTTCAATGAAACCTATAAAAGAAATAAATGCAGATATTTACAATGGCGTTATGTTGTTCGATGTAACGCACGAGTGTAGTTTTATCGCTCCTTCTCAGCTCTTTTTTTATCTTTCTCGTTCTTTCGACGATCATATTAGTAAACCTTTATGTTTGCTTTCGAAGAAAAACATGAAATGAGACTACATGAAACGGAAATAAGTGCAAAAGAAATCTAAGCCTAAAAGCAGTATGCGTGTATATGGCCTTAACATTCTAAAAGTTTTTAGTTCTATCCTACAATAATGAACGAGAAATTATATTCTTTATATAAACTCAGTGTAACATCGCTATCTTTAGTCTGTCGTCGTACAAAGCTTTAGCAAAAATATAGTGTAACATGATAGATAAAAATAATAGGCTTTAACTTTGTAAATGATCTCGTGTATCGATTATATGCATTGAAATTGATTACATAATTCCACTGAAAATTTTGACTATATAATACAAATTATTCGATACACAGAAAAAGAGTCATGAATTGTATATCTTTTTGAATATTTTGTTATTAAATAGTAATATTTTATTAGACAATAAATCATGAATTTTAGATTAACTTTTTTGTTTTCCATCTTAATGTCATGACTTCCTGTTTGTTTTTTCTTTCTAATAAATCGACAGAAAAAGTAGAAATTAGAATATTTAGAAGAATTAAAAGATTAAGAGCACAGATAAAAATCTGTAAAAAAACATAAAGATGATTCATTTTTAACAAGAAAGATAACACTATTCGTCAGACTGCCACCATTGTTGATAGTTTATGACTAAACTATGAATTCAGCTGATATCGTAAAATTTTCTTTTTTAAGATTAGAAATTTTTGCTAGTTAGTAATGTATAATTTTACTCTTTTTAAATCTATGAAGAGCTTTTCATTTGGCGACCGTTGTTGTTATTATTTGATTTTTTGAGTCGACTTCAGAATCTTACCTTACTTGAATGATAAATGAGATTGTGGTGGGCGTATGAGTTTCGCCCGATGAATTAAGTTCGACTTGTTGCAAAATAAACTCCCAAAATATCCTTGTTATTTAATTCTCATTCGCGTCCGATACAGTGAATCACAATAACGTCGGCAAGATAAAAATGACCTTATTCTAATTTATTCTCTTTTCGAGACTTCTTTATGAAGCTGAAAAATGAATGAATATTTGTGATATTACTATGCGATAACCCATTACCTCATATGAATCAGTGAAAGACACAATGAATCTTTTCATAGAAATGTTAATACTTTTTTTCTTTTATAATTTTCTCTTGTTTAAATAGAAGAACAGAAAAAATATCTTTCTTAATAAAGATGAAATCTTATGATTAAATTCTTAAATACGATAAAAGATCTAGTAACGTTTCACTTATTACTCTATGTGTTTCTTTGTTTGATTCATATCTGTGTTGTTTTACATGAAATTCATTTAGCTACATGTATCATTTAAAAAATTAAATTAAAATATAGAAATTTTCCTTTTTAAACAATATTACTGATCTAAAAACAAATGACTTCATTTGACATTTATTTATTCTTCATTAACATTCTTCTATTCAAATGTATGTGTTAAAATATCAGTTAAGAAATTCAGTGATAGGTTGTCCTTGTTACCTTTTATATGCATTTCTTTGCATGTCATTTACGAGAATGATTGTTATAGCTCTCGATGAGAATTAAATTATACCTATGCTTGAAAGATGAATAGGATCATACTTATCTTACTTGGTGGTAACTGTGACGGTTTGGTTAAGTAGAATTTCAAGAAACATAGGAAATTCAATCAGAAATAGAAAGTAAAAATCGAAGTTAAACGTTAACTTAACAATGAGAATCATATTGATATTTATCGTCATATGTATCTCATTATTACGAACATCGATTTGCAACCAACACAGATCGATGTCATTGTTTTTTTTAAACTTGCACTGACTATTGAGATTAAAATAAATGAATGTTAACACACATAGAAAATACACACAACGAAATATGTTTTTTTTTGAAAGCATAGAAAAAAAGTTAACTGTCAGGTAAATTATTATAAACAAAATCCTTTAAAATGTCTAAACTAATTTCATCACGAATTTCAAGTACTTTGTGACCGAATTTTTCAGCAATTAAAATATTTTGTACATCATCGTCAAGTAAAAGAATTTCATTGGGCTTTATTGTTTTATTTCTTCTTGTTGCAATTTCGGTAACAACAGATGATAAATGATATTCTTTACCAAGAAAATCTTCATCCATATTGGCAACAAATTCCGGTGTATTGCATCGAATTATAATTCGATCTGTTTTGCTATTGAAAACAAAACAAAAACGAATCATAATAGATTTTTATTGAGTCAATGAAAATTTTAAACTTACGAAGTTTTAAATGCTAAATGAAGCAATTTTCTTATCAGTTGTTCTTGAGATGAAAATGATACAAAACAAACATGAAGTGTTTGACTATAAGCTGATGACTCAAGAAGTTCTTGAATTAAATAATGAAATGCTGATCTTATATAACTCAATAGACTATCAGCTGTCCCTTGATAATAACCATTTGTATGTATTGATAAAAATGTATTATCAAAGTCAATAGCAATTAATTTGATATTTTTATTTTGTAAACCCAATACAATATCTCGAGCTTTGGCACGTTGTTCAGCAACATATTTTGATGCAGTTAAACGTGTTGATACTGTTGAAAGATTTTTATCAGATAAATTTACGCTTGGACGTCGATTTTGATTTTTTAATCTCATTAACGTTATAAGCGATGACGATGATTGAGATTTTTTATTCACAACTGGAGACGATGTTGATGTTGTTGCATTATTTGATGGATTCACTTTCGTTATTCGAGACATCTGAAATTAGAATAATCTTAATCTTTATTCGTAAGACATAATTAAACGACAGAAATACAAATACGTATGAATCCAAATACAAGCGACAATAGACTAAACATTGCTCACATAGCTGTATACACATTAGTCTATGTAGATGAAGGTAAATGTAGAGGCGATGTTTGTATGCAAAATGCATACTTATTCTCTGTTCTTAAGGAAAGAATAGGCAAAGGTATGACAAACATGCTCACATCAACCGAAAGCTCGTTACAATTGATAGGCTACATACCTATACACAACTTTTTCTCATCAGAGAGACATACAAGGTTGTTTTGTCATGAAATTACCTTCACTGAAAAACCAATACATGTCCTTTATATTGATGGAAAAAATCAAACAATACACTAAGTCATCACAAAAACTGTCTAATATGTGCAGCGTTTGTGTTGTATGAAAAACGTCTCTACTATTACAATACAGTAATATAAACAACGTATGTGTAGATTTTAACGTGTCAAATGACAGATCGGTAGCGATCTGAAGGAAAGCGAAAAAAAATAACATCAAGAAGAAGGTATATAATGTTGAGAAATAGCAAAATCGATTATTTTGTCTCATCTTTTTTCTTACATATAGGCGATCAAATACGAAAAACAAAAATGTTTCATTATTACTTTTTTAACTTTCTTATTGATGGCGATTAATAACCGTAAAGCAATTGGTATTTCACATGCTTGATATCACGTGTTAGACTATTTTTTCTTGCGCTACTCAACAAATGAAAATATTTGATAGATGTATATTGAAAATATTTTGACGTCATTCGACTATAACATATACTCGGCTAAGGAATGCTTATCTATTAACGAAATAAATAAAGTATACGTAGAAATAATTTACATAATCTTTTGTCGATATCAATAACAAGTCTTATAGAAGAATAATAGGTCAACTTATTCATCGATTATGTCAAGGGTACGAACAACGAACATGATTGAAGATATGTTAAGATTAATTGCGTTCTTCTTACGAATGCTCATTACTATTTTCTATAATACAGAAAATTAAAAGATAACCAAGAAATATCATCGAAGAGATAAAATGATTGCTTATGCGATTATTTCTAGATAAACATTCATATTTATAACGAACAGTTTCTCTTCGAAGTAACAAGTCAAACTGTCGTACTTATCACTCACTCGTTGAGAAACATCTAACATCCAACATAGTTTTCTTATCAATTAGCACTACACACAAGGCTATATTTAATAATAACAACAAATATTTTCTGTATCTCATCGTATATATAAATGTAACCAAATGAATTAATTAAGTGATTATGATTTTCTTATGCCCCAAATTATCAGACTTATATTAAATATAAGTCCAGTTGTATGCAGATCTGGCATAACTATTTTCAAGATTTCGAGTCTGTACTTACATGTGTCTGATGTATGCTATTAAGCTTAAAAAAAAGTCAAGACTCTTTCCATTTGGCTGACTATTAACGAATAATTGTCAATTACATTGGAAAGAAGGATGTTTTGAAACCTCTTTCCTGTTGTAGAATCTATGAAAAAGTCACGAAGCATCGAAATGGCAACATGCATCAAACTCAAAAATTACATTCATTTTTATGACTAAATCATAAAAACTTCTTCTGTTTTTTTGCAAACACATTAGAGCAAAAATCATGTTGTATTGATTATCTTCACAGAAGACAACGACTGTGTACATCCCGATTGATAACCCCAAGAGAATCACAGTGCATTGAGTTCACTTGTTTTATGTCAAACTCCCACACGTAAACAAAACATGATTATTAATCACAAATATGTATGAATACATTCAAAATAAATGTTTTTAAATGTGATTCAACATTTACAATTACCTTTCATTAAAATTTATGGTATTCGTAAACATTGATTTATTCTTTAAAACTTAGTAAATCAAATTTTTATAGCAAATAAAAACCAGCAACTAGTTCATCAGAATTAAGAAATCGCTTGCCTGAACAATTTTGAATGTTGATAGATTCATTTTTAAAAGAGATTTGAACTTTAAAAGAAAAAAATATGGAAAATCAATCAATCGGATCAAATTGTTTCATTTTCATTTTTACAAATTCCACCAACGAAACGAATCATTCAGTTGAAGATGTCGCTTGTTGTTATCTCTAAAGACTAGACAAATTCATCATAAGATTCTTCTTTTTATTCTATTACAAAACTCAAAGAGAAGAATATCAATAGACATGCGAATGAATACAAATATTTATAATATTAACTATTGAAGACTTATCTCAATGCAATTAAATCTAAGTCAATATTTATTCTGTAGTGCATCGATTGAAATACATGTTTGAATATTCAAAACAGACGTGACTAATTAATATTCATGAAAACACCTACTGCTATTCACCAGAGACACATGAAAATAGGTTTCATGTTTTTTATATACATATCGAAAGTGTTTATATCTAAACTTGTTAATTTTAATCAAAGAAAAGTGACAGACAACTTCATTCTATGTGTGAAATACACTAAAGAAACGCTTTTTTTGTCTATTAAGCTTATTAGATTTCAAAAAAGAACGGTATTAATATATTTTATCTGGATTTGGCCATCATAAGTCTTTTGTATTATAGAGCTACAAAAAAAAAACATTCATAAAAGCAATCTCATAAAATAGAGCCACATATATCTTCGTAGAGAAGACCTTGTTTTGTATTGCATTTAATTAGTTTTGCACATATATTTTACAAGCTTATTATTTTACCAAGAATTTATACTAGTACGGACTTTTTTCTATTTTGTTAAAGTCTTCATTAATAGGTTTCTGGAAAATGACAAATTGCAAAAACCGTTTTCAATAGCAAAAAAGATCAATCGAATACAAACAATAAAATATTCAAAGAAAATAAGATTGCATTGATTTTTCTATTGATAATGTAAAACGATAATTTATTCGGTTGACTATCTTCAACATGTTTATTTTGTATATGAGACAAACTATTATTAATAATACAATTCCATTTCTGATATTTGATGGATTTCTTATTAATTTTGTTTTTCACATCATATTATCATATTTGATTCTTTCATAATCAAATAATATATATAAAATTGAATATTGAAAGCGAAATAATATCGACTTGTGTTCTCTATATGCTTCAATATAATAAAATAGTTTGAAGATTTATTATCAATATTTGATCTGTCAGAGAAGACGTTTTTCTTCTCACAAATGATTCTATTCAATAATGCATCTACGAAAAAGAAATTAACATTACTTTCCCTCTTGGTTTGCATATAACGTTAGAAGGTTATGTCTTTTTGATTATATTTTCGTATATATATTGTGTGAGTAAAATTCATCAATTTTTTTGCAATTTTTATTTTGAATAGAGAAAAGAGCAACATCGAATATTCATTTAGTCATCGTATGCAACATGCAACTAGCAAGTATATGGCCAAGAGTGAGAAAACTACTACCATAATGAGTTTTTCTTGTGCCATCTATTATCAGTTTTAAGGCGTTATTAAGAATAGGAAATTAATATTCAGTGGCTCTCATGACTTTTTCTCTTCTGTAAAAAGTCATATATTTCTTATTGATGTGATTATCCTTAATTAAGCAATATTCTGATGTCTATTGAATGTATTGCATATCATAATCACGCGTATAGATATTATCAGTAAGATTATAGTGGCAATAATAATCAGACTATTCCCAGAGCATTGGTTCGTCTCCTAAACAGTGCTTTTATTCTTCTCCAGGGTGTTAACGATAAAAAAAGAGCGAGAGAAGAAGAAAATGCATTTACATACACACTCCTATGTTAGAGAGGTCTCAAGCTATGAGTAACTACTCAGATTCATAGAAGGAAAACGGCTCTTCAACCAAATGTGACTACCAGAGTTTTCTCTTTTTTCCTTTTCTTTTTATCGATCTTCTTCTTTTTTGTCGCAAATATTGTAGATGATTAATTGATTCATTCTAGATAGATATTAATCAATTATCCATGACAGTTATGACGAAAGTTGAAAAGGTAGAAAATGTCTACATATTTATTTGAATACATAGAATATCCCAAAGGTAAGCAATATCGAGGTCTCGTCAGTTTTTCTTGCTAGATTAATAATTAAATCTAACGTCTGGATCACATACACAAGAAGTCTCTATACTCAGTGACATGGTCTCTTATTCGTCTTTAGTGGTAAAATGTATGGAAAAGTAGAAAAAAACGTTTGTTGAGAATTCTATTTTAATTGTTTCAAAAGTTGAAAACTTTGTTACTGCATTATGTTTGTATATTTTCTTCTTCTATTCATATTAGTATGTATGGCGTGGTTCAAACTCTATTGAGTTTCAGGTATTCAGTTATTACTTTTGATATAGAAAATCTATTTAGACAATCTGATTTATGAAAAGAGAAATAATTGAATTAGCTTAGAACACAATAAATTGTCCTTAGTAATTATACGTGAAAGATGTTGGGGCTTATTTTTTACGCACTCTCAAAAACAAAGATTGATAATTGATCGTCTTCACAGTATTGTCTTTTGGTGTAAGTGGTCTAAATGAAAGATCTAACTATCGATATAGAAAGAAAAACAAAAATCTGAAAAAGAATTCGATATTACTTTACCTTTCGGCTGCCCTATATGCGTATCTATGCTTTATGTATTAATTATGTTTTGTCTCCGAATAGGTTGGTTTGGACTATTTACTGTCGCGATTGAATGCATCACAAAAATTAGTTGTTCATATACGACGAACTCCGAATTACAATGATACTATTGATATTACGGTATCGGACAATTCTGATGATTGTGAGCTATTTCTTTTTTCATTCTAATACCAAATAGTGATTGAACATAATGAAAGAAAGATTCAAGCATGTTTTCCGTTCATTGTTCTCTTAGTTAATGCTTTTGGAAAATTTTCAAATATTCTATAGTATTTATAGTACTTCTCGTTGACTTTTATCAGTAGTGTTTTTAAAGGAAGTACTATGTGGAGAAAAACTGATTTTTAGTAAATTGAGAAGACAATACAAATTCGATTATTTTCAACGTTAATGGGTCTTTTTTCTCTAAACAGCAAATACTAAAAACAGTTGATTATTGTTTGTTTAAAAAATAAATTCAGTAGAATATTTTATATATATATATAGAAAAAGACATTGTTTACTGAGAAAATCTCATAGATCAAAGCAATCAGACAGGATTTATTATGTTTGTTTGCTTTTTTTCTCTCTAGCTGATCAACCTAATCCACTACAAGTACCTGAAATAATAATTGTTATTTCTGTACTATTATTATGGTGTGTTTCGATTATTATTTTTATTCGCCATTCAGAATTATTACGTATTCGTCATCGTGATTTACCAACACGTCGTACTATAGAACCGCCAATAAGTTTAAATCGTGTAACATCTGTCAAACGTACGAGCGACATGTTTATTCATTCGAAGTCACGAATGTCATCAGCGAGTATTGTCACACCAGTATTAAGTCGCAATAGACTTAGTGGATGTATACAAAGTGAAAAAATGGAAACAATTTCATTATCAATTCCACTAGTACCACGGAAACGACGAAGTGCGCATTCATTTGATTTAAATTCATTACTACTTACAAAATGTTCTTTTGATAAAAGGGAAGATAAAGAACTTCTACTTCATCCATATCATATTCCATCGGAAGTTAAACATAGTTTACTTGATTTACATCGTAAGAGTATCGATAGTGTACATAGAAAAAGTACGGGTAATCTACCATTAACAAAACGCTCAATATTTCATTCAACAAATGATGTATCGAAACGAAGAAATTTTATCAATCAATCTTTGATGATGAAAAAAATGAGTTCACAAGATCTACCCGTATAAATTTTATTTTAATCGAAATAGAAGTGTAAAATAATTATTTAATGAAAATGTTTAGTGTTTAATGGGTTCACTATGTAAAATTCAAATTTTTGAAGATGATGTGTTTTTTCCAATTATAAATGATTAAGATTTTATTTTGTACATTGGCAGAAAGCTCATCATTATTTCTGCACACAACCTTTGAGATTCTTCTTTTGTTCTTCTTGTTGTTGTTGTTGTTTGGTAAATACATTAATTTAAATGATTACATTTATAAATTATTTATTTGAATGAATTTTATGATGAAACATCTGGTTGATTGCTGTATCTGTGTGTTTCTATGAATAGTTAAAGATATTTTTTTCTAGAGATTATGAATATTTTGATTAACTATATTTTAGAAAAATTACTAATTATGAATTCAGTGTTTGAAATGAAGCCATGTATGCATGAGAACACTACTTTAAAAGCGCTCGTTTTAATTTTTAATGCGCTGCGAAGCAAAGCATTTATGTAGTGAGCCGCGAGCTTTTAATGCGATGTGAAGCAGGCCCTAATCCACTCTTCCCCGACGACTCCCCGGGGCAAGGGAGAAAAAACTCATTCAGACATTTCATGGCATTCCCAGCCATTTCTATCCATTCGCAACCATTCGCAACCATTCCAATACATTCATATCCATTCCTAGCTATTCTAAAGTTTTCTCAAATAGGGATGGACCATTTTTCTTAATGAGACTTTGAAGTAGTGTCAGTTAACATGAAACGTGAGATGTTTTTTTCTTCTCAACGCTTCATACTTGTAATTTATTGTTAATTGATGATATTGAACTTAATTTAAAATTAATGTCAATGGTCCACCCCTACTCTCACGTATTGTTATCTTTCATAAATTACTGTATCTGTCTTTAGGACCTTGCCATTTTCTAACGGTTATAGCTTTTAATTGAAGTCGATTTGCATAATGTTAAACTTAGTTAACGCATATTCATAAGTAGTAGCATTAATCATTGAAAATCAATAGATTTTCATTGATTGAAAACTGCGCATTATCCGAATTCAAGTACTTAAAAAATATGGATGAAATGGAAAAAATTCATTTGAGATGCGGAGTACTTTTACTCTAAACGTACAGCAGGGATATGATCCTAGGTCTCGAAAAGCATTTTGTTTTTCTTGAGCAAAGTGATTGTACCTTTTTGATGATCAATTTTCAAAAAATTTGGAACTCTCCTTAACTCTGACTAATTTTGTAAGAATCCTCTGATCAATCCCTTAAGTCATTGAAAGTCTTGCTCTCATCTAACCTTGGCAACCAGCGATATCCGTGATCCCGAATTATTCTAAATCATCCCCATTTGTACATATTGAATGACTACTTTTTCTATAATATTCAAGTAGCTTTCAAGGATAAGAAGAATCATATAAAGCAGACTAGTTACATAGATGTTTTACATTCAATTTGATTTCAATAGTATTCAGTTAATTCGAAAACAAAAACATTCATTTAATAGTATTATTGAAATAGTCACCTAGCTGAACGATCAACCGAATTCTTTACTATCTGTTTCCCTTTATGCTTGGAATCAATTTTCTAAACACTTTGTCCATTTTGCTCTTTACAATAGCTAATCTATCTATGCATGCATATTTAGTCGAAAAAGTACATTTTTGTGAAAGTACTGACTAGTGAGCTTCCCAAGATGAACCCCACGGATTCCAATGAACTTCCGCCCATGATACTGCACGATATTATAGTAAAAATACCAAAAGACTTTGAATACATTGCACTGTCTTGAAAAGTTATGCTCATTTTACAGATTTTCTCGGCTTTTGAGTTACCAGAAAGTGAAATAATCGGATTTTGCTCAGAAATTTTATTAATACATAGGTCGACTGAACACTAAGACACCATGAAAATTTTAGCAATAACAAATGTGTTCTTCGAAATATACTCACTTTTTGAAGCATAGGCCCTTTTTTCAAAACCACTAGGCAATCGAACTTTTTCGAAGGAATAAATTTAAAAGAATAAATTTATTATTGTTAAAAGTTTCATAGTGTTTTAGTGTTTAGTCTGTCTATGTATTAACAAAATTTCTGAGCAAAATCCGATTATTTCACTTTCTGGTAACTCAAAAGAAAAGAAAATCTCAAAAATGCGCGTAACTTTTGAAGAAAATACTAAGCACTCGAAATAGTGCAATCGTTTCACTAGAGAACATCATGCAGTGCCCGTGGGCAAAAATTCATTAGAATCCGTGAGGGTCAGCTTGGGAGGCTCCATCATGAATTGATTCTTTTAAAATACTATTTTATCAACGTAATGATGGATCTCTTTGTTAGTAATTACTTGTAATTATGAATATGACAAATGTTCATGCGTGTCAGTAACAACACAATGTGATGAAGATGAATAAAGTCTCATACATATTGGGAAACGATTACACTATTCTCAACAGGGTTCCTTTAGTCAGAGCACTTCGACAATAACGATAATCAAGTTTCTAATGAATTTTAAATTTTTTGCATAATTTTAACTACTTCAAGACACTAATTCATAGCGATTCATTGAAAGCCATTCCGAGCCATTCGAATGGCTAGGAATGAGTTTTCCCCTTGCTCCGGGGAGTCCCCGTAAAACAATGAAACCCCTGGGGAGTCACTGCCGTGAGCCTCCGAAGGCTTGTCAGAGGAGAATTGATGAGATATCTAAATCAAATAAAAACTCTTTTACTTTTTTATATTTAAAAAATTAAGAAGAATTTATTAGTAATTAGATATTTCATCTATTTTCTCCAAGCAACTCCCAGCGGAGTCCCCAGGGAGTTCCGCAAAAACGACGAAATCCCTAGGGACTCCCTGGAGATTCTTCTAGGAAGAGTTGACTAGGGGAAGCATTTCTGTAGTCCGTCGCGAGTTTTTTTTCTTTTTTACTTCAGATCGTACGCATCGTTTTCGTCGTTTTGTAACTCGATGATCTCGAGAACCGGAAATCGTAGAAAAGTGGTTAAAACGTGAGATCGAAGAGTATCAAGATCGAACTTCTAACACTTGTTTTCGAATCTTCAGTCTGAAGCTCCATTCACTCACAAATGTAGTTCCAAAATGACGAAACTGAAAGAAATATAAGAAGAGATGATTAAAATGACGTCATCAACATATGTTAGCGACTATCATACAGTTTTGAGCCAGCAGTTAAAAAGAAATAAAATCTAAAGAAAACTTTGCACTTACCTCCATTTTTCTACTCTTGATGCAAAATGCAGTAAAAAGCGAATAATTCTTATTCGATTCACCTGAAACAATTTCCAAATGTGCAAACAACTAAATGTCTTGTACACGACTTTCTCATGAAACTTTTCGATTTCATAATCAAAGTTACACTATATTAGCCACGACCTCACAAGAAATTGATAACAGACCACACAACAGAACAACTGATATACGACTTGAAGATCACAATTCTAAATTTCACAATCGCAGCGTATATCTGTGATCTGCTGAGCATTTAAAATTATAGGTAGGAAGCAACCATGTTATAGATGTTGAGAATTTTTAACTATCCGTAGGGTAGAAAGTAAATGTCTAATTTCTTTTGGAAAAATCAGATATCAGCGATCAGATATTTCGTAAAAACTGGCATCAATTTGAGATTTGTCATGACCTCTCTAGAGTCACAAATAATCTCATCTACAATGGTTTGAGCGTAGAAATAATAATTGATAAATCAGTATGAACACCGTAATAGAATTAACCATTGCTTTAAATAGGCGATTCGAATGGCATGTTTAGCTCTCTCAGATATATTTATCGAACTCAGGAATCGAACAGCTCTGTTACAGTAGTTTTTTGTTTTCATCAAATCTATTCATTCAAACGTTGATGTTTAACGAAAATTATATTGTCATCGCAACCACCATAGCATCTGTTTGTTTTGTTTTGTATTAATCATGGCTAAAAATCTGATAGTCAGTTGAAGTAACCATAGTTCACAATATACTGGATGTAAAAGTTAATTTGGGAAAATTCGACTTTTCTAAAAAGATTTTTACTGATTACAAGCAAATATTCGAAAAGTGCTTTAGACAAGTGCCAACTGGCTATATTCGCTGAACTGAAGAATAGAGTGATTGTTGATAGATGTCGTTATATATCTATTAAGAACCTGCTGTATATTCCCGTTAGTGGCTGATAAGTGTCATTTTACTGGTTGTTTCCTTCCCATCCTTGAATAAAACAACTTTTACAATCATCTAGTTCTAATAATAATATACAATGTTTTAAACGAAGTGTACCGCATCAATACACAGATCATGCCATGGTTGTGAGTCTTGCTGAATCCGAAACTACTGACTATAAATCATCTTCACAAATTCAAACGACTTCGAGAGAATCGTTTAATCCACATACAACGAAATGGTCAGATGTTAACTTAGTTAAGTTTGGAGCTCTCATCACTGTTGCATCAACTATTGAAAATGCTGTCTTCTATCCGTGTGTATTTTTCTTTTGTATTTTCTTTACAATTATTCTCATTTAGCTATATTTAAACGTGAATAATTCTCTTAAATAGGTTTTATGTTCTTAAAACACGTGAGCAAAGTGATCGTCGCAATCTATCACTGTTAAAATCATTCCGATGTCATCTCTCTGCTACTCTATCAAAATCAAATAATAGCAAAGGCCCTTCTTTATTTCGTGGCTTCTGGTTCTCAAACATGACGAGTATACCAGCATATGGAATTTATTTAGGTATTTATCTGTCTTCTAAAGATCAACTTAATGCATCTGCAAATGTTTCGGCTCAATTTTATGCGCCATTCATTGCTGGTGCTCTTGGTAAATAAACATATTTATGTATTTCATTTGTTGATCTTTTATGGATTTAATTTAGCTGATGTTGTAAGTCTTTTATTCTACGTACCAAGTGATGTTATTGTACAACGTCTACAAATAGCTAATAGTCCATATAAATCATCGTTAGATGCTGTCCGTAAAATCTATAAATGTGACGGTATGAAAGGGTATTATCGAGGTCTTGGCGCAACATTTATTGTCAGTATACTTGCTTCATCGATGTGGTGGACGGTCTATGAAAATATCAAACATTTTCTTTATCGTCCATCGATATTACCTTATTTCATATGGTCAAAATCATCGGATGATCAAACAGCTGAAATACATCGAATTCCACAATTTACAGCTGGTTTCATTGCTGGTACAGTTACGTCGACTTGTGTTAATCCATTGGATGTAGTGAAAACACGTATTCAAACACAAAATATTCATACGTTAGGTACAACAGCGTCCACAATAATGTATAAAAATATTTTTCATGGACTTAAATGTTTATGGCGTGAAGAAGGTGTAAATGGATTGCTCAGAGGTGTACTACCGAAATTAGCATCGAGAGGGCCACTGTCAGCTTTTAGTGCACTTGTATTTGAACTTGTGCTTTACTATTCAAGGGATGATCTTCATGCGTTTTAATGTGATTTTTTTCATATATTTATTTATTAGTGAAATTATATTGTCAAAGATAAATATATCTTTAGTATTTTTGAATTTACGATACGTAGATAGATATATTTAATACTTCATAAAACTATTCGACGATATAGTCAAAATAAAAATTAAAACTATATCGGACCTAAAAATTGATCGCATAGAATTAATTTCGACATTTTCTTAAATGATATTTTGCATTTAAGAGAAGTCTTACCAGGATCGTTTCTCTTGAAATTTTGAATAAATAACATTTTCTCCATCTAAATTCCTATTCAAAGTCTTGGTAATAGTTAAAATCACGAAATAAAACTAGAATCTATCCTGAATGAACAAATATCAAAGTTAGTTTAAAACGAAACGTAATTTTGTGCGAATACTAAGTAATTTTCAGGGTAATATTGAGCCGATATCATTGGTCAATTTAGTTTTTCAAACATCGCTTTATATCTAGTTATATAATGTAGATTTGTCGAGAACGACAAGAAATACGTTTTACACTGATGATGTAACGCATGAACTGCTCTTTAAAATTACCGTTCATTGACAAATGACCGTGACGTAGAAAACGTGTTTTAAGAAATATGAAAAAATCGTCTTAATCAACCAAGCCTATATTGAAATCAAAATTTGACTAAAGCTTTTGTTCATTTAAATTATAAAGTTTTGATTATCAAATCGAAATTTATCATCAGCTGTTGTAGTTTCTCATCAAGTCGAATTGTAACACGAGAGTAACCTGTCGAAGATGAATTTAAACGAAAAACAAAACTCTGTTATTCAACTCTGATGTCAGAGTAGACTTCTTCAATCAAGATTACTGTCTTGGATATTTTTAATTGTGTTTTTCATATGCCAGAATCGTCATGTTCTATTTCCTTTTCTTTTGAACCAAGTATGAAAACAACTAAGCAAAAGAAATTTCCTAATCGATTATAGCCATTTATTTAACAACGATTCTATTTTTCTTATGAGAAGGTAGTTGGAAAACAGCTTTACTTGATGCGACAACGAAAGTATCTATCACAAGGTATTTCGGAGAAATAGACATGAACAACAACATATCTATGAGACAATGTATTACTGCAAGTTCTACAAAAATAAAATAAGGGTCATTAATTTACTGCGTCTTCTATTCAAATCTGAAAATAAATATTTCCTTTTCTTCATACATTTTGCTGTACAATACGATTTTGTTTTACGGTATAAGCTTCATTTACTTGGCAGCAATATAAATTGAAATCTACTATGTAGATGTGAAATGTATAAACAAAAACAAAACATTTCTTTAGATCAATGAATGAAAACAAAATCTATGAGGTCAATAGGCTAAAATCCTTTGATGTAGATAAACGGGCATCTCGATTCGGTCTTTTCTCATATCGGTCCCTTGCAAGCATGTCTTATTTGGGTCCTTCTCACTTTGGTCCCTCTCTTTTGCACGTGATGTTTTCACTAGAAAAAAAAATAACGGAAGATATTAATGCTCAACTTCGTACTCTTCTTTATGATCATAATATAGGTAAAATTACGGGTTTAGAGTTGGCAATTTTATGTGGAAAAACAGTAAAAACAGAGCCAATAAAATAGAAAATTCTTTTCTTCGTGTCTAAAGTAATATCTTTATTTTTTATGTATTATTTCTGTCTCTGATATTAGTCTTATTCATTGTATACANAAATAGAAAATTCTTTTCTTCGTGTCTAAAGTAATATCTTTATTTTTTATGTATTATTTCTCTCTCTGATATTAGTCTTATTCATTGTATACATGATGACTATTCAAATATATCCAATAAAATTATATCTCTCTATTAACTATGAAGTGGGGACCTAAGTGAGACATCATTATTTATATCCTGATTATTATAGGACCCAAATAAGACATGTTTGCAAGGGACCGATATGAGAAAGGACCCATTGGGACCGAACCGAGAGTAATCCAGTTTTAGGAGATAATTATTTCAATATAGCGAGCAAACACTATTGATTTTAATATTTTTCGCAGAACTCAAGAAGCATAATTCTATCATTTCATTGTGTCTACTGATTCTACAAATAAAATAAAATAAAAATATAATTTCTATTTTAATTATTCATTTATTTACTATCACAAATTTGCTTGTTCTTACCATATGTTTTAAAGAAAAATAAAAACAATAAAATGAATATATTAGCAAGAAAATAGAATGCATTTATTTAACAGATTTTTTTTTCTTTTGAAACGCAACAAAAATAATATTATTAACTATAAAAACAAAAGATCTCTAAAAAAACAGTTAACCCTTTCCGGCCCGCTGTTTGGAAATTGCCGTACCCCCCCCCTCCCCTAGGGGAAAATGTTGCCATATGGCAACACGGGGCCGGAAAGGGTTAACTGATTCATTGAATCCTCTTTGAAGTTTTTGCCGGAAATCGAACAGCTTCTATACCAGCTGGTTCTATCATTGGCATATGATTGGGTATTAAAATTGGTTTACATTCTGTTATACGATGATCGCTTTCATCAGAAATGCGAATAGTCACTCGATATAAAATACAATTAAGAACTAATGGAATGACTCCAAGTACAGCTGCTAGTATTAATGTAAAATTCCTTGAGTAACTCACTGTAATTGAATACAAATAATTGAAAAAAGAATTTCCAAAAACATTTAATATTGTATTTATTTCTGTAACAAATGTATAAGCGTTATTTATTTCGTTTGGTTCTAGCCATTTTGATATGATCGAATATGTTAATGAGCCTTGATATGAAGTAAATGGTGCTATAAATAAGCCTAAATATAGTTGCCAACTGTAGGATGCTTGAGCTACCCATAAAGCTGATATAATAAAAAATATATGAGACAAACAACAAATTGCAGCATCACCGAAACGTGTGTATGTGAAAAATTTCAGTCCAACAATACTTCCAACAGTCCAAATAATCGATGATACGGTATTGTAATAACCAATGTCGGTGGCTGAAAAGAAGTGTTTTGTTTTATTTCTATCTATTGCTATTTTCATGTATTTTAAATGAAAATTTACCTGACCAACAAAATGGATAGTTAAGTTGAAACCATAAAAACGGAACACCAAATGATAATGAAGCCAAACAATGAAATGTGAATGCGACAAGCGTTATAATTAAACATATGGATCGCTTCCGTGAACGATTTGTATGTCGCGGAGAGAAAACCATGCATATATGTATTAATTGGTCATATTTAGTAGTCCTATTGTTACTATGATTATGACAATGGGAATTTATTGATAGAACAGGAGTGAGTGATTGAGGTCTCATATAAACATAAACAGCAAGTATTGTCATTAACTGAATGAATAAAGCTGCCCAATATAAATCAAGAAAGCCACGGTATTCAATCCAAAATCCAATTAGAAGTGAAGTTATTGCACCTATTCCTGTACACATAGCACCAGTATGCAAAAATTTTGATGTTCTTTCTGATTCTTCTGTACTATCCGTAATGATCAAATTAAGAATAAAACTTGAAACATTACCACCACCAGCTAAACTCGATAGGAATGCTGCAATATGCCACCAGTGATCGGCTAACTATCGATTGAAAGAAAAATAGTACTAATAATATATACATAGATTGTTCATGTAAAATATTTATTCTTGCCTTATAATAAATAATAATTAACCAAATAGAATATTGTACAACATTACCGAACATAGTCAAAATAAGAACAAATTTTCGACCCAATTGATGTGTATATAAACCTAATATATAAGTCATAACAATTGTAGGTATACTAGATGCTACAGTTTGATAGAAAAATAAATTTGAAGATTTTTGTTGAGCCCATTGGTGTGCTGGTGCTGGCACTGATAGATCGTTACATTGATCAATTTTATCTTTTATTGTTGTATTAAATGTATTCGATAAGAACCAAAAATCAGAATTGAAATCAATTGTTTCACTGTAAGATTCAAGGTAATAACGATAGATATATTGACCGATCGATGAAGCTAAGCAATAATAGATTGTCTAAAACAGATTTATTTCCACGTTTTAATAAGCATTTCGAAAAAGAATTTAAAACCTTACTTGTAAACATAAAATAATTTCTACCAGATATGCGTGAAATAAGTGTCGCAATGAGAAACGAAATCGGATACGCATAATTGCTTTGTTAGATGAATAATTAGATAAATTATACGTTATTGAGTTACAAGTACTTTTTTTGTTAGGTAAAAATAAAATGCTCTTTCGTGAAATAGCAGCTTATTCCTTTAAATTTCACGGTTCCTTCATCTATCATGAAAATTGAAATAATAATATGAACACACTTAACTCCGTTAATTCTGCACTCATCACCGCTTTTTTAGCTGCTTTGAACCGAGGAGAGCACATATGTAGGTAGGTAAGCACACTTGAACCAATTGATTATAATAGGTTGTCATTTACGCAAATCAATGATGAACGTAACATTACATTTGAAGTAACGTAAAGTAGTAGCTGCGTGTGAATCACAGGTGCAAAATAATATTTATAGATGGCGTACACAGTTTGTAAAAATAGAAAATAAGAAAATTCTGTGATCAAATATATACACTGCACAGGCAATGCTCGGTATGAACTGGTGAATATAATTCACAAAAACTCGCTTAATATAACATTATATATGGCTTAAACTGACCGATTTAAATTGATCAGGTTCTATCTAACAGAAACTTTGTATATATAACTATATATATGATGAAAAAACAGAATGCAATACTAGTTGAAACCTAGAACAGGTCTACTTTAAGCAGTACCTAGTGGCAAAACAACTGCCTTGAGTATTTAATTTCTAATGAAAATTACTGTAGATGTGCCAAGTCTCCTTTAGCAATGTGCAGTCATTCTGTAATTATTAAAAGAGATTCTCTTTTCGAAGAAGATAATGGCAATGCATTCAGGCTCTTTTTTTGGACTAAATGGTAATTTTAATTTGATCAATAAGTCAATGCAGCGTCTTAGAGTCCTTGAAGAAGAAGAAATGAACTTTGTCGTAGTGACAATAATTTTTATTATTCGACCAAAATAATGTTAATATTCAAAAAAACAACTTTTCTACAAATTGACTGTTGCATAATTAAAAGAGCGCAAATGTTTTGAACTGCTTGTTTCATCATTTTGTATGGCATATTACGAATAGGTGCTGTGAACAAAATTGGCTGTTGACTAGTTGATTAATCTAATAGTCATTTTGTTGTTGTTATTCTGTTTTATTACTCAAAACGAAAAATTGCGGTATTAAGATATCAATTTCAAGTGACAATAGGAAAAAGGAGACTAATATCACAATAGAAAAATATTGACTAGTGACCTTGGATATTGAAATATAAAAGTTCGATGCGATAGCACCATATTCCACTATACTTTATTCTTAATATCAAAATCACTTCATAAGCGACGAAAATGCAAATAATTTTTGTGTCATTAATTGTTGTTTTACTTCAACAAAATATTCAACTAGCGCACGGAGGTAACTACATATTAGTTAATGTTCATTCGATATCATTCAAATATTTTGTGTTTCTAGTTACATGTGCAAGCAATCCATGTAATATCACACCTCCTTTCGATGCAAGCACCGGCTACTGTTGTTACGATGTTCCACCTAATAACGTTGATTCTGTATGTGTATGTCCAAATAATATCCCACCGGTGCTCAATGGACCTTGCCGTAAGAAACCAAATAACGACTTTTAGCAAAATGAATAACTGCTTTTTATTTTGCTATCGAATATAGGCAATTCTACAGCACCAGGTGCAGCATCTTGCAGTCGAACATGTTTCAATGGTGGTGTATGTAATATTGTCAATGGTGCCGAAGTATGTTGGTGTACTTTAGGTTTTTCTGGTTCATTTTGTGAACTTCAAGGTTTGTTGTTCATAGTTTTAGTATTTTCTCCAAAAAGATTCTATTTCAATTATTTAGGTACTGTTGGTCGTTGTGTGCTTGGACTATGTCAATATGGAACTTGTGTTGAAAACACAATAGGAACAGCAGTACATGCTTATTGCCACTGTAATCCAGGCTGGACTGGAATGAAATGCAATCAACGTTTGTATTTTATTTCCAGCAAAATTTGAATTCACTATTATTTTGTGATTTATTAGGCTACTTTACATGTACACAAGCAGGTGTGTTTCCTGATACCGCATATTGTGCCACTGGTCGATATTTCTATTGTCCTCAAGTCAATGGAGGTAAATCTATCACGTAGAATAATATTTATTGATAACGATGTAAGTTTGATTTCAGCACCAATTATTGCAACGTGCCCCAATGGAATGAGATTCAACCGTGTGACAAACAATTGTGATGCCAACTATTTTTGTACATAAATGGAATGCACAATTCACTATTGAATATTTAATTAGAACTTCATTAAAAAGATGTACTTGATATTGACATGCATGCAAATTTCTTTTTTCTCTGATATATTTAATAAATAGAATCAAAAATATATTTATCTTCTATTCAATTTTTTGTTATCAAAGGATTTCATTTAAGTGTATTATTTGATTAATCGAAAAATATGTTTCTTCAATAATATATTTACTTATTGACAACTGATCTCTTTGATAATAGAAAAGCAAAATTTTTTTTCAGTATCAAGTAACTAAGCCTTGAACCGAACGTATTTATTTAAACTGAAGCTAGCTATTTAGTAAACCAAAAAACATAAAATCATGAATACTGCTCGAATATTAGAGCTTTACAATACAAAAGGAAAACATGAAACAATAATTTTTCCGTATCATCCGTAGGAAAGCAAAATCAAAATTTCAGATCATAGGGAGAACAATAAATATTACAAAGCACAATATTAAATACGATCACCCATCTAATGCTGATGGACTGTTGTCTTTCATTTGTTTTAAGTTAAGTTTTTCTCGACGAATAATCCACATAAGAGCAAAGTGCATCAATGCACTAGTTATAAAACTAATACCACCAATAATGAATGGAATATTGAAACTATCGGTAAAATCTCGAATTGCACCCATAATCTAAATTTTGAAAAATTCCCATATAAAAAAGAATGAAAAACAAAAGATAAAATAAACTTACAGGGGGAGCAGACAATGATGTAATTCCTCGGAACATCAAGGTTAAACCTAAAGCACTGCTATAGCGTTCAAGACCAACTATTTGACAAACAATTACAGGACTTAAAGAAACATGAAAGGCTAAAAGAAGTTTAAAATTTTTTATTTTAGCTCTATAAGCAAAAGAAACAATTACCAATAAAGCCACCCCATATAATACAATAAACTATTAGATGTGCATATGTTTGACAAAATGGTACGAGTAGTGTTGTTACACCAGCTACAGTTAAACCAATATTATTAACAAGTAATGCACTCATATGCGGAATTTTTGTTATCCAACCAGATACGAATCGAGAAGCTGTATTAGTAAAACCTAAAAGAAAATGAATTCTTTAATAATTCAATCATAAGAAACAATTCTATTTACCAATGAGGGATAGCAAAGAAACAGCAGCTACTTGACCAATATTTTTCTCTTGTGTCGCTACTTTAACAATGAACAGGTAAGGTGTATAATAACCGATCATTGAACAGACATTGGCCTTTATAAAAATGAGAAATAAATAAAATAAAAAACGGACACAATCAATCTCTTGATATTATTAAGTTTCTGAAAGTCTTTACCAAACAAATAATAACCATTTTTCTGTCATTTAAAACATTTATATTTGTCATTGAAAGGAAAACATCCCAAAATGCTTTCATTGCTGATTTTTCTTTTGTTTCAGGTATTTTAGTTGTTTCTTGAATATAAGTAGGTATATCCAGTTGATATTGATGATATTCAGGTAAATCTCGTGTATCACCTTGATAGAGTATGTCTTCCTTATATAGACTATCACGAATATAATGTAAAACGAAATCATTCAAAGAAACCAACAGCAAAACTTACGGGCGAACAGCATCGTCAACGTTAATACTCTGTCTTGATTTAGCTGAAGTGGTTGAATTAAGTCGTGCTCGTTTTTGTAACATTTCTTCTTTTTCTTCATCTGCCACATTTGAATCAAGTTTTTGATCTGATTTAGAGGCATCGACATCTTTCGTCTCGTTAAGTGAAAGTAATGTTGTCTACAATCATTTTTTGGGAAAAGAGCTAATTTTAAATAATTAATTAATTACCTTAGCTGGAAAATTAATTTCATCGGGATTTCTATCAAAAGAAGAAAGGAGAAAATTAATTTTAATTAAAAACTATCTGATGATGACATTTTGGAGAGAAAACAAAATTGAATCATACTGTATATAATTAGCATCTTTTTAATTGAAAAAGAAAACCTTGTGAAATATTTTTGACTCAATACAAATGAATAGACATGATAAACAAGGAACTTCTTTCCATTACATTAATAACAGATGAATAATTCGTCCATTAGTAAATCACGCTATCTGGCATAACAGTTTTCCATAGACAATTCTTGTAGAGTACAGACATCAAACTTACAATTCGTTTACTTGTGATATACGCCGTTTTCGTATTGGCTTTAAAGGAGCCATAAAGGCAGAACAAACCGCACATAAGAGAACGATACCCGACATTATTATTAAGCCGTACTTCCACTTGTAGCGATTGAATAAGAATCTTGACAATGGTCCAAATGTAATTGAACCTATGCCTGTACCTGCAGTAACAATGCCTAAAAATAAAATGAAATATTTAGCATCGAAAATAAAGAAAATGCAGTGCATTCAACCTGTAGCTATAGCTCGTTTGTCTTCAAAATAGTAACCAACCATGACAATACTTGGCAAATAGACGAGACCCATACCAATACCACCAATAAAGCCAAATAATATCCACATTATATAAATACTTGAGGAATAGACTGATGCTGCAATGGCACTGCCTGCAATAATACTTCCAATTATACCAATTGGACGACATCCCCATCTATTACATAGTGCAGAAGCGACAGGTGCTATATTAAAACAATAGAAGAAAAATAAATGTGGAAACTTCGGATTTCATCCGAGAGTTATGTGTACTGCCAAAAGCGCATGGGACATATGAGTCATTCTAGAATGTCTGAACACCAAAATTATCATGAGAAACTGGGCAATTTGATTTCTGGATGTAGTTTTTGTGCATTTTGAGACGTTTTTCAGGCGATGTTTCATCAGAAAGCTACGGTTTAGTTCAAAACTAATATCAGATTCGGAATCAGCGTTAAAAACTGAGTCGATTTATATATGTTGTGAATAATTCTGAGAAAGATTTATTTTTTGAAAAAAATTCCCTGTACTCCTCCTCAGGGATGGCCTGGTCAAAAATGACAATTTTTTCGATAACTCAACCATTTCTTGAGGGATTCTTCTCATCTTCGAACTCGACCGAGATATTCATGAGATTGAACTGTGTGGAAAATTTCATCACGGTCTGACTCTCCTTTCGCAAGTTATCGTGCCTACGGCCGGCCGGACACACTGACCGATTCTAGAGTGTACTCACTTTTTGAGTACACAAAAAGAACGTCGTACAACATAATGTGAGTGTAAACTTGAATGCTCTTCTGATATCCATATTCGCATTTGATTATTTTTTGATCTTTTGGCAACTTTCCCACATAATTCATTGTTGTAGAGTAAGCATCGTATGATGATCGTGATGATGCTAATTAGCAAAAAGATTTTCTCAATTTATCTAGTTTTAGTGAACTTAAATTTTCATCAACAAATATTTCGTCATCGGTTAAATAGAGCTGTCAGAAAAAGACTGTTCAAATTAACGTATCTGTACTCTTCTTTTAAAGAACTTCGGGAAAATTCTAACTTTATTTACTTCTGTTTTCTTATATCATCTCGTTTTATTGGTTCGAATTGTTCATCTCTATTTGAATTATCATTGATTCGATCACCCTCAATTGGCAAGAATAATTGGATTAAGAAGGGTTAGATAATCCTTTTTTTAATTTTTATCTAGCGACAGGAAGTCACCAGGGCTTCTGAGTCGAATGAAGCTATTTTAGCCAACTTTTTTCGGTCTCATTTCTTTTATTGGAAAACTTAATCAGATCTGATAGACTTTGAAATTCCTTGGTTTCTCTGATCTCATTATCTCTGTACACACATGATTTTTTTTCTCTTTGTATTGTTCAAAAATATGAAAACACATTTACTAAAAGAAAATTTAATGTCACATTCGACCTATTGATTAATTATAGTGTGTGTCACACGTAGTACAATCGATATTGATTCGCTTAAGTTTATATGCTTTTTCTTTTGCTCCACCGTTTATAGAACAAAGAGACAGCGAATACATATAAAAACGAAGACATTGAATCACATTCATGCATATCTACGAATTACAGTTGACTGATTGTCGTTTGCTTTCACCGATGATTTTTATTTTGATATATTTTAGATGAATAAAGTCATACAAAATTGACTTGAACCGTATTGTGACGTTCTTATCAAAAATGGATATAGCAAATGTGTATCATCGGTGGTGAAGAAACGATTATATAAAATGCAAGATCACGTCCATCGTTATTGTCAACCAAATGTGAATGATGTGAGACCCATGGCGATTATATTTTTTTTCAATGATGGGTGTAAGCAAATAATTATATACATAAAGGCTCGCTGAAATTCACAACGTTGTATTAACGAAATCGTTGTTGAAATTCAAATCTTTGTCTTTTTTCTATATAAATCACTTGTTTAAAGAAAATTTTCACTCTAATGAACGCATTTGAGGTTTATCCATATTTTATTATCATAGATGTTCATGCAGTCCAGACACGTCGACAAGCAAAAGCCACACAAGATTCGTCAACAATTTCTTTTTCAGCATCTAACAGTAAGTAACTCGAAAGATGATACCTATAGCATTACAAATAATACATGGATAAAAAGTTCTCCGACATTTCTATCGATATAGATAGAAAAATTTGGTAGAACTCCTTTGCGCCCCTTATTATTTGAATATATGCATTGAAACTATAACCGGTTTTGTTTTCCTATCTAGGCTCTAATCCTGTTGATCAATTTGATTTGCAAGTGACTTAGTTTTGTCCATAGGCAAAGAAAAAATCTTTCTGTATTGATTTCTCCAGACTGACAGTCAACGATCAATTAATTTCATCTCAATTTCTGACAACAGCTCCAATGTATAACAGTCATCAACCAGTCGATACTTTTTTTGATGTTTGTGCATCACCAAGCTACAACTTAACTCCGCAACTTTGTTTTTCTGAAGATTCACTTTATGTAAGTCTAATGAATGCGTATTTTTATCATACAGATTTTTTGTATATCCATCTTCAGAGTGATGAAGAAGATGAAGACAAATGGTTGATTAAATTAGAACAAGAAAATGGTAGCAAAATAAAAAATTGCGATGAAAAAATGAAGCAAGAGTGGCAAGAAGCACTAGAAGAGTTTCAAGAAAAATGGAATGAGAAGGTGAAGAAAGAATGAGGCAGGATATAAATGAACAACAGCGTCAACGCTTAATAAAAAAACAAGGGTGAGTACCCTTTTTCTAGTTCTAGCATTTGTTAACTGTCTTTATTGTAGAAAAAAACCATCAACGAATAAGCGTAAAAAGCAAACAAAACGGATCAATAAAGGACATTTGTTTTCGTAAATGATTTTTTTTATAATGTGATTTTTTCTCTGTTTATATCGAGTCAATTCCGTGTATGCAAGAAACCGGTTTATTATTTCAAAAAATATTTTGTAACTATTAGAATTACCAATAAATATCAATAAAGAAAGAATACTAATTTCATTTTTCACCGAAAGCTAAAATCCATTTTTTCAAATTGATATCGGAGGCGTTAGTTTTAAAATAAACTTCATATTAGAATAAATATAAAGTAAATTGATTGATTTAGATGATTATTAAATATTAAGAGAAAAAAAAGAGTATTATAAATTCCTTATCATTGATTATTTTTCAATTTCAAATGGCTGATCGATGGAATAACAGATAGTGTTTCTTTCAATATTTATTTTAACACGAGTTTGTTTTTCTCACTTCGACATACATAGTAGGGGTGTAGAGCTCACGCTCACATTCATGAGCGGTCATCTCCAAAAACAGACTACGTGACTCGAATGATTGCAAGGTTTGTAGTACTTGTTTCAAAGCAGTAAAATCGACTCCAATTTTGTATATTAGGAAGCTGTACATCCCTAATATGTAGGGTGCTTAAAAATTTCTGGCAACAACTGTCTAAAATTTTTTCCTCATGTTGACTTATTCTGGTAGCAGTATGAGTTATGCTTTGAAACATCAATAAAAAATTTCACAACTGTCTATTATGGCAAATTCTAATTAAAATTTTAAGGCACCTCTATTTTTAGATGAACAAACAGTGTATACCCTCATTTATAAAAAAAACTCGGTTCTTATTACGTTTAACTGTTACACACAAGTAATGGTCATCGACATGGAAAGTTTATTCACTGGGCCCTAAACTGTCGGAATGATGATGTATATGTGGCAGGCGAGTTTGGAATTTAGTTGAGTTTGGAATAGCTTTTTCTTAATTTTTTTAATAGAATTTTTGTTGAGATCTGCCTTTAGAAAATTTTGTATTGATAATTATTCCTTCCATCTTTTTACAAGGTTTTCATATAAATTCAACTCTCTGTACATTTGTTAAACAATGGGGACATGCGAACATTGAACTTATCTGAGAAAAATAAATTCTTTTATTTATACAACTTTTCTAAATCAAATATAAAAATGTACTAAACATCTTTGTAATAACATCTGATGATTAATTCAGGGGAGATTAATTATATTATGAGTCATACCGGTAGAATTTAAATAAAACAAAAATTTTATTATTATTATTATACATAAAGCACAAAGTAATCATTTACCTATAATTTCTTTCATTCATTCGACTCAATTTAATAGTAAAATCTTTTTTCCTTTTAAATATATTTTATTTTATGAAACACGAGCAGGGAAAAAAAACAAATTCAAATAATTTTATTTCGCACATTCCAATCTCAACTGAAATTCTCATGTCAACTGTGACACATATATATATAGAATTGTTATTGTAAGAGTATTTTGAAACAACTGGTAAAACACATGAAAATGCTTGTGGGGTCAATTAAAGTGTATAGTTGTATTGATAGATAAAAATGTTTCAAACATGACAAATTTATGTTACATATATTATATTATTTCATTTATGAAAGTATATAATGATTTTTAGAAGAAGTTGAAGAATGATTCATTCATGTACCTGTAGTTTTCGTCAATTTAAGATTACTTGTAGATGATATTTTTACATTTAGTGTAGAAGTTTGCATAAAATGGAGTAGAACAATTATAACTTTGTTGTTAATGCTTGTGAGGGTGTGAGTGTCTCTCCTTTGGTAAAACTCAAACGGGCATTCACACCCACACGCTTCTTTGCCCGAATATTAATTAAATCATTATTTTTTTTCGTTCCCTTTATTGTATTACAAGTTAATTCAAAGAATTTTTCACAAAAATCTACTCAAGTCATGGAAATGAAATTTATTCTATAATTAAAATACAAAACAGAAAAACTTCTCTCATCATCAATTGTAAAAAGAGGTTTACAATTAAAAATGTTAAAAAAAATTTATTCTTGATGAGAATTCCTGTTGTAGAATTATGATAAAACAACACATGAAAGCACTCAGATAATTTGTTTTTAAAGATTTCATCACATGAGTTTTTTTTTATTGTATTTGTCGTTGTGGTTTGATGTTTCTTTTTTCTTTTTTTTGTCATTTAAAATGGATAGAGAGGCTTGCGAGTGACTCTTACCTAAATTGAGCATCAGCACGTGACGAAATTTCAATAGTTTATTAAAAATAACTATTTTTACAAAAGAAAGCTCGTCTGAAAAGTAAAAATCTTTCACGAAAAAAGGACGCTATAAAATTTATATTAGTATGATATATTGATTACAACTATTTCTATCGAATCATCCTTTGTCAAACTCATTTATGATAGAAGTAGTGATCCTTTTATGCGTGTTTTTTAAAAAACGAATCCACTCGTAATTGAAATACAGACTGGTTTATCGTTAGTAAGTATAATTAAAACAGGGCTTTGATATGAAGTTCAGATGGCAACTTTTGCGTAGATAAAATGATTCATTTTTATGTTCTACGATAACACATCTATGACTCATAGAATGGAATTATTGTTGGATAAGGTAATATAAACTCTTTTTTTTTAGAAGCATCACAAAAACATCTGTAAATTAGACTTAAATTTCGAAAAAGTTAGTATGAATAACGAAATCACCGATAAGTAGTTTGTGAAGAATACTTTTAGGGCGTTGTTGTGTAATCATGATTAATTAGTTAGTATACTCGAAGTCGAGTTGTGAGAAGCAGTATGAAATGAGTACCTTGCGAGTCTGAACGGTAAAGATACATTTTAGTATAGTGACATTTTACACAGTCCCAGCTGAATCTAATATCATGGGCAGCAGAGCTAAATCCTTTGTTTAAATGATTAAAAGAAATAGTTTTGTTTCAGATTATGAATTGATGTATCTTTCGTTATTCTTTACAGGAATTAAATTAAGCTCATAGAAAATTGTGGAAGAAGATGATAATAACAATCAAAGACTTTGAGGAGATATTTGCTTGGAACAGGTCTAACAGGAACTCTTGTCGATTTCAAACATTTGAATTCGATTATTTATATAATCGGCCACCCATAAGTTCCCATTGCGATCGAATGTTAAATCAGTCTGGAATCGGAGTTGATCTGGTTCATCTCCTTCTCCACGCCTTCCAACAATGGTGACACCTGTTTTGCTTCCATTGAACCAACGTGTTACTCGATGATTGTGATAATCAGTCACATACATCGTGCCCATATGGTCCATAACAATTGCAGTAGGTTCATTGAATTGATTGGTAACATTTCCTCTACCATTTCCACCTGCTACAATGACACCTTCAGTAGCTCCGACAGACCATTTAATTATACGATCATTTTCTCCATCAGCTATATAAATTGATTGGCTCCGATCGACGAAGAAATAGGATGCGCCTGCGAGCTGATTCAGAGCACTACCTTTTCCGTTGCCACCGGCAACTGTCTGTTCACCCGGCCATTTTATTACGTGAGATTCATCTGTCTGAGAACTTATATACAATGATCCTTCATAGTCCATTGCTATTCCCCAACATGATGTATTTTGGACAAGTGTAACACCTTGACTATCATTGTGATACCATCGTTGTATTCGGTTGTTACCACTATCACAAATAAACATAGTTCCATTTTTATCAAGCACAATTCCATTAGGATAGCTGAGTTGATTACTAGCATTGCCGCCCGTTTTGCTACCGGCCACCAGCTCACCAATTTTAGCTCCAGGCGTAGAGTATTCATAAATGATATTTCACATTTCTAAGACAATGCACTGCTACTCAGTGAAAAGAAAATGACAAAATAGTGGAAGAAACAAACCTCCATTTGACGATACGATTATGAAAAGTATCGGCAATAAAAAGATTAAAATCATCATCAATAAACAAACTCGACGGATTCAGTAAATTAGTCAATTGATTTCCAAATCCATTTCCTCCTCCAGCTTTGGTAGTACCATTTGGGTTCCATGTTGCTGTTACACAAATGCCATCGTTTGGTACCAGTGGAGCAACTAAATATTGACAAATAAAATTCTATCAAAGTTGAATCTATTTTTCATACTCGTTGTTGTTGTTAATACAGGAGTTGGACATATATGTTGACTAGCCATGTGAACTGGATAACACAATGGACGACTTTGACATCGGGAATGTTTCACACAAACATGTCCAGGTGCAAAACATGTTTGATTATTTGCAGCACACACGCTCAACGTGGAACACTTAAGATGAAGATGGGCACAAATACCTTGGCCATCATTTGAGACTAAAGGAAAACAGCCACATGCAATATTTGACGAACACGATTGGTAGTCTGAAGTATTTTGACAGATTTGCGCATTGTTTTGATCTAGTTCATCGAGAAACAATCGATAAAAGACATCTAATTAAATTCGTATACATACGCGGGAAACTAAAATTACGTCGAAACATCTTACAACAGCAATAGAAAGATTTTTACATACTTCAATATTATCACCAATAATAAACACGTTGTCCACTTCATTTTTATATCTTTCTGCTTATTCTTACTTTACTTGAATATATCTACATTGCATTACGTTATGTTCATTACAACCTGTAAAACTTCTCTATGCATGATAACTGTTTGCTTTTCGTTTTAATCTCACCATTCTAGACCTTGACTCATGAAAAGATTACAACATAGCACTTTTTTTTTAAAGAATTCATTGTAATAGTTTTATCTTCGGTTATCAATATGACAAAGCAAACTGACTGAAATAAATATTGACCAGTGATATCTTTGTTATTTCGTAGTGATCATTTTGATGCACTTATTTCATTGATTCCTTACAGTTTAAATTCCCTCGTACTGTTAGAAACATCTATCGGTTAAACAAAAATAATATAGACAGATTTGAAACGGAAGAAAACTTTAAAAGCAAAGGATTACTGATATAGCATCATCAATGATGCAAAGCATATTTATTTGTTCTCTTGCTTGACGAAACAATCAATTTTGAAATAATATTTGAAAACAGAATTCAGGGTTGGTGGAAAACGTAGAAAAGGAAAACGTCGAAATGATTAACTTTATCTTTTTGATGAATGAGATATTTAATCCTTTATTAATTTAAAATGAAAAAGACTAAAGAAAATTGACAATATAAGTGCATCTATCTTTTTTCTTTCCAATCAACAATGATAAACCGTACAAGTTTAGCTTCTAATTGTTCTGGATTGAAAAGATGGCTATTAGGGATGCAACGGTGACGATTAATCGTTCACCGTTCCACCGCTTGAGACCGGTGAAACGGTGGATCGGGGTCCGGTTCACCGGTGAAAGCCGGAAAGACTACAAAACACCTACGGTGAAGGCTGTTGCAGTGGTGCTACCAGATCACACTGATAGAGATATCTCTGAATCTTAGAAAAAACCGGCCTTCACCGTTGCATCCCTAATGGTTATGATCACCTTTAATACATATCATTTCATTAGCAACAGTTGTGTGTATATAGACACTACATTCTTGTTCACCACACAACCAATATCTTTTATTTGCTGTTGTCTTATTGCATTTGAATAAGTAATTCTCGTATATTAATAATTGTTTACCCTTGTTATATGTAGAAAATGATATGTCAAAATGCTGGGTTTTACATGAACTATTTTCGGAATCTAAGTTTGCCGCCTTTCTAACAATATATCAATTGAATATTTGAAATTTTTCTTTATTCGATCAGAAATATAATATGTGGAGCGAAAGAGTGACCAATGCAGTGGCGAATTTAGGAGGTGCGATCACTTCGTCTTACCCTCTTCGATAATTTTTTTTTTATTTTTCCCAGCAAAAACGAACGAAAAACAAGCTCATACTACCTGGAGTATATCTCAAAATGTGTTTTTTGTCTATGATCGCATCCCTTCAGGAAGGCGTACCCCTCTTTCAAAATCCTAGATCCGTCCCTGCGCCAATCAGAATAAGAAAATAGAATTTCTTTAGTAACATCATTCGAATGTATTCGACATTTTCCTTTTCTGCGTTTTCCTTTTCTACATTTTCCACCAAGATCCAGAATTCATTCGTTTTAGATATCAAAATGAGATATTTTACTTCAGAAAATCATTTTTATTTGGTCATTTTCTATGAATAATCTTCCTAAGCAGGATAGATTTAAATTTCACCAATGTAATTCCAACAGATATTACACATCCATAGTTCATAATCTGACGCATTTATTTTAGTTATTGAAAACTGATGAACAGATTTCAAGCTCACGCAATGCTCATTTCCTAGCTATTTATTTCTCTGTATGAATCTGTTTCAGGATGGCATGCTATACATTCTGTCTATTCTTCTCTCTTCGATTGACATGTTATCATGCAGTTAGGAACATGAGGATTTCCGTGCGACAAACAGTTACATTTAACACATCAGAATATAATTTTCTATTGAATTTACTTGAAATTAAAATTTAAATATGCAATTTAGTATGCATTATTCTTTGTAAGAGTTCAATTTTAACACGTTTGAACTTTATTCGAATCGGTCAAGCCGTTTATTTTTGCACGATCTATCTCTGAAAGACTAAATGATGAGTAATATCTGAAAATTCAGTCTTTGATCTATGTGAAAGTATTTCTATGATTCATTATCTCGGAGTTCGAAAACGACAAGATTCTTTCAAAATCTCAATTTTGGAACGATTTTCACGACCAATTTAAATGAGTTTTCTATGATTTTCGGTGCTCGAGATCATCGGATCTCAAACGATGATTCGCTATGTATACGTCGAGGAAGCAAAATAAAACATACAACGGACTACATAAATACTTTGCTTTGCACCGCATTTGAGTGCTGTTTTAATAAAAGACGAATAGATAACCAAATCACTAATAGTATTGAATCGAACCACGAAACATATTGATGATATATTTCTCGCCATTTACTGACTTGATGGGCATCTATTTAAACAGGTCTATAGATGGGATGAACCACATCCAAATATACAGTTATTGTGCAGCATTAGTAGCAGTACGAATTCTCTGGACTTAACTATGAAAAAGTAATACGAATAATTTTCTAGTACAATTGATTAGAAGTCATTGAATGAACCGCAAACATTTAATATTCTGTAACATCCATTGAATTGGTATGAAGACAAATATATCAGCGTTTTAACCAATAACGATAAATGAAAGCTCTGGCTTAGATAATCCTAAATATTTCTATGATGGAGTTCATCAAGAGTTCTTAAAACGGAGAGAACATTTAGAATCAGAAAGTGAAGAACAACCGTTCAATACAACACCTACAGGACTATAAACTATTTAATGCGATCGACTGGTTGTAACTATTGTGAAAGTCAAAGGGATAGGAACCTGCCAAGCAGGCTAAAAAATATCAAAACGTTGACACGCTGGTTTATGACAACACTCGGATGTGGGCAAAGAGAAGATTCATATTTATTAGCTTTTACATTATTCTAGCGACACATTATTCTTCTCACTTTCTGTTTTGTTTGGCTTACTTGATTCTTTTTTCGGTGTCTATATTCTGTTACGTTATGCAACTGAACAGCAAAATCTATATTATAATGTTATGATATAGGTTTTTTCTCAGCAACATTTAGTATACGTGTTGTACATGACAGCGCCACTATTCTTTCAATGACTAGAACATAGAATTCTGACCAATTTCTTCATTGACGAAAATAAAATAAGATAAAAAGTTCTTTTTGCGCTGATAAAACAGGAGAATTTGAGATAAAGAGCAAGCTCTCTTGTTTATCTTCTACCCTATGATGCACTAATAAGATGTCAAAAAAGTTAGAGTATTTATAATACTATGTAATGATGTGCAACATACCGCGCGTAAGACTTACAGGCCAACCAAAAATGATAAATAATGTTCTATATATTCTTCGTATCATCCATCACAAGCTACTCAAATGTTTCCACTACTTACTTCGCCCCTGTTGAGAACTCTGAAACTTTGAGTTATTTTGTTTGAGATTTTTATAAAACTGTTTGTTCAATTCTAATTTCATGTTTAAAACCACAATGTCCACTCATATCTTCCAATTTTCTTGTTCCTCTTGCAAAAGAAATTCTTAGTAATTCTTCTGATTGAATTAAAGAAACAAAAGCATCAATTGATCGGAGTTCATTTGCAATTATTTTTGTATATAATCTTGATTTATTTTGTCTTCAATGTATTTATTCTAGTCATTCCAACTACGCTTCACGCTTCATAATTATTAACAACATCTATACCCAAGTACAACTTTAAAATAAACATGAGTAAATTATGTCGAAACATCCAAGTGGTCGATGGCATTTTGGTGTCTACTAATTGCGATGCTGCAACTTTGCGTTCAGCATTGAATTATCAGGCACAAGAAGGTGATATATTTCTAGTTGTCTATCCGAAATCGGGTACAACATGGATGCAAATTATTCTATATACACTTATGAATAATGGTGAGGCGTTCGACGATAATATGACCGAATATTTTGCACGCACACCTTTTCTTGAACTAGTTGGTGAAACAGGCCTGAAACATATGCACAGACCATGCGCCATTAAAACGCATTTACCTCTTAATCGCGTTCCTCATCATGAAAATGCTAAATATATTTGTGTAGTACGCAATCCAAAAGATGTATGTGTATCGTATTATCATTTTCTTCTCGGCTTTATCAATGAAGCACCGACGCAAACTTCGTTTGATGCATTTTTCGAAGCTTTTATTAATGGAAATGTTCATTTTGGTGATTACTTTGAACATCTACATTCTGTTTGGCAGCATAGAGAAAATCCTAATGTATTTCTAACGTCGTATGAAGAGATGAAACGTGATTTACCTGGAGTCATTCGTCGTGTTGCTCAGTTCATGAATATTGAACTCACTGATCATTTACTTGAACGTATTGCAACCTATTCATCGTTTAATTATATGAAAGAACGATTTCAGAAAGCATATGCAACTCAAGCAAACATTGCTCTTTCCAATGAAGCAGTTGGTGCTCCGTTGCCTACCGATCGAAACAGCTTGTTGATGTGCGATCGTTGTGTATTAGTGCGAGAAGGTACCGTTGGTAGTTGGTCGGCAACCATGAGTGAAGAACAAGCGCAGCGTCTTGATAAACTCTTTGAAGAAAAGACACTCGATATGCCCGGAGTGGATAAACTTTTCCTACCTTGATAAATGCGAACGTATCGTTTTTTTTTTGATAGACTAAAAAGTTTAAATTCTTCCATTGCTGTTTTTAATAAAATAAATATTATATCTAATACTAAGAATCTCATAATTGTGAATTTGAATGTATTACGACGATGATTCCTAATGTACTAAGACTGATCAATATCAATTGTAGGACACTGCTTAAATATTCCTCTCTTGTTCAATAAACTCTTGTTAGATATTTTTTATTGTAAATAATATCTGATTTATCAGTAGGTATCAACATTTTTCCGAATACGATTTTGTGATGTTAATAGGATGAAAAAGAATATCTATTGCTAAATATCTTTATTAGGTATGCCGGTAAACTAAAAGCGTTCATACAAAAGATTTCTGTGTCTTCCTAGCATTTACACATACCATCATGGATGTCATAGCAAGCATTTTTGGGTTAAAAAAGAAAATTCGATTATACTGAGTTACCTTATCTCGGTCTCATTTTTGCATGTCATCGATATGAGAATAATGAAATATGACGTAACTCTATTTTTTTGAGTATGTCATTGTTAAAAGGCTATAAATATGCCTTATTCCGTTTCTCATATTATATTGAATATTAACCACCGTGTTTATCATCAAAAAGAGTTTTGTTCTACGTTTGAATGACGTTAATTACTTATCTTGTTGGAGTTTTGCTATTTACATGGATGTAAGTACCTAACCGCGTGTTCAACTAATTGTACTGCGATACTAGGGTTCTTACTGAAACTTCTTCGTGTCACTCTGATGAAAGTATTTTACCGGAAGCACGTGCAACATTCTGAAGCGTCTGGTATTGGAAAATAAATATTTCTCGAAATGAATAACTCTTAAATGTGAAAGAAAATTTCTGTAGTTGATTGAAAATAAATGTGAGACAAAGCTGATTTTGATAATATTTAGTTTAACAGTAGACCTATCATTACTTGCTGTTATTTTTATTGAAGATTTTCGTTTACTCCCAAAAAAATAGATACTATTCGCGCACCAGCAATAATATTCATAATAAGCGATAAAATATTCCTAATGTAGCCTTTTGAAGGTCCAAAACAGCCATCAGTTTTTGGTTGGAGCTTGAGGCTGTAAGAAAACTATGCATGTAAGTCAAATGTATAAGTATTGATAAAATCCTTGATGAAATCAATAAACCAAACCTAATTACATTTCAAAATTAATAGCTAACTCAATACTGCTTTCTGTTGTTTCATTTTAGGATTTCCAGCGCAATTGAATCAGGTATGTGTATTGGTTTCGCATCATTTCGTTATAACGCTGCAACATCACACTGACATAACTTACGATTTCTAAGATATGGATCAACTGAGATTTAGTATGTGATCTGTTTTTCTTTTGAACTCATACTTAAAGCATACGAATAGTATCAAAATTAACGGAATAGAAATTAAATTTTAGCATAAAAAGCTTCAACTTCTCTGTGTAATCTTTGCGAATTTTTTGGAAAAAAACTTAGGTAAACACTAGATTTTTTGTTATTCAAAGTTTCATATGACAAAAACATAAGTTTATTGAAATTGCCGCACGTTGAAAACCAAGCATAATTGAACTCACAGCTATAAATCCTGTTGAAAAAGAGAAAATAATACGAGATTTTGACTTATTTTCGATACATCTCATTAATAGAAACAAAAACAAATGATTGAGAGGATAGGTTCTGTTCGATATCACATTTACGTGGTTCATTATGGAAACGGCGTCTCTATAGTGTTCTGTAGCTCTACATCTTGAAATATCTTCTATAGAATGAAATTCTCAATCAATTGAAACCGTTTAGAATCGAAATGACTTACATTCGTTTGTCACTACATTGCGAAAGCTAATATATCCCATAATATCTTCATCTTCAGATGTATTAAATATTCATGCTGCAACTCTGTTCAATTCTCACCAACTCAGATCTACTTACCAATCGGACAGTTATCTAGCTACTTCCGAGATATATGACCCGTCAGCGGGCCAGTGGAATATTACTGGAAGCATGGAAACACCACGTGAATACCATACAGCAACGATACTGAAGTCCGGCAAAGTTCTCGTAACTGGTGGTGTCGGATATACTGGTTACAAGGCCAGTTGTGAAATGTATGATCGATCAACTGGCCAATGGAGCACTGCTAAAAGTATGGCAACACCACGTGCTTCTCATACTGCAACCTTACTTAATTCTGGACAGGTTCTTATTGTTGGTGGTAGTACTTATGGAATGGATAGTGGTTTGGCTACTTCAGAAATATATGATCCATCAACAGACGAATGGACACCTACGACAAATATGACAGTACCACGTTCTTTTCATACAGCAACTTTGCTCGATTCGGGAGAAGTGCTTATTACTGGTAATTCAGCTAGTTCTGAAATATATGACCCAACGACCCGTCAATGGAAACCTCCTACAAGCATGACAGTGGCACGTTATGATGGTATTGCAACTCTACTCAAATCAGGAAAAGTTCTTGTCACTGGTGGTGTCGATGCAGTCAACTATCTATCTAGTGCTGAAATATATGATCCATCCGAAAACAAATGGGACCCGATTAAAAGCATGAAAATAGCACGTCGATTTCACACTGCTATTCGACTTAGTTCAGGCAAAGTTCTTGTCACTGGCGGTGTAGGATACTCAGATTTTTTGGCTAGTTGTGAAATTTATGATCCATCAACAGGCCAATGGAATGATGTTACTAGCATGACAGCAGAACGTTCTTCTCATACTACAGCTTTACTCTACTCAGGCAAAGTTCTTGCAACTGCTGGCTACGGTTATACCGGTTATTTATATAGTTCTGAAATATACGATCCATCAACGGGTGCATGGAGTCCTGCAGCAAACCTGACAACAACACGTGCTTCTCATACTGCAAATCTGCTTAGCTCGGGAAAAGTTCTTATTACTGGTGGTGAGAAATTGGGCAGTTGAAAATCTTTTGTTAATTTATGAATATATTAGCTCATATTGATTTTTTTGTTGATAAATAAATATATGACAAAAATGTTAGGAAACTCGAATAATTACACGGTGAACGAAAAGTTTATTGAAAATGAATGATAACGGAAAACGTTCTTAATCAGGTTTCTAGAAGATGTTGTGCTGTCAAATTAGTGTTACAACGACTTCCTCATAAAATCATGATTTATTTAATCATAGAAGTATTCAAATGTAGCGACAATATTTTCGTATAAAGACTTCTATCAACACTAAGGAAGTCGACGAATGTAAGCATCATAGAAATGTGAAATCTTATCTATAACATCATCGTCATTTAGTTTAGTAGTGTTTTATTCGAAATATTTTTCTTTCTTGTCTATAGAAATGAAAAGAAAAGCATTTTGATTTGATAATATCATGAGCAGGTAGGAGTTTGATTAGTCATAACGAAGAGAATGATATTATATTATAAAAAGTCATCAGCAAAGGTATCCAGTATTATTCTAAGAGTTTTTGTGGTGCGAAAAATCATTTTTGATTAATCTGATTTATATATATAGATAACAATGATTACAAAAAGACTGCTTTCATCGACGAAAAACATACCAAATAAATCTATTTCTCCATCAAGAAATCAAACCAAAGAGTTCTGTAGACGTTACAATATTTCCTGTGTAGATAAAGTAGCATGGGTTAATGAATGGATTTTAAAATCTAGCACTTTTTGTAAGTAATTTCTTCCATTATTTTTCTATATGAATCAAATCTAAAATAGATGCATCAGGGAATCTATCAAACGACGCTACATCTGACGACACTTCAGTGACTAATGTAAATGCGACATTAAGCATAGAAGACATCTATATGAATCATGGTCAAATTGAAGATTATTCTGATGGTATAGTCGCTGATCATCCTTTTTTTCTTATAAATACTAAGAGTACAATATGTTTTACTTCGTGCTTACATACTGTCACACGTATGTCTTTCGTCATTGACGATTTATTAGATCATGAGAAAACAACTGATCATCGGCACGTGTTTATTGTATCAGAGAAAAATTCATAAATCATGAAACTAGTGTAGCGAAAACATTCAATTCATTATTTTATTTTTATCATAGACGATGAATATCAAGTTTATGTTCGAAAAATAAACCAAGCTGCATCAAACAATGATCGTCCGAAGAATCATTGTCAACAACATGTCGGTTGTATTAATATTTTTATTTCACCAATAATTTTATATTCTGTAGATAAATGAGAATCCTAATCTAAGTACAACGTATGAAGTTGAATCAACAAGGAAGAAAATCTCTAATTTTAATGAAACGTAAGTTCGACTGGCTGATCAATCATTTCGTTAGCAAATAAAAAGAGATTTTCACAAAAAAAGAATAGTAACTCTAAGCTTGTTTGACTGTTTCATATCAGCAGAGATCTTTTCAATCAAAAATACACATCTAGATATATTTTAGGAGAGCTCTAATGGTGACACGGGAATGTGGTGTCTGTTTACTAATAAAACCTGAAGAGGAATTTGGTCCTGCTTACAGTGAAAGATGTCTACACACAATTCGACAAATTTGTAACATATGTACATACCAAAACATTAGAGTTATTCTCGATGGCGCCATTAGTAACCAAGTGTCCTGTCCTGAACCCAACTGTGTGGTGAAATTTATTTCAGATGAAGTCTCACGAGTACTTGCTATCAATAACGATCAGATATTGTTGAACAAGTATGAAAGGTATTTAACCACACGATCTCTTGATTTAATGGATAAATTTTATTGGTGTGCTCATGGATGTGGCTCTGGTCAATTCGATGATAGTCAAAAGACTCGAGACTTGAAGATTCATTGTGGTGTATGCGAAAAAGATACATGTGCATTTCATCGTGTTAAATGGCATGATAAAATGACCTGTGATCGATATGATAAACTTCATCCATCAATTGACTCTATGACAAATAAATGGATGAAAAACAATTCAAAACTTTGTCCTGGATGCCAATGTAAAATTGAGAAGAATGGTGGTTGCTTTCATATGACTTGTAAAAGATGTCGCTACCAATTCTGTTGGGAATGTATGGCTAACTATACAACGCGTATAGCAAAGCCACAACGTCAACACAAAATCAGTTGTCAACATCATCCTATTGGAAATTTTCTTATTCTCATTCATTTAATGAAACGCCGGGAATTATAGACGGATAGATGAGTATCATTAAATGTATTCATTTTAATAATAAATTCGATTGTTTTTCCTGCATTACTGTGACTGCATGAATAGAGTATTTACATCTACGCTCACGCATAGGATAAAGTTGGCAAAGAATCCAAGAATGAAATTATTTAAAAAGAGGCAATTTCATAAAACTTGAAAATTTTGGAAAGAGTTACATATCGGATCGAAATATAATACATTTTGCTATTGAATGAATAGTGAAAATAGCAATTGGAGTGACAATGAGAAATTTTCAATAGACAACAAATAGAAAGTCTGTATCATATAAGATGCTGTTTAGTATATAGTTCAGAAAATTATAATTATTCTACCAGATAACAAATTTTGAGTATGATTCTTGTGAAATATAACAAATGAGTTGGGCGCTCTATCTAAGAATCATACATTCGTATACATGTGAAGCTTGTTGACGCACAGGTAAATTGTAGGTAGAAAAACAAGTTTATGAAGTTATCATTTATTGACGTATGAAAGCTTTGTTGATTACAACAATCTAATGAAACAAGAAGAGAAAATGTTTAGCGATGCTTTTATTATACAAGAACCCAAAAGTGCAACAAGGTTACCTGACTTTCTACTGTTTGTCCAGAAACTACGTTGAAAGTCTGTAGATTTTAAATATGGTAGCATTATAGCTGACGTATTTTGATGGTTTTAGTAAAATTTTATAATAGTACAAATGAAACGTATCATAATTGTCAGAGACGACACATTATTTTGTTTCTACGTGAAAGCAGTTTACTTTTTAATTTCTTACTTCGGCTTCGATAAAGAGTTTTATCTTCAAATAAACGCAGCTTTCATTATATTTTTATTCAGAATCAAGGGTGTGGGTGTGATAATTAAATATTTCTTTTATTATTTTACAAGATAGATTTGCCATTTGAAGCCAACACATCGGCATAATTATGTGAGAAGCGAAGAATATCTTCCAATAGGTTTTCATTTCTTATTTATCAATAAGATTGCGCATAAAGATTAAGATAAAAGGTTTCGATGACTTCTACATCAAAGAAATCTTGCTAAGTACAACAATTAAAGCGTCGGCGATATTCAATGAAGACTGTTCCCGTTTCTTATTGCTTGTTCGTGACATTAACAAAATTAATATAGCTGCTACATTAAATTCGATGATTACTCAGATCGACGAAAATGAAGTTGTGTCTGTGTCGCTCACGACTTTACACGACGAAATATAGTCGTACTTCTTGAAATAAATTCAAAGTGAAGTACAAGCGAAAATTGATAAACATTAGCAATAAATCGATTCGAAACTTTTCACAGTATGATCTTAACTGTTAGGAACATCAAAGACTCGATGATAACAATTTTTCATCTATAACGTACTTACTGCAAAAATCATATTCAAAAATAAAATCTAAAATTACAGTTTGCCATTGAAAACCAAAAGCATTGCTTCTAACAGTAATAAAGAACTAAAATATTGGTGATATTGATTTTTAAATAAAATCATTATAACTTCTTTTTTATCAGACTTATATCAAACTAAATAGATACATCAAAGTTACTATTAGAGCGCTATAGTTTAGATTAACTTTATTGCAATTCGTACAATCATAGACTGTACTTATTGAAATCACACGACCATAATATAGTCATGAATTCGTTGTTACTTTTTATTGTCGAACTAAATTTGATATATTAAAATCAATTAATTATTCATAACAATTTTAATGTGTCATAATCTATGATTTACGTTAATAATAATTAATACAGATCGTCCTGCAATAAACTACAGCACGAATAATACATCAACTATCCAAAGTCGACGAATGTATTCAGAGATATTTCTTTCATCTTTCGTACATCCCAGTATAGTAGAGATTGAATTTTATGTTTCGAAAAAAATGAATATATTGCGCATTCCGCGAATTATCATATCAACTGCCTCGGCAATAATTCAATAAATATCCACTTTTGATTAATCACTCTGATTATACATTGATGGTGCAATAAATAGAAGTAATATATTATCTTGCTTTTCATCAAACTCAACTTCATTCATAGTTTGACTAAATCCGTCTTCACATCACCTTTTCTTTACTACCTTGGCAAGAATGACTAACAAAAGGGACAAATTCACCGCCAGAACATTTCATCGCAGCTCAATATGAATTTGCCTATGCTCCAAATCAGCCAATAAGTCAAAATCAATACAGACAACCGCCTCAATATCAGTATGAAGTAGCTTATCAGCAGGGCAAATCTGCTGATGTAGCCCGTATTCACGATTATCTAATGTGGTGTATCATAAACTTGTTCGTTAGCGGATGTTTACTAGGACTATTTGTATTGATTCTATCTTTGCAATGTCACAATCAAAAAAAACAGCAAATGATATTATCGGTGCCCGAAAATCAAGTAATCTTGCATTAATACTCAACATTGTAATAACAGTAGTAGGCGTCCTGGGATGGATTATATTGATCGTGGCATTGGTTCTTTCTCGATAAGCATTACACATAAGGCTGCTTACAAATGTTTAATTGGTCACACGATAAAAAGAAATATACTATACTCTCTATGTTCTTCGTTCTTGACATAATTCAAACACTAACTTGAAGGAATATACCTAGCTTCCACAGCTCATCGTTTAACAGTTTAAAATAAAAATAGCCTCTCTTCAAACCTCGCCTTATCTTGTGATTACACCTCTAGGTTCCAAATACTTAACTTCGCAGTTAAATCTTAAGATAAAAATTCTCGTTAGATCATATTTTCGACAAAACTCTGTTTCTTACGTTTATTGAAAGTTCGCGAGCTATTGATATATTTATTAGTTCCCTATGACAGATAAATGAAGAAATGAGTATCATTGTCTATGTAAGACGTGTTTTTTTAGGAATAGTTAAATTAAAGAATAAGAAAATTTTATAATGACTAATCTTGCTGAACTCATCCTCCTTCAATTCAGACGAAAACAAGAAGTAAAATAAGGTCAATCAATCTGTGGCTAAGCTCGTATGGTCGGTTATGATGCATTGGCCGATCTTTGCCATGTTCTGTCGCGTTTTCACGCAGTGACATACGAGCTGAGGGCAGTGATCCAACTGACAGTTAAATCTTCACTTTGGGTAGTCACAATTGTAATATATGGTGTTTATTTCAAATGCAAACTGTATCGAGACAAAAATAGTTCCCAAAAGCCTACACCAATAAAATATTAAAGTTTGTATTGATACACAAAGAGCGCAATAACAGACGGCACTGGCATGTTTACAATATGTATTAATATTGATTAAGATAAATTTTCATAATGAAGGATACATTTCAATGCACCCATGAAAAAAAATAAGATAAAATATGCGTTTCAACGCAAACTTTTAGAAGAAGCACGTTATTTCCTCGTTTAAACCTATTGATTTATTTTTTGACACGTTTTTTCTATTGAAAACTTGCTTAAAAAAAACGTTTCAACGCAGTGTTGAGAAAAAGCATTTTTTTTGATAAAAACGCTTTGAAAAAACTTATTTAAACATTGTTTTTTAGATGAGTTTAACCTAAAGTGATAAGTGAGTAATAGTATGCGGAACCAAGTAAAGGTATATTCATTGGTCTGCATGTTTTTATTAAAAACTAACCACTTTTGCATCTACACTCAGTAGAAAATTTTTAAGAGATTCATAACATCAGCGAACGGTTTTTGAGGCATCGCGTAGAACCGTTCCAATCCAAAAAGGTTAGGACCGAATGAGATCTAGTCATTTGAAAAATTTGTACCATATCCTAGTCAACAATTGTAAAGAACGTGAAAAAATTATTTCACATGATGAGAATACTTTCTTGAAAATATAACAGTAAGAGAGACTGGCATCATTCGAATAGTCCAATGTTATTAGAAAATACGCAGTATTATTCGTGTTCATGTGATGCTATATGTCTAAAAAGGCGTATTTTAGGGCAAGTCATCCTTGTTTCCATTGAATTAAGATTAAGACTTTAGTTTGCTATGCATTTGAACAAAGGGAATCAATTGTGGCGAACTCTTTTTTTTATTAAACAGAAGAACTGTTGGTCATAACATAAATATTGATTTTAGATGAAAATCACCATAGAGACACTTTATTATTTAAATTCATTTGATTAATATGTACCCTTTTAAAACGATGGAAAAAAGAGAAATTTGATTAGCAGTGTTGATTGACTTATTTTACTATTGAAACATAAAATGTTGTGAATGTGCGAATGTGCCGATATTGATGGCACGCTTCGGTGACTCTCCTTCCTGCTCCTTCTGTTATCTTTCAATTGGTCTAATGTCTTTCTCCTATATATACGTGTGCTATATATGAAGTTGTTACACTTTGGATATGTGAAGAAGTAAATAAGCATCATTGCCGAGAGTGACTGTAAGCTACTCCACATCTCTCCAGTTTTCATTAACAATATCAACCCCAAAACAGAGTCACATATTTATCGCTACAGCGAATAAATGAAGAAATTGATTGAAGAATACAAATGATACGTATTGTTGCTTTCGAACAACTCATTATATAGTAGAAACAATCATTTGGGTTTATATTTGTAATAGGATGTGGATGTAGATGACGACAAGAATGAAACCTATTCACAGCATCGGACTTGATCAGAAAACATTCATGAACGGTAAAACTATTATCCTGTGAATTAAGAATTGCACAAAAAATTGATCTACTTGATTGGAAATCTAAAAGCTGGGCAAGTTTCTGATTTTGCTTGCTTCACTGTATTTGAAAACTATTCGAGTATCACTAAAGTAAACGATTGCTGCACACAATTTTTGTTTATTAAGTGGACAGCCATCAAAACCGCACTTCCTTCCGTTTCTAGAATAAGTAAATTTTTATACCCATAGAAATGTCCAGAAATTATTAATTTGAGTACTTACAGAGAAGAGAGAATAAGCGCGTAATCATATGCCATTCGATCGAATAGCTTATGCGATCATGCAGTTGTATTTTTGTCTCATATTTTGGACAGTCTTAATTCCGTCATGATATTCGTTTGGTATATTGTCAAAATGTATGTGCATTCTAGTTTAATTATTCATTCCATTTATAATCAGCATATGGTAAATCCTTATATATCATAACAGCATATATAGAAACGCAATTTGATAGTTCTAGAACAAATGCGAGAAAAGAAATGATTGCTCAAAAACTCATTTTTGTAATCCTTTTCATCTTGAATGGCTACTGTTTGTCTATGCCACAAAATTCAAGTAGTGTGGATTCAATCACAACAATGACAAAGCGTACATCGTTTTCACCATTCGGAGAAAGCAATTTAAACGGGAATAAAGATGGGCGCAATATTCATACATGTGCTACGCCGCCGTGTAAGCGTTACTTTTTCTTTGGGACTTTTGACATCTGTGAGCTCATATTTTAATGTTTATTTTTCGTATTTAGTTGTTCAGACAATTAATGGAGCTGAAGGTGAGCTGCTCACTATAAACTGTCCAAGGCTGCACACATCACTAAACATTGTGATCGCTTACTACGGAGTGCCTGGTTGTGGGTGTACAGAAGTCACTGCGACCGTCAGGTCTTATTGTGATTCTCATGGCACTGAAACATATTGTAGACTAATTCCTAGTAATCAAAATATGGGTGATGATCCTTGTTATGGAACAAGGAAGCAGTTTATAATAACGTATTATTGTCGTTGAACTTTTTTTTATTATCGCCGTGAAGCATCATTCATTTTTCTCTCTAATAGATAATTACCAATGAAAATTGCACCAACGATTATATAATCTTGATATTGTCTAGTATTCCCTGCATCTTGGTACTCATTTAAGATAACGTTGAAACGAAAAATGTTACATTTAAGTAGGCTCTGTATTAGATGTAACGCTCAAAGCTAAGCGTGTCTATTGTTTTGTCCTTACTCTATGTTTTTGTATGTATTTTTATGTCCTTGGTGTTTGTCCTTAACTTCCTTTTTCTTTAATGGTTGAGGATTTAAATGTGTGATTTTTCTGTAACCGGGCCGATTCATGATATGAAGAGATGAAATAAAGAATAGTCCGATCGATCCAAACACTTCTTCTATCAGAAGGGTGTGGGTGTGTGTGTGAGGGTATGGGTTACCCTGATCATAATTCATCAAAAAGAATTTGAATCCTATACCGATGTACAGAGTAATTCACGTTTTATGTAAACAGTTTAGTGCCAGTTACCGACATCTACTGACGTTGACAAGTGTACCACTGGTGTGCGCTATGTTGGTTTGGCAGTTTGGCCCATAAAGAATAGAATATATGACAAAAATAAAAAGTGAGTCACTCTTATTTTGATGCAACAAGGTAGTTTGCTTCATTGAAAATATTTTATGTGACATTTTTCTCGACAAATAAAAAGTAGTCTAAACTGCAGAAAAGTTAAATGGTCTATAATGAGATAAAAACGGATTCTGCGAGTACAGATCAAAATGTCTTCTAGGTAGATTGACGTGCACTTTCAAATAAGAATATACATCTATTTTAGAATTGTATTCAAAAGATAGAGCCCCAGATGGACACTTGTAATACAAACAAGTCAGTTGATGATCTTGCAACAAAGGAAGAGTAAGTACTCGAATTTTATTCACTATATATATACGTATATATAATGACATAATCAAATGTTGCATCAGGAAAAATATGATTATACCATCATTGATCTTACCTAAGACAGACAAACCCATTGTGGTTATTCTGACTCCGGAATTGAATGATACGTACTCTGGCGATTCTTGGCGATTTTCATTCGATCAGCTAGCTGCAAAGTTTCAAATGATTGGTGCTCATGCGATATCACTACCATGGCCCAAAGCACCCATTATACATAATTCTTCATCTTCGATTCGATATGTAGCCAATCTTGCTTGGGGCTATCATACTATCGTTGATCGATGGACAAAATGGCTCCATAGTTGGCCAAAAGATACGATATTAATCAATTCTCCATCGCTTCTTCTGTGGAATACTCGAAAAACTTACTTGAAAGAATTGGAGAAAGCAAATATTTCAGTCATTCCAACATTGTATGTCGAACAGATTGATGAAAAAATACTGAATGATGCTGCAGCACATTTTTCCAGTTCTGACCTAATCGTCAAACCTCAAGTGTCGGCATCTGGTTTTAATATGGTACGCGTATTGGTTGGCAGTTCGGACTTTGCTTCGTCACCAAGTATAACATAAGAGAAAAAATTGTTTGTGATTCCAATCTATATACTTTTCTATTAAGAATCATTGAGTGTCACTGCGGCTATTGATGAGTTAATACGCTTGGGTGCTGCTCAATCGGCATCGATGATTCAACCTTTCATGCCAGATGTTATTCGTGAAGGTGAAGTTTCAGTACTCATGTTTGCTGGACGGTTGAGTCATGCAGTTCGAAAGTGTGCATCACCCGACGATTATCGCGTACAACATGAATATGGTGGCATTGCAACTGTTATAGATCAACCTTCAGCTGAAATAATTGAATTGGCTCATGCTTCGCTAGCAATCTGCCCTGAAACTCCTATCTATGCACGTATCGATATGATACATGATCACTTGAATAGACGTTGGTGCATCAGTGAACTTGAACTTATCGAGCCATATCTGTTTTTAAATGAAGCACCTGATGGAGGCTTGACATTTGCACGTGCCATCATGCAATTTCCTTATTTGAGTTAATCAAAACATTAATTTAAAAAAATGATTTTCCCAATTAAATATTGAAAGTAAGACCAATTGTCTGATTCCGGTTCAAAAATAAATCTAAATTAAAAAAATTATCATTTAAAACACATGAACACAATTCAACATTTCAACTTTCACTTATTTGACAAACTAATGCAAATGAAGTCCTGATAGGATTCGATTGAGGACTGTCCTACAATTGTTTATTTTAGACGAACGATACTTTATTTTTAAGAAGTCAAACACAAAAGGAATGCGAATAATTTATATTGTGCTTGTTCCACTTTATTATAATCTCGAATTGACAGATGAAGTGATTCAACATTCCAATGTTTATTTTATAGAAAATTCGAACACTTCTTTCTACTGATAGTTATTTGTAGATTATCATTACTCTTGTGTGTTTTCTATTCAACTCCGCGCATGCATATCCTCTACATAGTTCTATTGTACTGATATGTTATCGATTAGAGTCAAGTTCGTTTTCTTTTTCGAGATAATCGAATTCGTCTGTATACTAGCAATCGTGTCATTCCGACAACTATTAACCCAACTATTAAACACGCTGAACCACCAAGTACCCTGTAGAATGCAGCTGGTTCACTTTCAAGTCCATTCAAAATATTCATTCCATAAACGCCAACAATGAATGCAAGAAGATCGCTTCTGACTGTATCGAGTGCAGATCCAGTTGTAGTTTCGATTGTTTGAAGTGAATCATCAAGATCATAAATTGTACGACACACTTCTGTCATTTGTTTGGCACAAGCTTCAAGTATGCGTTCAACTTCGTTATGATCGGATACTTGTCTATTATGAGATACATTCCAAACAAATCTCCATCACGTTCCAACAAATCAGTAATGGTTTTGCATGCAAGATCCCCATTTCGTCTATGATGGTCTACTTTAACTTTTAACAGAGCAAGTTCACGTAAATTATCGATAGAAATGCGCCTATAAACCTTCTCTTGCACATTTTCGTATATCTTTATTAGTTCTCTTGTTTTTAATTTATAATTGTTCGTCAAAGAATCTAAGATAACTTCAACCGTTTTAAATTCGAATGGTGTTTCGGTGATGGATTTGGATGAAAGATTAGTTTGACTTTTTGTACTGAATCGTTGATTGCACTGTTTATGAATGTATTGCATTTTTCTATTAAAACTGTGAACAATCTTCTTCCATCGATCGATATTTACGCTTTTAAACGAGTCAGGAAGTCTTGTCTTAGCTAGTGACACAAAGAAGATGCATTGATCATGTTTCACTATGCATCGATGTCTTCTGAATGAGAAACAAATAAATTTACTAGGGTAAACGTCAAGCTCTGAAATATTAATGAACAAATCGCTGCCGATCTTTTGTAAATGCCGTGGTTCGAGACCATACTCTTGGCATATGTAGGCATGATCGAATGGACCAGAATAAACACGTAAACTGTAGTCATTTGTCCATATATGAATATCGATATTCATTTTATGTGAGATACTAGGTGATATATCCATATTCAACTTCGTTTGGAGAGGTATGAAATTGTGCTCTCATCAAACTATGAATCAGAAATAAATAGTCATTCAACATATATTGACGACTTCCTAGAGTACATTGAAGCACATTGAAATTGAACTTTACTGTAGTATAAAGTTGTCTTCGTGTTGCCGAGAATAATGTGCACATGATTGATTCAAACTTTTGTTTTTTTATCGTCTCTTCTATATAAGACTTATTTATGTAATGATATCGAAAGTAAGAGACATTATCAGCTCTTATAATTCATTTTGTCTGTCGATATTAAGTGTGTACAAGCACTAAGTGTGCCGATATAAGCACTCGTTCTATCTCAATTCGTGTATATATAAGGACTTTCCTCTCTGTACACGCTGATGATTATCTATTATATTTTCAGAAATATCCGTCTCGTTTCAAGTGTTCACCTCTCTTTCTCCAACTGATTGACGCTCCCCGAAGGAAGAGAATGAAACTATAAAAGGTGGATGACTTTTGAAATAATACGATATAATCTTTATCGTTACACTAAGAATCAACGGGAAAAAAGCATGGTTTTCTTTCTCTACAATGATTGATAGTGAAGAGGACCGGATGAAATTGCATTTTAAACATCAGAATATAAAAGATAGAATATCCGTAAACTTCACGAATTCCACAGTAACCTTTCGTATCTCTTTTCGTAAATTTCTAGCACTCATCAGTGGTCTCATATGTATAATTACGGTCAAAATACGACCCAGTTACATGCAACGATAATCACAGCTACTTGCAGTTACCCGTGACTGCTTCGAATATTTTTGAGATTATACAAAAACTGGATCAAAGTTAATAGCAACAACAAATTAATAAAAAACTATTTTAAGAACATAATTTATCTAAGAAGAATAATTTCTCACACAAGAGAATAACTTGTTTTAGCTTTCCTATTAAACAGAACAGGATAGCCATAAGAGAGTGTGTGCGTAAAGACAAGACGAAC